TCTCCCTTCTTGAAGATATTGAATTGTTCTTGAATATTATCCAAAGAGCAATTTTCACATGAAAAACAGCAGTGATTGTTTGTAGGCTATGCAACTATGGAGTGCATCAAAACTGAGGCCAGTCTACCCTTTCTTGACATCCACAAAGTACATTTTCTGTCAAGGTCAATAGATAGCCATCAGGAATGGAAACTTACGAATATTTTGTCTCTTTCCCACACACCCCCTCCTCCCGATTAAGGCCAATTGTCATGTCCTTGCTGCTTTTCTGGATGAGATAATGTAGTTCTGCAAAGACTGGTGATTGAACCTTGAGATTGCTTTGATCTGAATGGTTCAGTTCCTTGTTGCATTTACCCATCGCAGCATTAAAAGATTCACTAACAGCATCTTAATACATACAAAATGTTTTCTTTTTAAAAATGGATATTGCTTTCTTCTTTGGCTGATTTTTAAAATATATGTATATATAATAATACAGTGGAGTCCCCTTTTGCCCGACACGGGTTAACCAACCCCAGATTTTAGATAAATCGAACAAAACACCTTGTTCGATTTTGAGATTCTGCTCCAGGTTTCTACTGTAATTGTTTAGAGAAAGCTATCGATTAAAATGGTCTGTACCTTTACTCTTCTGGTTGCCCCAAGTCTGTTCATTTTACTGTACTATGCGATATTGAAATCCCCTGTGATTATAGGAGAGTGAAACATAATTTGGTCTGCCTGCTTCCCTGAGATATACAGGGGGAAATAATTTTGCACAATCTCTCAAACTCTCAAAATCACTCGCATGATAATTTTCTACAGATCCTCTAGTCTAGGCGGCAATACCTGCCTGTTCATCTTGAGTTGACAGTTGCAAATTACTCTGTTGTCATTAATACTAATTTATACCACTTTACGCTTCTGCTTTTGCATGATCTATTAATATCTGACCATGGATCCTGGGAAGATTGTTTGTATCAGTTTTGTGCTGAATATTCCTCCTGGAGTTAATGGTATACCAAATTTATATGAGAATACTAGTGCAAGTGAGGCTAAACAAGTGAGGCTAAACAAGATCAGAAAACTTAATTGGACCAGTCTTATTATTACAGATAATTGCTGGTGTTTAGTTGTATATTTGTAAAAGGATAATTTTTAAAGACGACATCATGTTGTAGCATAACAAGATCCGATTCTGCATTTGGATCTGTGTGTTGACAGTTGGGAGGAATTTCCCAATTTTAAAAACCACAACTCCTGGATTGTCAAACCGGGACCGTTATTTAACACTGTATTTAAATGCTATTTTAGGCTTAATACTTATTTTAATTTGAAGGAAAGAGTTGTGTCAGTGTAGTTGCTGAGAGATTTAAAATATTGGAAAGAGTTGAGGTGTACAGTATTTCATGGATTGACAGATTAGGTTATAATCTGTTTAAGACACCAGAATGTTCTTGGTTTTTGAACGCAATTGGTTTCTCTTTCAAGTGGCAATGAAAGTTGATCTAACATCTCTACCAATAGTGGGCAAAGCTGATGTCTGATGTCTTCTCTTCATCTGTGCAATGATCCTGCAGTGCAGAGGGGCATCATCAGTAACTGAGGAGACAGATTTATAGTGCTCAGTGTAACAAAATACACCAGTGAGTTTTTCAATGATGTGCTGCCAGGTGGGCCTGCCATCATAGTTGGGCATTGTTTTATTCCAGATGTCTGCAGTCTTGTCTGTCTTACACAATGATTATCAAGGTGTTTTACAATGATGTTTTTTTCTCTCTACACTTATAACCCTGTGCAAAAACACATAGTTGAATATTCATATCAAACATTTGCAGTTGCAGAACAAAACTGTAAATGTTTTATTTCCTGATTTGCAAATATTGTATAATATTACTGTCGGTCTATCTTTAACCATGTACACTCAAATGTTCATCTGCTTTTAACCTCCAGGACTTCAGCTCACAGTCTGGGCTGATATTCCAGTGCAGTAGTGGGGGGGGGGTGGGGGGAGCACTGAATTTTCAGAGTTGCCGTTATTTCTGTGAGGTTCCATGAGCTATATCGAATGCAAGGATTATTATTAAAGATCCAATGAGAGATAGAGTGGAGTTTTCCTGATAGCTAACAATCCTCGAGATACATTGGTCTTTCTCTTCATGCCTTTGTGGGACTTTGCAATGTGTTTTTTTACACACAGAACAGTCACTGCCTTTGACAGTAATTATTCTAACATTCTTTGAGATATGTTAGTGTGACGAGGTGCTGTAAAATGCACGTTTGTTTGGGATAATAGTTTTTTTTCACTGCTAAAAAAAAATCTAACATTTTCTGAGTACTCTTGAGTTTTTCTGCTAAGAGCGTGATGGAATGATTGACGATTTAGGATGTTCTGTAGCTCTCTATTGAATCATGTTGATGTAACTCTGCCCACTGTACAATCAAACCGATGAGGCATATACTGTACCAGATTTAACTCTAGGTTTGTGCTGCATCAGCTGATCACAGCCAGGGTTGTTAAAGATGCTGTAATTGGTTTTAGTGCTTCTGGGCTAATTAGGATAGCTGGAGTTTCTGTTTGTCAACCCGTGTTACCCTCTTGGAAAGTGTGAATGTTTGGCATTGATGGGGACAGAATTGGGCTTTGATGCATTCCCTTCCAGGCTCTCACATGAGGAATGATCACTTGGGTGAGGTACTGAAAATGATGAGGTATCTGATGGAATCCGATTCCTGCGAGAAAACTGTGTGAGTGGTGTGTGTGTGCGTGGGAGAGGGTGGAATTTGAGGGATATTGGACCCTTTTTAAATGTCTGTTATAGTTTGTGGCTCTTCAACATTAGCCTAATTCGATCAGGAGCAAGTTATGGTAGTTCAGGTTTCGTTCTCTACAATACTGTAGTGCCTTCGGTCACCCTCCACCCCCTCCTGATCCCAACCACCCTGACTGCTGATCCCTGATTGCGGATATCTGACTGTCCAGTGCCTTGGGACGTCCTCCTGACATGAAAGGTGCTATATAAATGTCATTTGTTGTCGTCGTTGTAGGGTTGCTGGTTAGTTTGCTTCATGTGTGCCTTTTTCAGATCGAACGTGTTTTGTTTTTGGTATTTCAAAATATAGACTCCCAAGAGTTAACGATTCTGAGGCTCCCAAGCAAAAGAGTTTTACTGTTTGAAATTTCGTTGAGGAAATATTGTCAAGCGTTCAGGCAAAAAGTGGATGTGAATTTGCGGAAATTTCACACGTTTAAATGAAGACATTGCGAAATGTCAAATGCACATTTTATTTATAGATTTAAGACACTAATATGGATATTAGTGTCACTTCTTGTCAATACACTTTTACTTGCATGTTGCTTTGATTGGCGGGCAGGAAGGCTGAATAATTCCTTAACTATACTTATTTATGTTAAAATTGTTTTAACCTGTTAACAGATGACACATTCGCGGGCAGATAGCGAAACGTATTTGACCTGTGCACTCTGCCCTCTCGATCGGGCAACATTCGGTGTTGGAAAATCACTTCGAATTCAATTACTGGAAAATGTTTTAACATAATCAGAAAGGTTTGGGCTGTGTGTGTGTGTGTGTGTGTGGTGGTGGGGGTTAATCTGTTAATTGTGGAGCTGTCGTTTCTTGGTCCTTTTGTTTTGCTGGTGTACCGAGTGCTGGTGGTACTCAATGCACCGAATGCTTTTGTGTTGTTTTTTTTTTGCAAAAAACATATTTATGGACATGTCGTGTCCTTCTTTACTTTTTAGAACGTGTGTTGTGTGTTCTGTTGTGTGTAGATTTACGACTCGGCCATTTTGGTTGAAGTAAAATAAACCCCGTGTAAAGGACGTCTGTCTCCCTTTAACCGCAGCTCAATATCATTAAAATGGGTTTGCAAATGTGCACTGTGTCTTTCTCCCCTCTCTCTCTCTCCCTCCCCCCTTCTCACTCCCTCCCTCCCTCCCCCCCTTCTCACTCCCTCCCTCCCTCCCCCCCTTCTCACTCTCTCCTCCCCCCTTCTCACTCTCTCCTCCCCCTTCTCACTCTCTCCCTCCCCCCTTCTCTCTCCTCCTCCCCCCCCCTCCCCCCCTTCTCACTCTCTCCCTCCCCCCTTCTCACTCTCTCCCTCCCCCCTTCTCACTCCCTCCCTCCCCCCCTTCTCACTCCCTCCCTCCCTCCCCCCCTTCTCACTCTCTCCCTCCCCCCCTTCTCACTCTCTCCCTCCCTCCCCCTTCTCACTCCCTCCCTCCCTCCTTCTCACTCCCTCCCTCCCTCCCTTCTCACTCTCTCCCTCCCTCCCTCTCCTCTCTCCCTCCCCCCCTTCTCACTCTCTCCCTCCCCCCCTTCTCTCCCTCCCTCCCTCTCGTCCCTCCCTCCCTTCTCTCTCCTCTCTCCCTCCCTCCCCCTCCTCTCGTCTCTCCCTCCCTCCCTCTCCTCTCGTCTCTCCCTCCCCCTCCTCTCCCTCCAATCTTTCCCCCGTTCCACTTCGAAACGGAACCGATAGAATTTCGCGACGGAACCGAACGGTTTTACCGCTTCAACGAACGCGTCGCCGGTCAAGAGTTTCCGAATCGCCTTCCCCCCACCCCCCCGAACCCCCCCCGAGCTCCGCGCGACTCGAGGGGATCGCAACGGACTCTTTAAATATATATATATTTATATATCAAAACACCGTCCCAAACCAGACTCCCCCCCCCCCAAAAAAAAAGAAACACGCGCGTGTTTTGACTCTGTTTTGAGTTCAAGCGGTCGGGCGGGCGGTTGGGGCGGAACTATTGTCGGCGGCTCCAGTTTCCAACCGGACCGGAAGCGCCGTTGTTCCCGTCACTCCAGTGGCTGTTTTTTTTGTGGGGGGGGGGGGGGAAGGGGATTCTTTTCCCCTTTTTTTTCTCTCTCTCTCTCTTTCTACATATGTGTCGCCCTCGGGGGTCGTTATCTTCCTCCTCCCGCCCCCTGGGTTTTGTTCGCGAGGGTCGGTGACACTCACTCACTCACTCACACACACACACGGCTTAAGCGGTGAAGTCGGAGGGAGTGAGGGGGACGGCGGGGCCCAGTCTGGAGCCCGAGGCCGCCGTCGGTCATAAAGCTCAATGTGCCCAGTTACCGATACAAAAAGCGCCCCGACGTGCAATGAGGGCTTTCCAGCGGGAGTTGTGGCGTGAGAGGGTCGCGGGCTGAAAACCGAGAGGTACCGAACACCAACGCCTTAACACTTTTCGATGTCTCAGCGACTTGATCCGCTTTAGGGAATCGCCCAAAGCACCGCCGGGGGTGTTGCTGATAACGGGGGGGTGGCCATCAGCACCAGTCACGGTGAATTGGTCGCGCGCTGCGCCCGCACAAATACGCAGTCACTACACTCTACAGTGTATTCCGTGAAGCGCTTTGAGATGTCTGGAAGACGTGATAAGGCGCCACATCGTGTTGTTGTTATTTGAAATGCCAATGCGCCTTATGTTTGTTAAACTTTTTTGGGGGTTTCCCCCAACTATTCTCTGCCGCGACCCCCCGACCCTAGCCGCGGGTACTGACTTTTTCTGGGCAATATTTTCACACAGCTGCTCTCTGGTATGTTATTCAAATGGCTGCGCTTAAACGGTATTATTGGGCGAGTATGTGATTGCAGATGGTTTTTGCTGTTGAGACAGATCAGGTTCTTGTCTGACATCCATCGACGTTGCACTTTGCAAATTTGAGTTTTCCTCAAAGAAATAACAAAGTGCAGTGGGCGGTGCGTATGTAAAGTTTCAAGGGATACTTGACAAGATGCCGCATAGGACGTTTGTTGGAAAAATTAAGGCATCTGATATTGATAGGAATTTGGCTGAAGCGCAGAACGGTTGGGGTGAAATGGATGTTTTTCAGGCTGTTGGGGTGTAAACAGGTGGCCCCAATTTTCTGTGATTTTATCAATATGTGTATTTTTATGTGGACTGTATATTTTGTATAGTAGGCACAGTGGAAAAAAAAATCGGGCAATGTAGAAATAAGAAATGTGGCTAACACAGGTTAGTAGACCGGACAGTATCGAAACCTAGGACGAAGGGTACAGAAGTGGGACTAAACAGGCAGCCATGTCATTAAACTGGCACAGACATGGGGGTGAATGTCCACCTTCTGTGCAATCCAACTCTATGATTCTATTTCAGCAGGCGTCACTAGCAATCAGTAAGTAGTAGACACGCTGGTGAATTGATTTCTGTTCTCTTTCTCCTCCCCTCTGCCCCACCCTCCTCCTCAACAGCAGTTTAAAAAGAATGTAACCATTGCGCCAAAAGTGCTGCCATGGTTAAGATAAGCTGAGATCAAGCATCAAAATCAGTGACCACCTGTGATTTTCTGGTTGATACCTTTACCTGCTAGGCCATTGGAAGTCCGGTATACTTTTTCATAACAATCCAAAGTTATATTGTTTATTTAGTTGATTCCGATTTCTTATATTCTGTATATCACATTTATTAAATTTCCTGAAATGAATCGCTGTAGATTGTGTTCGAAAACATTTTGTATATTGTTTGGCATGCTTTGATAATAATTAGTGTGTTTTGACTATAAACTTCAAGTTAGGTCAATGATATTTGCATAATTTGAGGTGTTGGGAGTATTTTATTTTGGTTGGGTGCAGTTTGGAAAATACAGTATTTCAAGTTTCAATGTATATTTTGTTTGTGCAATTTTGTCATTATTTCACTTGGAAGCGCAGTATTGTATGGGTGGTTTTCGTAGTGGGAATTTTTGTGGCACCAAAGTTCCATTCTGTGCTTGTTTAGAAAGAGTATGATGTTTGAACGTTGTACAGTGTTGGGTGACAAAAACTGAATCTTTTTTATATAAACATTTTTTTTATTGAATGGAGCATACTCAGTTCTGACAAGCTGAAGCATCAAAAGATCACTTTGTAGGATTTTGATTTATTTTACTTTCTTGTGTGGGCTTGATCCTGTCCTGTGATATCCACAATGTGCTCTTTCCATCAGAGAATCGTGAGGAATAATACCTTCAGCTGTTTTGCTTTGTTGCGGCAGAATCCATATTAACTTTTAAGAAGGAATATCTGAAAAGGGCAATTATGGCCACATTTCACTATAATAATAATCCTTGTGTTCGACATAGCGCCTTATCACTTCATTGAGACAGCTCAAAGTGCCTCACAGAATACATCATCAACAGAATTACATTTGTAAAGCGCTTTTCACGTCGGGAGGACGTCCCAAGGCGCTGGACAGACAGAGTTACAGACCTGAGCTGGGAGTAGGTGTGGGGAGGGTGGGCAGGGGCTGGGGGGAAGCAGGTAGATCGAAGGCACGTGAATTGACCAGTATATTTTTGTGGGTGAAACGCGGCAGCCAATTGCGAATAGCAGTGTCCCACAAACAACCGTGGATTGAATGACCAAATTATTTTTATTTTCGGAGGGGGAGAATTTCATTGTTTTGTGGTTACAGGTTCAAGAAAACAAAGACATTGGTAAGAAATGAAAAAAAAATCAAATGTAAAGGTCAATAAGGATCTGAAAGAAGTGAATATCTTGTGACTTTTCACGTTGTCTCCCTATCAGAAAGCTACCAACTAAAAACACAAAGGCAGATAATATAATGAGTCATTCACAGTTTTTGAAAAGCTGCAAAGAGGTGTTAAAGGAGTACAACAAAATTAACAAAATTACATTTGTAAAGCGCCTTTCACGTTGGGAGGACGTCCATAAAATATAGATATACTGCCTACCATGGTGGCAGCTAAGAACGCTAAGCAATTGCTGCTGAAGCTTCACACCTTCAACTGGTGGAATCCCCTTGAACACGTTACATTAATTACATGACAAGAGTCCTGTAGCTCAGTGGTTAGAGCACCCGCCATGCAAGCAAGAGACTTGGGTTCAATTCCCGGCGGGGTGAAATACTGGGCAAGTTTCCTTACTCCACGCACATGTTTCTGTTTACCCAGCAGTAAGTAGGAACCCGGTTGTTAGTCAGTTGGCAGATTGTCTTTCTGGGTGTAATAATTCCTTTTTTTAAAAAAAAATTGGTCACTCAATCCGTGTCTGTTTGTGGGACACAGCTGTGCGCAATTGGCTGCCACGTTTCGCCCACAAAATATACAGTATATACTATGAAGCGCTTTGAGATGTCTCGAAGACGTGATAAGGTGCTATGTCAAATGCAAGGATTATTATTATGTGTCCCGGCTTTATTCTGGAGGTTGGTAGCTTCATGATAGGGAGGCGAAGCGAAAAGTCACAAAATATTCACACTTCTTTCGATCCTTATTGACTTTTACATTTCATTTTCTTTTCATTTCTTCCGAATTTCTTTGTTTTCTTGTACCCGTCCCCACAAAACAATGAAATTCTTCGTGGTTGGTTTGCGGAATGTAGATTTCCATTTTTACTTCAATATATCTCACCGCTCAGTATAAGAGAGACGCACTATGTTATCAATGTGTTGGATGTAGTGCCTTGTCATATAATGTTTCAAAGTGTTTTCACAGTTTTATATTATTGTAAATCAGGGCATCTTAGAATGTCAGCCAAGCCTGAGCTTAAAGTCCTGATGCGGGGCTTGAAAACACAAATTTCTGACTCAAGGATGAGCCTAATGGTGTTTGAAAAGACTAATTAGAGTTTGGTGTTGGTTCACCCCTATCGGTTGGTTTGTTATCACAATTTCCAACCGGATCATTAAGGAGAAATACTGTAAATTGGTGTCTATGTGGCATTCACGGTGTACTTATTTGGTTGCTTACGGTGCAAGAAGAAAGTGACAGTAAAATATCCCCTTTCCGTTCTACTTTTCCTTCCTTTCTCTCTACCCCTCCTCCCAACAACAACAAATTGCATTTATTTAGCGCCTTTCACATTAGGAGAGACACTCAATAGAGAAGGGTTTGCACCTGAGCTGGGCGTCGGAGTCGAGAAGGCTGGAGGGCAGGAGGAATGGGGTTGGGAAGATGACCGAAGGCACAGTCGAAGAGGACGGTTTTGAAACTTAGCCTTGAAGAGGCAAGGGAGGGGGCAATTCTTAATGACTGATGTTTTACTTTTCTCTTTTACGCAAAGCGGACTTTTGCCCCTCATTCCAACGACAGGCTGATGGTTATATCAGGCCTTCGTGTTAAGTCTGTTGTTTGCATCTCATTTCCAGAAACACAATGTGGGCAAGATGTCTGCCTATAATCAGACTTCATGCAATTGCTTCTAAATGAAAATGAGACCAGTGAAATTACATATAAATGAGAGGAATTTAGGATTTAAATTGAGCAGGTTATGCAAAGGCTCAAATGGTTAGTGAGAATTGCTTTTTGTTTTTCTTTGTTTCATTGGATGACACTGAAGATCATTTTTAATATTTTTTAGCTTCGTCTTTTTTGATGATAATTGTTGCACTTGGAATGTCAGTTGCAGCCTTCTCCGCCGTGGTAAACGTATGTGTTTCAGAAACATGTTGGCAAATTGCTACCCACCAACTTGCATTTTTAGGCTCTTCATCTCCCTTGCTCACCTTTGCTCTCATGAGGTGCTGTTGTTAAGCCTCCAGCTGTATTTTCATTCATTTGTTTCCCAATTCAGTACCTTGCAGCAAAACTATCAATGCAAATGTATTTGTACCATATTGTGGTAAATTGCAGAAAAAAGATTATGACTGATTTTTATTGAATTCAGAGAATGCACGGATTACCATAAGCCTAATTATGCCTAAATGTTTTTTTACTCCACTGTAGAAACTATTGTAAAAGTTTATCCATGGAGTCCTGTAGCTTAGTGGTTAGAGCACTCACCTCTCAAACGAGAGATCTGGGTTTGATTCCCAGGCAGGGTGAAATTTTAGGCAAGTTTCCTTACTCCACATTGCCTCTATTTACCTCCAACTAAGTGGGAACCTGCTTGTTTGGCGATTGGTGGATCGTTTTTCCAGGGCTAATTACCCCATAAAAATTTTTTNAGAACTTAATAATTTGGTCACTCAATCTACGACTGTATGTGGGACATTGCTGTGCACAATTAACTGCCACGTTTTGCCCACAAAATATACAGACATTTAAATTTACAGTGTTTTCTGTGAAGCGCTTTGAGACATTTCGAAGACGTGATAAGGCGCTATATCAAGTGCAAGGATTATTATGATTATAATTATAAAAGCTGTCACATTTGCTATTGCTTGCAAATGGCCCAACAACTATACGTGCAACTTTCTGGAAATTAGTATCGTAAATTCTTGTGTTAATTGTTGTTTTGAATCCAACCACTCGTGTGCGTTCGGTTTGTTTCAGAAATGGGACACAGACCCAAATTGAGATGTTCATATCTGATCTAATTTCAAATCCAGTTCTAGTACTTGAAATATTTTGTGCCTCTGCATCGAATATTAGTTAAGCTGCTATCCACTCTTTAAATTGCTTGGAATTCTATAAAATATTTAAAAAAACAAAGTTGTTTAGGTATAAAAAGACTGCAGTCAAAAAACCTTTGATCCTTTAGAATTATGTACATGTTTTGCTTTCTTATATATACATATTAGAATGTGTTTCTCCTTGGACTTTTCCAGAATAAACTCACTGAAGTGTTATACATTTAGGAATTGAAATTATTATTTGTTACTCGGTGCATTGAAACTAATTTATAATGCTTAACTCGGGCTGAAATACGGACAAAACTGCAGGAGTTCATCTCACTGCACAGGAGAACACAAACTCAGTGCTGCAATTCGGACTAAGTAAAAGAATTGGAGTGGTTTAGTGGTGCTGTCCTAATTATGTTGTATTCTCTCAGTGGGATAAGCACATGTTAAATTATTTTGTGTATTTTCTTTACTTCTGAGCGAGTGACTGAGTGATTTGTGTATCTGCCAGAAGGGTACAACAGCTCAATTTGAAAAAATATTAGAATGGAGCTGGAAATTGGAGGGAAATGTATATATTTTTGTTCTGCCAGATTATATTAGTGCACAATATAATCTGACAATATAGAAATACATATTTTGGTGCAGCCAAATCCATGTGCATCTATCCTTGTTATTGTAAAAATAATTGTGGATCTTGTAGTGGGTCCAATTACAAACATTATTTGTTGCGCTGCTGCCAATATTATCAGGCTATTAAGAGTTCAGAACCCTAGGAAGTTTCACGGCAGTTTCATAAAACTATAGTAATTGTTAAACAAATGTATTCCATCTTTATTTGCGACCTAAAGACTGTCTCAGTTCATTTGGGCGTTAACGTGTAGCTTGATAATGGTGGTTATGGTATGTCATTTCTCTGTCTTCCTGCTCCCATCTTTTTTAATCCATCCCCTGAAAAGAGGATTGAAACTAAATAGATACTCTTCAAATGACTGCTTTATTGGACGTTGTGAAGACTTATTACATTGGAGGTTCTGTCTGTTCATAGTCCCCTAACCTGTGGAAATTTGTCACTTTAAATTTTCATCCACTTCTAGGAGGGCTTGGTGTTTACTGAGCTCAAAAAAAAATCTGTCCAGTTTTGAAAGATGTTATTTAACCACAAGGATGAAATTTGACCCCATTTTGGTCTGTGTGGCCACGTGCAGCATGTCAGTGCATTCACTCATTGAGCAATTGTGTGGAAACAATTTCGTAAAATAAAAAGTTTTTAAAAATCCCAAATTGCTGGGATTCAGAGGCATGCATCGTGCTGCAGTGCAAACAAACAGTACCGCTGATCCGCTGAAAGGTACCAAGATCCCACCCAAAATATCTTTTCTAAATGACTCTGCGCTTAATGGCGAATTAAATATTAGCTCCAGCAGCAGAAGATGACTCTTTATCTGGATGCGGTTATACACTTTGAACACTTTGTTTTTGCTGGCTGTCTATTATGGGGAGCGGTGTGGCAAGAGGAGGCAGACTTGTGGTAAAGTAGGAAAGAATAGCGAGGATTGAAAAACATTTCAAAGTGTGATTTCCCCCTCTTGACAGTGAGCTTCTTTTTGAATTTGTAAATTATTTTGGCGGTGTACTTGTGCTTTCAAGTGCATTTGTGAGCTGAGTGCCACCCTGAAGCCGTCCCAGGCTGAGAGGTCATGGTGTTGGACTATTTGTTGCCCGACCATTGTGCCTCAACCACAGCCTTGCAGACCAGCTACTGCTGCACCAGTGTCAAATTTCTGTTGTTTGATATATTTCTGGAGCATTAACCTTTGGCAAAGGCTTGTTGCACTGGTTACAATTCTTTTAACTTAGAAACGCGCTGAGAGTTAGAAATAATACATCTTGGGAAGTTTTGTACTTTTGCTATTCAGTTGCTTTTAAGTTTGTCGTGTATCCGTTTACCAATCTGATGTGACGTCACGTACTTGGCTTCTTTACCTGTGCCGTCGTTGGAAAGTGATTGCTGAACTGATTGAATTGTTGAATGCGTATTGAAGATAATAATAATAATCCTTGCAATTTATCGCGTCATCGAGTCGTCTCAAAGTGCTTCACTGAATGCACCGTAAAGTACAGTGAAATGTGGCAGCTAATTGCGCACAGCAGTATCCCACAAACAGTCGTGGATTAAGTGTCTGAATAATTATTATTTTTGGAGGGAAAGTGATCCGCCAATTGACTAGCAAACGAGTTCCTTCTTACTGCTAGGTAAACAGAGGTGTGTGTGGTGTGGCGTAAGAAAACTCGCCTACAGCTTCGCCCTTATATTGAGAATTAGATTGTTTTTACTTGAGAATTATTGGATATGTGCATTTGACACATTCTAATCTATATACAGCACTGATACTTTTTTAATGTAAAATTTGATTAGTAGAAGAACTTTGGTTGCTGCACAAGATCATATTCAGATGAAGAAGGCCCTTTGGATCCTTTAATCTCATTCTTTCAAATTACCCACTGTCTTCCCATTACAGAATCAAGCTGTTCTTTTAATTGAGCACTCAGGATGCATCATTTATTCGAAATAAGTTCAGTGCAGTTCTCCCCATCTCCCAAATCACACGAAGATTTTGTTGCAGTTTTCTATAACAGGAGTTGCCTTGTTTCTGCTTGTAACAACACGGTTCATTTATTTTCTAGGTGTCTCAGTGAGGGACACAGGGTGCCGGGAAAGGAGTGCAGTATGGATGGAATGGAATCAAGTAATGAAGAAAATTGCTCAAACACCACAGGTTTGTCTCACTGTGTTGTGTGTGTGCCCCTACTCTAAATTTGTGCATATGAAGGTTATTGATAAATATTTGACTGCTTAGGTGCCAATATTCATGAGCAAATATGTTTTTGCAAATTGAGTACCTGCCAATTTGCTTTGCGCACACTGTTGCTAAATCCCTTGATCTGTGTACAAATTGTATATTTTGAATGAGTCAACAGTATACAGTTGCAGCAGGATTTTTTTTCCTTAAGCAAGTGGGAAATGGTGTTTTGCTACTTTCTGGTCTAATTTGGACTGTTCCTCAAATTTAAAGCTATTGGCCCATCCTAACTGTGCAAAATAAATGCACATCATAAAGTAAAAGCCAATATTTTCATATTATAATTCCACTTGAAAGCCTTCAAATGTTAAAAAAAAAAAATCTTTTGGAATATGTTGATCTAGTTGACACTTAATATACTAGAGAGCCTGATTAGGGCTGCTTAAAATGTGGATATGAAAGCAGTATTGGTGCCAATTCATTACATGAAATACAGTACTAACCAAAACCTATTTCCACTATAGTGCTACAGTAATATACTCCCTTCTTTCCCCACCCTATAGTGCTAGCACTTCACTCTTCCTGTAGAGAGTCAGCTTTTCTCTTTTCTCTCTCTTCCCCCCCCCCCCCCCCACCCCATCCCACGTACAGGATGCCAGCTCTTTACTATACATCGTGCCAGTGGGAACTCAGACTATTTGTTTCACCTTGCTATTGTCCAGAATGATAAAGTGAAGTTGTACTGTTCCAGCTCAGAGTAGCAGGCTGAGCACAGACTGAGAAATGGTACCTGTAACTAACCGTCTGGCCTACATGATCAAGCCCTACTATGTGTAATACCTTTACCTCTAAGTCACAAGGACATGTTTAAGCACTCTAACCCTTGTGAAGGGCACTATACAAATGCAAGTTGTTGTCATTGTGTGGAAAATTTAATAGATTCAGAGAACAACCATGCATATCTGCAGTGGTTTGACAGGAAGTATTTTTGAAATAGTGTTGGAACGCTGCTCTGTTTGCCTTTTGGTTAAAACCTGCTTTATTTCTGTTTGCAGCTGTTAAAGTCAACTCTGCTGAAACCAGTTGTTTAGCAGAAGATGATGAAGCTGATCCATCTGCATCTCACGACTCTTCAAAACAAAAGGAAGCACCAGAGACTATCTTGAAAGAAGTATCCAAGGAACCGTGCAGGTAAGAGGAGAATCGTAAGATAGAATCGTAGAATCTTACAGTACGGAAGGAGGCTATTCGGCCCATTATACTTGTGCCAGCTCTTTGAAAGAGCTGTCCAACTAGTCCCACTCCCCCGTAGCCCTGCACATTTTGTCCACTTTAAAGGTTTGCCAGGAACAGTTCACGTTTGTATGTCCTTGGTTATTGGAGTTTAGCTGATATGAAACAGAATACGTTTGGAGTTCGTTAGCTGCCATCCTGTAAAGTGAATTGACTATATTTTGTGGGCAAAGATTCTTGGGAGAATTTATGTTTCACAATCTTCCTTCTGTATAGCTTGGAGCAGAAGCTCTGTGTTTTTTGTAACTGTGGAGCGAAGAGTTTACATGGACAAAGAGAACTTGAGCGATTCGATCCTTCAGATGCTTTGGGTGAACTTGGAAATGGAGAATCTAACAAAGCAGATGAGACCAGTCCAGCTTCAAGGCGTAAGAGTGCTTCAGGATTGGAGGAGCTCTCGGATGAGCTCTCTCATGTGGGCTTTGAGGAACATACAACAGTGACGCTCCTTGAACCAACAGGTGAAAATGACAACCATTTGGGGTACAACACTCTGTCCTCGAGTTCTTAAAATGAAACACAGCCACAGAATAACACACCAGATACTTTAACATGGAAGATGCAATTTGACCCATCACTCCTTTGCCATGCTTTTACCTCTGCTTAGAATAATATTAATAATTTACTCATCTTCATGAGTGTTTCTGGTGAAGTGTTTGATCAGCTCAGGGTTAAAAAAGTAAGGAAGAATATGGGTTTGGGGTCGAAAAAAAAGATAGATGACAATTGGTCTGATCCAGCAAGATAGAAACGGGGGAAATAATTAATCTACTTCTGTTTCTGAATCCATGTATTCCAGGTCACTTCTGGGCTCATCATTGGTGTGCGGCCTGGTCAGATGGTGTTGAAAAGAATGAGGGGCAAAGACTGGTTAATGTGGACAAAGCAGTAATCTTGGGTAACTCACAGGTGAGACCAAAAACGCCAATTATGGGGGCTGTTGAAGTAATGTGCGGTCAAACTATTCTCCGTAATGTAGAGAGCTGCCTTAATCCATGGAGTCCTGTAGCTTTGTGGTTAGAGCACTCGCCTCGCAAGCGAGAGACCTGAGTTCAGTTCCCGCCAGGGCAAAAATTTGGGGAAGTTTCCTTACTCCACACACCTCTGTTTACCTAGTAAGCAGTAAGTTGTTAGTCGATTGGCGGATTGCTTTTCTGAGGATGATAATTCCTTAAGAAATAATAATAATTTTGTCACTCAATCCACGACTGTTTGTGGGACACTGCTGTGTGCATTTGGCTGCTGTGTTTCGACCACAGGTTATACAGTCAATTCATCTGTGAAGCGCTTTGAGACGTCTCGACGTGATAAGGCACTATTACAATTATTCTGTTATATATTGATCTATTGTTTCCCAAAATAATGTGCTCCAACGAGAGAGCTTATAACAAGAACAACAAGATTACATTTGTATAGCGCCTTTCACGTCGGGAGGATGTCCCAAGGTGACGAAAATTCCAATGAAATACTAATTGTAATTGCAGTTAATCATATCTAAAATTGTAGCGGTATAATGACATGACTTCAGTGTTCATAATTGTCTTCATAGGCTCAGGGTATATTAAACTAGTTTAATGGTACATAAATTGTGAACTGGATCTAATCCACTCCAGAAGGATAGAATTATACTCCCAGTGAATTGTATAGACAGTAAAATTTTTTGCAAATGTAGCAATCATCAATTATGCTTTTTAAAAAAAAATTGGTTACAATTTTAGTGATACTTGATGCAATTTTATCCTTTGCTGTAAGATGTTTGCCTTATTTTTTCCTCAAAGTATTCGATTAAAGAAATGTGTATTACATTGGCTAAATTGGTTTCATTGATATGTTCCTTCACAGAAATGTGAATATTGTAAACGGTTGGGAGCTACCATCCGGTGCCAGATGGAGGGATGTTTAAGAGCGTACCATTTCCCCTGTGCTGCAGCGTCTGGTTCCTTTCAGTCAATGAAGACCTTGACTCTACTGTGTTCAGAACATGCAGATAAAGCTGTACAGATAGGTACTCCGAGCTTGCTCACATTCGTGTTCAAATACCTTCACTCTCTGGCACCTTCCTACCTCTCCGACCTCCTCACTCCCCAATCCACCACCCGGCGCCTCCACTCGACTAGCACTGGCCTCCTGCTCGGTCCCTCGCACCCTCTGCCCCACCATCGGAGATTGCACTTTCAGCCACTACACCCCAAAACTCCGGAACACTCTCCCTCAATTCCTTTGCCTTGCCCCCTCTTCCCTTTTTNCAAGTCTTGCCTGAAGACCTTCCTCTTCGATCTTGCTTACAGCCACAACCCCCACGGCTCGGAGTCAGGCTCCGCCACGGTTAAGCTTTAATACGCTACCCTGCGTGGAGGGCACTATATAAGTGCAAGTTATTGCTGTTTTCCTTTTCCTCCTATTTCCTTTTGTTCATGCTTTGGGCCACCTCTCCTCTTCATTCTAGTCTTTGTATATTTGTTCCTAAATCTGAATGCACCGAATGTGTCTGTGCCACCTAATTACAATAGATACATTCAGATTTTTGGGGTTATGGAAATTAGTTGGAAGTTGTGATCGGGGTAACAGTAAACCACTATTGCCGTATTGTCCCTGGCCAATGGAGGGCAAATCTGCGTAAGTTCATTTTCTTGGAAGCTGTTGAATAGCCCCTGTTGTTACTGCGTGTATGTGGATGTTAAGTAATGACAGGATCAGGCTTGAGGTATAATATATTGAGGTATCAGGTATAATCTTTACGCGATTAAAGAACCTGCCAACAACTGCTCTGTAGGCTGCATGAGGAAGGGTCACCTGTTGAGTGCTACTGGAGGATGTCTGGGGGTACATGGAGCCACATCTTGGCTCAAGAGCTAAACGGGTTCGTGGAATAACAGCTAAATACTCGAATGCTGCAGCATTAAATTGTGAACCTAGCAAAATACTGCTGCTGATGACTGGATTACATACCAATAGCATCATTTTTGTAGTTCAGATTCTATTTAAGCCTTGCACTACAATGCAGTTTTGGATCTTTTTTGCTTAGCAACCAGTCAGGTCTTTCATTGTGGGATACCTACCCTAAGGTCAACCTGGGTTTACATTTAAAAAAACCCACAAATGTTGGATGAGAGGCTTTTTAGATCTCGATCTCTGCCCGATCAATACGTCATTGCGACATCAGTGTTTTTAAAAAAAAATGACTTGCCCACGTTTTTTCTTTCTGCCGTTTTAGCAAAGGAGGAGGCAAATTGTGGCGTGTGTGATGCGCCAGGGGATCTTCTGGACCTCCTCTTCTGTACCAGTTGTGGATTGCACTTTCATGGTGCGTGTCTGGAAATAGTAGTGACGCCGGTTAAACGTGCTGGCTGGCAGTGCCCTGAGTGTAAAGTATGCCAGACCTGCAGGTTTGTATCTATTCCTGAGGACAGCCACAGTATTTGGGTTAGGGAATAATGTTAACAATGTCGAACGCTGTATTAACAATAATAAATAATCCTTTTGCACTTGATGTAGCGCCTTATCGCGTCTTCGAGACGTCTCTAAGCGCTTCACAGGATACATTGTAAAGTGAATTGACTATATTTTGTGGACGAAATGCGGCAGCCAATCGTGCACAGCAGCGTCCCCACAAACTGTCGCGGATCAAAGTGACCTATTTTAAAAAAAAATTGGGTGGGGGAAGGGATTATTATTTCCAGAAACGTGGTCCGCCAATCAACTTAACAAACGGGTTCCTACTTACTGCTAGGTAAACAGAGGTGTGTGGAGCAAAGAAGCTTGCCCAACATTTCGCCCTGACCGGGAATCGAACCCAGGTCTCTTGCTTGCGAGGCGAGTGCTCTAACCACTGAGCTACAGGACTCCACATTATTGTTAAATTGGAGGAAGTGGAGAAAATAACCCTTTCTGTGATATGTTGAGAAGTGAAGGTTCCAAGCCGGATTTTGTAAAATAGTCAAATACTGCGAGCTATGGGGAGAATATTCTTTTTTTAAAAAAACTATTCTGCTGGACAAATTTGTGTGTGGTTTAGGGTAGTGATGGCTCCCTTTTGAATTCAATGCAGGCAGCCTGGTGCAGACACGATGATGCTTGTGTGTGATGAGTGTGACAAGGGCTATCACACGTTTTGTTTGAAACCGGCAATGGAATCGCTGCCTACGGATAGCTGGAAATGCAAGGTATGTTTGTGAGTCTTCTAGCCCTACCTGTCCTTTGATAACATCCGTAAGTGGATGATCTGCTGTCTTCATTCTACTGTAACCTGAACATAATGTACAGAGTACGATGCTTAAAGCCTTGTGTCAATGAGAATTTAATTTCTCACTGCTGTTACTAGAGGTTGTAATTGTCATGTAAATACAATCCCCTTATGAGGGTTTGAGACTTAATTGACGTTTGTACAATAAGCATAGTGTCTGGCTGTTATGTTGCCATTAATACAGACCCAATTGTGCTCTCAGCTGAGTTTCTCACACAGGCACTTTTCAGCAAGGGGATGTTTAATAACAATTAAAAGTGATTTAAAAAAAAACATGACTATAATTTTCTGCCTTTCCTCATTCAGGAATGTTGAAACTAATTGCAGTACCCGAACGATTTAATACTCGAGTAGGGATTGAACCTTGTCTGATCTTTATGACTCAGTTCAACACTGGCCACTGTGTTTGGCACTAGTGACATCGGGGAGTTCTTCCGAAAGCTTCAAGAGTAATTTTACTTTTTCTGTGCAGAATTGTCGGGTGTGCAGCGAATGTGGTTCGAGGTCTGCAGGGAAGCCTCCGAGTGCCCAGTGGCATCGGAACTATTCGGTGTGCGATAAATGTTACTGGCAAAAGAACCGAGACGGTGCCACGTGCACAATATGCGGAAAGGCAGGCGGGCAAACAGACGACACACTGCACTGCCATGTCTGCCAAAAGTAAGTATCTTCCTCTTAACAATGTTTTGAAGGTTCCATGGCACCAATTTACGGTCGGGGCTGAAAAAGAGGGTTCTGCATGCAGCACTGTAAGGCTGGAGTGGTTCCATCGTGTTGTGCGCTCTGGTAGAAAGTCAACCTCATCAACCTAGCGATCTGATATCAATCCAACCTCCTCTTCGACCGTGCCTTCGGTCACCCTCCTAGCCCTACTCTTCACGCCCGTCCTCCACCCTTCCTGATCCCAACCACCACCTTCCAGCACCTTGGGACGTCCTCCTGACGTCAAAGGCTCCATACAAATGTAATTTATTGTTGATTTGCGACATGCCAGGTGGACCGTAATGGACCGCATGTTCTTCAACGAAGAGTGCTCACAGTCACTTCCACAACTTAAAACAGATAAAAGACGAAGATAATTTATAATCTTGCAGCACCTTATCACGTCTTCGAGACGTTTCAAAGCGCTTCACAGAATATACTGCAACGTGAATTGACTGTATATTTTGAGAGTCCACAAATACACAGGAACTCCACTTGCCAGCAATTACTTATAAAAGGCCTTGAAATAGTTTAACATTTTTAGACGCTTATTAATTATGCACCATTATTATCAAAATCTTTCACGTCTTGAGGTTTTGTTGGAAACTGTCTATAAATATAAACATTGTCTTGTAACACCCAGTTAGAATTTCACAATCTTCTTTAACTAATGCTACTTCCTCCTATTTTAAATATTTCACATTATACTTTGTCCTTTCTCTGCTTGATGCATCCTCCCTCACTGATTGGACAACCTACTCCGAGGTCTGTCAGAAACTGTCAGTTAGGAGATGTTTGAGGGCAAACCAAGGGGACTGGGAAGAAATCTTGTGTTTTAATCCTGCATGATCAGCAATAACCTGAATGGGAGTGAATTTTTCCATGGCGATTTGAATGCTTTGTGTTTCTTGTGTCTGTTGTAAATTCACAGTTCTATAAAATGTTGGAAATGGCATTTCAATCCACGACTGTTTGTGGAACATTGCTGTGCGCAATTGGCTGCCGCATTTCACCCACAAAATATGCAGTCAATTCACTTTACAGTACATTCTGTGAAGCGCTTTGAGACGTATCGAAGACGTGATAAGGCAGTATATCAAATGCAAGGATTATTATTTCCTTAGACTGTTCTATTTCTTATTTTCAGGTGGATTCATGCAGACTGTGATTCCTCATCTCTCCATTTATTAGGACAGCAATATACCTGTACATCATGTAAAAACGCAGCACAAAAAAATACAGACCATTCAACTTCTGAGCAGGCGGAGGAGAAAGAATCAGAACCTGAGTCAGCAGATAGCTTGGGTCAGTAATTTAATGGAGTCCAATCTAAATGTTAAACATTTTACAGTGCATCTCCCAACGATGAAAATGTTTTGCAGATTATTTTGTCTACTGTATGTGCATTTCATTTAGATTCACTTAAACTGCAATCTGAATGAACTGGGCTCTATGACATTACGCATCCAATCTAAAAAGTTGTGCCATTTTTTAGAATGTTTTTTACTAAAATGGCCGGTCATCTGCATTTCCTTTTAATATTTGATTCAAGACACCATGGATATTTTGGAAAAAAAAGTCACTGGATGTTGTTTAAAATGGATTAAAATGAATTATACAGAATTTGCCGATAGTCTCCATTATGTTCATCAGGCGGCAGATTTACCTGCAGAGACATTGAGTTTACCATTAAAGGAACGCTGCCTCTAGGAGAGACAGTTAATCTGCTCATCACCTTGCAGCTACTGTTATACAGGGTGACCAAAAGGTTGCGATAGCTACCCTATTATCTAAAAACAAACAAAAATATCATAATTTATTTAAAACTTATTATACATAGTAGTGGTATCACTGCTTTTTGGTTACCCTGTGCCTTACAACTATGGTGACAGGACTGCTGACTTGCTTTGGCTTTTTGTTGGGAAAGATACAAGATGTGAAATCCGAAGGAAAATAATGGTACCAATGGGGCAGCTGTTTATGAATAAGTTGCAACAACTAGAGCTTTTACCGCAAAAGCCTTCAATGACGACAGTAGGTCAGGAAGTGGTTAATAAAGTGTAATGTTAAGGTGAAATTATTTGTTTGTGTACTTGAGCACATAAGCAAAATCAGAAATCTAATGCCTCTTGGAGAATATTGTGAATCAAGAAATATTTTTCTGATTCATTGCATTTCATTAATGTTGTAACCCTTTGAAGTTTATTGCTCGTAACAAAAACGTATGCCTTTGAAGTCCTCAAAATATATTAAAGTACTTTTTGTTGGAAGAATATTTTTTCCTCTTTCAAACGTCTTTGCTACAGGAAAGCAGTTGGTCCTTGCTGTGTGCTACAGGAAAGCAATTGGCCATTAAAATGGGCATTAGTGCCATTGTGAGGGAGTGTCCAAAGGAGATGTGTGACCAGAGGTTCTCACATTTTCCCCTGAGTGTGACTGTAGCTCAGTGGTTAGAGCACTCGCTTTGCAAGTGAGAGACCTGAGTTCAATTCCAGACAGGGTGAAACCTTGGGCAAGTTTCCTTACTCCACACAGCGCCTAATAATAATCCCTCCAAAAAAACAAAACAATAATAAATTGGTCATTTTCAATCCACAACTGTTTGTGGGACATTGCTGTGCGCAATTGGCTGCTGCGTTCGCCCACAAAATATACAGTTAATTCACTTTACAGTATATTCTGTGAAGCGCTTTGGGACGTCTAGAAGACGTGAAAAGCGCTATATCAAATGCAAGGATTATTATTATTATTATCAGGAACTCCCAAGGGGTGATCAGACATGAAGCTTTCACTGATGCAGCACTGCAAGTTTGTCCTTTAGTGAGCTGCACCACATTGTTACATTTGTTAACGTTAAAAACGGCACTTGGTTTTGGTACAGGGAAAACAGAAGAACTATCAAAATGCACTGAAAAGCAAAGCGAGGATTCAGAACCTGCAGAACAAGCGATGGAAGATGTTCCTCAAGACTCCTGTCAGAAGGAAGAGGGTGAGAGAGCCTTCCTTTTTAATAATAATAACAATAATAATAGCATTTGATATAGCGCCTTATCACGCTTTTGAGACGCCTCACAATGCTTCACAGAATATACTGTGAAGTGAATTGACTGTATAGTTTGTGGACAAAACTAAATTAAGGCTGGGTGTCAGTTTTGAGCCATGTTTTAGACGTAATTCTCCTATGCTTTATATCTTTCACCTTTCCTTTTTCATTCCCTAGTCTAAAGGGTGTGCAGTGCAACTTCTCCCTGGCCTTTAATGCTTTGTATTTAGCTGTTCTGAGGTGGACTAGAGCAACCCTTGTTACCTTGCGCTTTCTTTGATGCTGGACACTTTCCTGGATTTGGCAGATGGTCTTTAATTTCTTGGGCTTTCTTCATAACCCAATGCTCCTCAGATTTCCTGTAAAACTTCTCCAGATTCTTTCGCTCATGTTTTTTGGTCAACCGGGTGACTGACAATGCCACGGTTAGATTTGTTGAAACTGGATTGATTTCCACATGTGGAGAGCTATTGTTCTTTCTCTGCAATGCAATTTGCACTCTCTCCCTGGAAGGACACACCCTGTTTTATCCAATTCCAGAGGGTCCTGGAGTGCCAGCTTGTCAACAAGCAATTACAGCTGATTTTGCCCACAAAATATGCAGTCAATTCACTTGACACTATATTCTGTGAAGTGCTTTGAGAGGTCTCGAAGACGTGATAAAATGCTGTGTCAAATGGAAGGCTTATTATTATGTTAAGACATTTTTTNAATTTTTAGGGATGTAGATAAAGTGGAATGCTTGAGCACATTGATAAATGTTGGATGACTTCCAAGCCAATGTAAATTTAAATAATTCAATACAACTGTTCACTCTCTCTTTATTTTGCTAAAGAACAATCTGTTTCCTCAGTGTGTCCTTGGTGTGTTGTAAATAAAATCTGATCTTTATTATTTCCTGCCGTCTTCCTGATGAATCAACACAGTGTCATGATTGAATGCAAGGTTATAAGCACAGCCTTGATGATAGGACTGCATTAATCCATGTCACTAACATTGCCCCCAATTTACACACTGCTGATATGGCAGAGGTAGTTTAAGAGAATGCTGCTGCTTAATGCCTTGTCACCTTATCCTCAATCAAAGCGGTGGAGGTTAACCTTTTTTTTTAAAAAGTAATTTAAATTCTACCTCATCTGCTCTGGTAGCTGCACTGAAAAAGCAGTACTAAAATGTATTTTCCGACCGATGTATAAGTGTAAACAGAAAAGTGGGGATCCAAAATTGCTCATGTGTTGTGAAGAGGACAGCAGATTTTCGGTGTTAGGGTGAGCTCCTTGTTTATCTCGTGAAGCAATTTATGATTCAAGTGAGAACAGTTACGGAGCACAATAACTATCACAACGAGAGCTAATGAAAGTTCTTCTTAGAATACAGCAACTCAGTTAGTGAAAGAACTTTCCCTTGGAATGGCCAATAAGTCACGCCTGCAATTTCCGCAATTCCATTGTAGAGGAAATCATGTTTAAAAGACGTGACTTTTGGACGGTTTCCAAGCTTTTTTTGGAACACTTGGGGCCCATTAGGCCATTTCAGAGTGAAGTGTATATAAATGTATAAGTGTATAGAGAAGTGTACAGGTTAGGTGGCTGAATTTGTCTGTATTCTAATACTTCTTTGTGTTAGCTTGCTGCAAGGTATCCGCGACATTGTTGAGCTTAACCTATCAGAAATACATTGCAGTCACGTGGCACCTGTGGTTTGACAAAGTGCCGTAGAGCATTTCGAGTCAAGGCCTCAACCACTGGTTACATGATGCTGCCGGGTGCTGATTCACCATTGCATTTAGTCCTTTCTGTACTAAAACCTAAACTGATTAAAATGTGTTCGTGGAGTCACTCCAGTAAAGATTCTTTCATCCTGTTTAACTCTTTAATTTGTAACACTTGTTACAAATTAACAGGTCCCCCGCACTTCCCGCCCCACCGTTGGCGATCAGGCATTCAGCATCTCTGTCCTCATACTCTGAAACTCTATCCCACAATCCCTCCGCCTCATCCATCTTTTGCCTCCTACAAGTCCCGATCAAAGACCGTCCTCTTCGATCGTGCCTTCGGCCACCCCCTGCCCTCCACTCCTCCTGACCCTAACTCCCAGCTTGGGTACCAAAACCCTGATTCTCCAGTGCCCTGGGACGTCTATTCGACATGAAGGGTGCTATACAAGTGTCACTTGTTGTTGTTGTCTTCAGAAGTGTGGGAGTGAAGATTTTTTTGAATGTCGTATGAAGGAAAAGGTCTCTCGGTACTTGGATAGTTAACATTAACTGAGGTTGAGCGACGAAGCGAGCTGCTAAAACGTTTCTGTTTCAACAGAGCCCATTGACACCAAAACCAGTGTGGAAGCCGAGATTCCAGAGCAGCAAAAATCCGAAGAAGTCAGTACAGAGGAACAAGTGGGAACTCAGTCCCATGATTCTATTTTGGAAGATGGCGTCAAAGACTCTGGAGTCAGAGACTCTGAATCGGCGAAAGAATTCAAAGCTGAGAAAGCTGAAGATGAATTGCAATCTTCTCATAGCGCAGAGATTCATCTAACTCCTGAAAGCAGGGCAGACTCTCCCAAATGCGAGAGCATTGAACATTCTGAGGACTCGCCTTGTACAGAAAAAGAACCACCAGAATGTTTGAGTTTGGATCCTACAGATGGACAGGAAAACTCGGTGCGGAAGGACATAGTTGAGAGCCCCAACTCTGTCTCAGACCAGATAGAGACTGGTGAGGTTTCTGCAGAAAATTGTGCAAAAAGTCCAACTGGTTCCTTGCCAGAGCAGTTGCAAACCAACGATCATGTCGCTGATACTGACCTGAGTCAAGGTGCCCCTGGCAGTACTTCTACTGAAGCAGAGTTGGGTTGTGTCTCTTCTACCTTAAGCCAACCGGAGGAGTCTCTCAAAATCCAGTCAGATGAGACCGAGCTAAATGAGATTCCAGGCGACCCCACCTGTGAATTGATGGAGAGAGACGACATCCTTCCTGATGCCGTTTCGGATGGGATGGAGACGAGGGATGATCCCACTGATATGGAGATTAATGATATTCCGACCCCTATGGAGGTTCCATCTGCAGTAAATAAGCTAAAAACTGAGCCAGACGCTCCAATGGAAGTGCAGGACGTGAACTCAGACCCCGTCTGTAGCACGTTCATTAAATCCGAAATCATGGATGAAATGTCCAACCAGAGTCAGACTGACTCAAACAGCACCTGCTTGGAACCCGACTCTTCAGTCACTTCAGATCGGGAAGCAGGGTTGGGTTCCATAGATGTCTGCATGACGCCGGCAGACGACATTTCGCTGAGGGTGGAAGAAGAGACGGATAAGTCGAACTCGGATTCACGGCTAACTGAAACGGAGGATTTGTTGCCGGTTGATACCACTTTAGTGAAGAGTGAATCTGGCAAGCCTGCCGTGATGAAGAGGAGGTTCTCCCCAGGTCGACCTCGAGTCAAACAGGTGAGCAAGGAAACGTTAGTTCAAGGCAGGGTGTGTCCAATGAATCGTTTAGGGAGATAGGTAGGTTAACTGGATCAATTGTTTGTTTCCTTGCTTGCAAATGTTATTGCTATATGTAAGGCAGACTTTTAAAAAAAATTGTTCTGGGTTGTTTAACCTAAAGTGGTACACAACATGACTTGAGGAGTAAAAGAAATGGAGTTTAATTTTCTAGTCCTGCGAAGAAGTCTCACTTTAACAAAATGTTTAAGAAGCAATTCATTTGGTATACAAATGTATTCTGCTGTTATTACTCGCCAGTGAAAGCACACATCTGCCTTTTTGTTCTGCCTCTGTAATGGACAAATGACACCTATCGTATTAAGTGAGAGAAAGCAATCCTGTTGTATCTTCACGTTTTCATTAAGAATTTGGACGTGAGCTACTGTTTTTAGAGTTGGAGGATTTTGTTATGTTGGGTGTAATTAATTGACACTTTTCAATTACGAGATAAAATAAAAGTCTTCCCCCTCGCTTAACCAGAATTGCAACACTTCTGAAAGGTATGTTAGCAATAAGATGATGGCTGATGAATAGGGCAAGGAAATAAAATGTGCCCGATTTCAGGAAAACTTTCAGAAGCTAAATTGGGGGAAATTAATTAAATGCTTTTGAGGATTTCTTGGAAATAGTGCAAAGTAAGATTACATTAAAAGCATGCAGCTCAGTGGTTTAAATGTTCAAGTTTAAACGTAGCACGGAAGTCAAATGTTCTAAAATTATTTAAGAAAAAATGGCTTAAAAGGTAAAAGTTGAGATACACGCTAGCTGTTTTTTTGTGGAGGGAAGCGAGGCATGTATTTGCAATGTGCAGAACATTGAAAGAAATGTGTTGCTCCTTTAGTTTTTAGTACAAAACTGATTTTGAGTTCGATTTAATAAGGTGGGAGATTAAGCAGAAATCATGCTGAAAATTGCTAATCGATTTAACAATTTGGGGAGTTCAAATTATCTGCAGGAAACTGCTCAGTAATTTCTCTTGTGCTGAACATTATTCATGCGATACAACAACAAATTACATTTGTATAGCACCTTTCACGTCAAGATGACATCTCAAGGCCCTACAAGAGTGTGACGTACCATTGTTGCACTTCCCTCGATGTCTGTAGAGTGAAATGGAGTTTAGGCCAAGGAATAACTGAAGTGAATGGTTTGGACAATTTTCATTTAAGTGGGTGTACCTTCCGTGCTATTCGCGCAACGTCAGCAGTTGGTATTCTACCAGCTTTGGCTTATCGAGAAAAACGTGACAAGGGATGCCTTTAATCTTTTAACCATGATCAAGCCACTTGCAGTTCAGATCTGGTATCATCTGAAAATCCATAAGTTTCCCATACCTAGCACAATGCATCACACATCTATATCTGTGGTCTGTCTTGTTATTTCCCCGTCAGTGATGGCCTGTGTTAACGATTGCCTGGTACAAAGTTAAGACCGTGGCTTCAACAGTAAGTCGCGTATCTCTCAGGAACTGTAACTCTTTAACTGAGGTACAGAAGGCTACATATTCTGTATGTAGAGGTTTGTGGCACATTGAACCTGCAGTTCTTGAACGGACTTAATGATTCACAAGTTTTAAAGATATCGGATATGTCCAATCTGCTGTGAATAATTTGCACTAATTCGAATAATTTGCCAGTTTGCAGAGCTGATGTACTTTAATTTTTTGGTTTTGTTGAAAGGCAAATGGCCATGGATAATGCCTCCAGTTTATGCCACCCAACTTCCTTGTTGGTTGGGAGGACTTATTTATGATTCTGTATAGTTTTTGAATATATTATAAATAGCATTTTATATATATATATATTTTATCACGTTTAATAATGGGAATAACTGGGAAAGCCCAATATATTCAAAGTCACCTTGTCGTTGTTGCAAAGTATGCTATTGTTTTCCCATTCCACTTAGTCTCTTGCCAATTTGCCTCTGGGACAACCCAGACATTTATGCCACAATGCCTGTGCCAGTGTTCAGAAGGTAGAGCTAGCTGTTCTTCCTATAACTTTACAGGGCCAATATCATCTCGAAGGCGGTGACTATTTCTACAAACTCCAGGTATGTCATTTTAAATAATAATCCTTAACAATTTTCTGAACTCTACCCAAATATCGGCTAAGCCATGCAGAACTGCAGGTTGAATGTTATGCAAACTCCTTTGTACACAGCCACTTGTATTTCTTTCTGTCCAGCATTGCAAACGTTGCTATCTTTTTTAAAGTCCTTTTTAAATGTTGTCAACCCAGTACACAACAAGGGGTATTTTAGCTTCCGCCTGCCATGCAATTCAGGTGAATGTAAAGAAACTACAGACATCCAAATTCAAACCTGAATTTTGTTTCCTCCCGTTTTCTGTTTCCATATTTTCTTCATCCAAATTGAATCCCAAATTTAAATTAATTGGCTAATCTTATTTGTTGCTGGTGCAGATCATCTGTCATGTTTGCCTATGTAACAACATACTTAATTTCTAATCAATTTGATTTGATTTTTACATGAAAGGCAGGCACTATTTTAGCACAAGTTATTTTTGCTTTTAAATATTGACTGGGTTACTGAAGCCTGGAGGAAACTACTTGACTTAAATCTCTGGCAGTGGGAGTGTGTGCCACCCATGCTATATCACAATTATCAGCAATAAGTTGGAGAGGATACCTGTTCTGTTATGTGTAAGAGATGAAAAGATCATGATCCATCAAGACCCATTTTCAAGTCACCAGCTCTTTGTTTACAAATTTCCCCCATCCCTTGAATTCCCTTCGTCATTATCATAAACTCTTAATTCCCTCTTGTAATACCCACATCCTCTGTCTGTCTGTGCAAACTGTTTCATGTGCTTAGCAGCCTCTGCATAGTTCATTCCATTCCATCTGTATACTTATTTCACTTCTGAACTCAATGCTTTGACCCAATGTTGTGGCCTGGGAATCCTGATTATATCAAGCATATTATTGGTGTTCAGCTCATCCTTAGAATTGGACTTTTGCAATTTAATTATCGTTCAGATGTCAATCTAACCATCATCTGTTACTGCTGTTTCCAGTAGTGTTTTAATATAGTGTAAAATGCATCATTTCTGTGACTGTAGCAGGCGACCATGGTCACTGTTTGTCCTGTCCCGATTCCCATCTGTGTTACTGTCTGTGGGTGCGTGAGCGTGCGTGAGCGTGTGTGTGTGTATTTAAGCGCTCTGAGATGCTAGCCTGCGTGGAGGGCGCTGTACAAGTGCAAGTTGTTGGTGTGTGTGTTTGTGTGCGTGTGTATATGATGTAAATCAAATAAAAAATATTTTTGTGGCAATTGATTTAAATGACCTATCTTCATTATGGTTCTCCTCATTTTCTGAATCTCAAAAAGAAAGTTGAATCTGCCCCTAATCCTCTGCTCTTTCTGCTCCTGCAGAGCTTTGAGATGTATTTTGCTGTGAGCTAATTGCCCTCTTGCATTAACGCTTCTACTTTCTTCTATTTCTAACAAAAAGAGATGCAGCTTGTAAATATTATGGGTTGTGATAAATCATTTGACTTGCAAGGGTGGGTACCTGTAGGTAAGGTTTTGAACAACAAACTGTGATTTTCTCTCCTGTGGAATTATATTGTATCCACTACTATGCAAAAAGCCCACACTGATGGTGGCTCATTTAAAATTTTCCCACTGGAGTTCAATGAAACATTTATCAAAATGAATATTCTTTGGTAGGGTCGTTGCAACAGTTTTCCTGGTAAAAAGCGACCCCGTGGAGGTGGAGGAGGGCATGTCGGGCGGGGGCGAGGACGATCACGGCTGAAGTCTGTATCTGGAATCTTGGAGTCTTTAGGGGTAAGAATCAAATAATTTACATCGAAACAGGAGTAGGCCATTCATGGCTGATCCGTACCTCAAGTCCAATAGCCGCCTTTGCCTTGTATCCCTTAATACCCTGACTTAACAAATAGCTATCAGCTCGGTCTTGAACATGTAAATGGTTCCAGCCATCAGCCACAGCCTTTTTGGGGAGAGAGCTTCAGATTTCGTTAGTTAGCTAATGATGGAGATGGGCGGTTGCCGAAATAGAAATTGCAGGAAAATTGTTATCATTTTCAAAATGATTTTCTGGCATCCCTTTTCTTTCCCTGCCTCTGAATCAGTGGCCTGGTAATATAGTATTTTGTGCCACAAAGTGTGTGATGCCAAGCTCGGGGAGTTACTTGACTCACCTGGTCAAGGTGGACAAAGAACTGATTGAGGTGAGACAGTGTGGTGGGAAAATGCAAAGACTTGCTTGGTCTCTGCAACTGAGCAAGAGTAGTTGAGTAGAATACTACAGGGTGACCCAAACAGTTGTGATACCATTACAATGTCTAATAAGTCTCAAAGAAATTATGATTTTTTAAAAAATAATAGGGTGGATTTTACACCCTGTTTTTTACACCCTGTACATGCAGTGAAGTTAAAGATTTGGTTAAGGGGGTGGATTAGTAACCTGTCCAAAATGCGCTCCACTATAAATCTGTAACCTTTTATTGTGTCCTGGTTTAGCTGGTTCCATTGGTGTCCTTTTGTAGTCCACAGGGCCAGATACATCTCCTAGTAAGGAGGACGATGATGATGACGATACAATGCACAACACAGTGGTTCTCTTCTCCACCGAAGATAAATTCATTCTTCTACAGGTAAAAATATTCTCTTCCCAGGACTATTCCTGAAAGACTAGTACAGGGAAATATCCTTATAACACGGCTACCTGGGTTAGCAGCCGAGTTATTAGCAAGATGCGAAAAATGGCTGAAATCAATGAAAAATGTATTTTTTTTTATCTTTCAGGATATGTGTGTGGTGTGTGGGAGCTTTGGACGAGGGGTGGAGGGACAGCTGCTAGCCTGTTCACAGTGTGGACAGTGCTATCACCCCTATTGCGTCAACAGTAAGGTACACCACCTACTCCACTTGGATGAGGATATGATACTCTGACTAGTCTTTGTTCTAGATTTGCGCTGGTATTATTAAACAATGTATGGATGTCTTGGAAAAATCGCACGTTCTGGCTTTTATGAGCGAGAACTCCAGACCCGCGATTCCTGTATGTGGCAATTCTAGGCTTATTATCTTTATTTGTGCTGAGTGGAGGTACATGTACTGAGTAGACACAAGGTGCTTTCCAACAGGAACTAACACTGGGTTTGCTTGTATCCCTGCCGAGATAGTGCAGCAATGGCAGTAACAATAAATCTTGAGCTGTGCGGGTGGGCATGATTCTACTGAGCCTAACTTTATGTTTACAGATACTTTCCAACAGGGATCATTGAATAACTAGCAGGGAAACTTGGCTGATTTCATTTTTCCTCTCTTTGTCCTCTGTGTAGTCCAGGGTGCAATGTAGAAGCCTCCCCTCTCCCCCCGCCCCCCCACCCGCTTCAGTAAATTAATATACTTTTAGAAGCTTACATTGTCATATCGTCTCATTCTCACCATTTTGTTTTTCAGATCACTAAAGTGATGTTGAGTAAGGGCTGGCGCTGCTTGGAGTGCATTGTGTGTGAAGCTTGCGGAAAAGCCTCTGATCCTGCTCGCCTGTTGCTGTGTGACGACTGCGATATCAGCTACCACACGTACTGTCTAGACCCACCATTGCAAACTGTGCCAAAGGGTGGTTGGAAATGCAAGTGGTGAGTAATTGGAATCTGTCGCGACCAGAAATGCAATAGTAAATGATGTGGATTGGACGAAAAAGCATTTGATTTTGAATATTTATTGTAGGATCATTTTTTTTGTTGTAAGATTTTACTTTGTGATTCTACATGAAAGACTTGGGCCTTGATAGATGTAGTAATAATAATAATCCTTGCATTTGATATAGTGCCTTATCATGTCTTTGAGACGTCTCAAAGCACTTCACAGAATATACTGTAAAGTGAATTAACTCTGTATATTGTGGGCGAGGACATGTATGAATGTACACATAAGATATGTACTACCAGATTTAACCTGGATAACACAAATAGTTAGATTCCCGTAGATGCTTTCGTAAAGAAACCCAGCAGAATTGGCGTGTTCAGATGGGCTGTTCTGAATTAATTTTATGTTTAGTGTTTAGAACATGTAACATTTCTGTGGTGGAGGGCAGAATGCCAAAAACATTGAAAGATATCAGGCGAGTGTTGGCTTTGGGCTATGTTAACATAAGCATGGCCAGTGTCAACACGGGGCATGTTTATTGAATTACTTGAATTGCTGAGGAAATTATCAATCGTGGATCACATGGAGACAGAGTCATTTTCAACTACTTGGTTCCCTTTTCTTTCTGAACCATATGGGTTTGTAGTAAAAACACACACACACGTCTCTGTTTACCTAGCAGTAAGTAAGAACCCAGTTGTTAGTCGATTTGATTGGTGGATCACTTTCCTGGGGGTAATAATCCCTTAAAAAAAAGAATAATTTGTCCCCTTAATCCACGACTGTTTGCGGGACGTTGCTGTGTGCAATTGGCTACCGGGTTTAGCCCACAAAATATACCGTCAATTCACTTTCCAGTATATCCTGTGAAGCGCTTTGAGACAACAACAACAAGATTCCATTTATAGAGCGCCTTTCACGTCGGGAGGACGTCCCAAGGCGCTGTACAGTTGGGTCGGGACCCGAGCGGGGGGGAAATGGTCAGGGTGAGGGGAGGGATGGGAGGGAGCGAGAAGGGGGAAGAGAGTCGAGAGGAGAGCTGAAGGCTGAAGGTCAAAGAGAAAGGTCTTGAGACCGGCCTTGATGGAGGAAAGGGAGGAAGCGGCGAAGGCACTGGGGGATAGAGTTCCAGAGCCTCGGGGCTGAGAGGCTGAAGGCCACCGATGGTAGGGCGGTTGGGGCGGGGGATGTGGAGCAGACCGGAGCCAGAGGAACGGAGGGTACGGGCAGGTAAGTAGGGGGATAGTAGGTCAGAGAGACGTCTCGAAGAAATGGTAAGGTGCTGTATCAAATGCAAGGATTATTTTTATTATATTATTATAGAAATGAAACTTTCCAACTCAAAAGCAGTGAGATGCTTCCATTTGTTTCTTCACTGGTGAGGTATGACACAGAAATGTGCCCATCTGTACGGGTGAATGAAACCTCCTCCACTGCTGGTGCACTCTATCTTATTCAGATGCTTTGTACTTGTGATGCACTTGCACACTTATATAAAACTGAAGTGCTTATTGCTTTGTCTGCAGAAACTGAACTTTTTGTTTTGCATTTGAATTGCATTCCGCAATTGATTATTCATATCGGCACCCTGCCTTAGTTTTGAAACCAGTAATATATGGGTTCCAAACCGAGTTTCACAAATCCTTACTTAAGAGGTTTTCAAGATGACTGCCTTTTCTATTTGGATAAGTGAGAGGCAGCTCACATGATGGGCTTAAAGGTTCCTCTGTGCTTGAGGAATTCTATATGCAGTTTATTCAACTCGTGCTTCAATGACAGATTTCTCAATTGCGGAATAAGTGCTGTAATCCAATGTTTCCCATTGTTTGCCATACACTCATTTTGTTTCAACGCTCAATTTATTGAAACATGAAAATGTATACAGATCACACAGGAGAGACGTTTGTAATCTTGAACCTTTTAAAGGTCCAACCAAGTTTGCTTTCACTTGACTTTCTGTGCAAATGCTATAATTCTTGTTATGTTGAGATGATATGAGCCTTGTGTGAACTCTGTGTTGCAGGTGTGTTTGCTGTATGCAGTGTGGGGCCACAACCCCTGGGTTTCACTGCGAGTGGCAGAACAACTACACTCACTGTGCACCCTGTGGCAGCCTCGTCACTTGCCCGAGCTGCAACGAAGACTATGAAGAAGAAGACCTCCTCATACAGTGTTGCCATTGTGATCGGTAGGTCAGAGACGTGTGTCCTCGCCAATAGTATTCATATGTTGTCCTGACATAAAGAGCTTCACAAAACTGGCCCGCGTACTGATTGTTACACATTGCAGTCTGCATCTTGTTATTGGCTTTAAGATCTTTGCACAAAGTTGTCTTGAGGTATTCTGTGTAGCGCTTTGAGACGTCTCAACGACGTGATAAGTTGCTATATCAAATGCAGCATCACCGGGATGCAATGTTAAAGACCTCCTTTCTTCCGCCACCCCCTTAAAACCCAGCTCCCATACACACACACACACACACACATATATATACTCTTCACATTTTTGTTGTGGAGTCCTGTAGCTCAGTGGTTAGAGCACTCGCTTTGCAAGTGAGAGACCGGAGTTCATTTCCAGGCAGGGCGAAACCTTGGGCAAGTTTCCTTACTCCACACGCCTAATAATATTCCCTCCAAAACCAAAAACAATAATAAATTGGTCATTTACAATCTACGACTGTTTGTGGGACATTGCTGTGCGCAATTGGCTGCCGCGTTGCCACAAATATACAGTCAATTCACTTTACAGTATGTTCTGTGAAGCGCTTTGGGACGTCCTCCCGACGTGAAAAGCGCTATATCAAATGCAAGGATTATTATTATTATTATTATTTTGTAGCCATTTTATCCTGTTGAATTTTCGTATTTGCAGGTGGGTCCATGCGATCTGCGAAAATCTCTTCACGGAAGACGAAGTGGAGCTAGCAGCAGACGAGGGCTTTGATTGTACGATGTGTGAGCCCTATGTCATTCGGCCAGTTGGTGAGCAACAACTTGAGTTACTGCGGAGTCACATTAATACCGAGGATTGCAGCTGCTTTTCTGCACCAAATGATTACCTGATTTGTTTTTGTTTGGCCCACAAAATATACAGTCAATTGACTTTACAGAATATTCTGTGAAGCGCTTTAGACGTCTCGAAGACGTGATAAGGCGCAATATAAAATGCAAGGATTATTATTTCCTTAGTCTGTTCTATTTCCTATTATTTTTATTATTTTACAATAGTTCCAAAAGTATTGAGGAGTCTCCAGTTCTGTAATTCTTTGCAAATTTTACTTCCAGCTGCGACTTTGTCTGGAACCTTTTTTTTTCCTTTTCTCTTGACAATTTCTTTCTCCTTGCCCTATTGTTTCCTGAAGATGGGACTCCCTTTTTGTTCTACCGAAGTTCTGCTGTCACCCTTCACGTGACCATCGTTCATGTGTGAGACTTGATATTATAGAATATTACAGCACCGAAGGAGGCCATTCGGCCCATCGAGCCTGTGTTGGCACTTTGGAAGAGCTGCCCAATCAGGCCCCCACTCCCCACATCCTTGCAATGTTTTTCTCTTCAAGTACCTATCTAATTCCCTTTTGAAAGTTATTATCAAATCTGTTTCCATCCACCCTTTCAGGCAGTGCATTCCACACCTTTAACAACTCTGTGTTATTAATATTGTTGGGTGTTCTGTCATGGAGGGCATCCGGCTCAGACAGGTTCTTTCCTTGCTTGTCTTCCACATATAAAACCTTTCAGCGAGGGTCACTGGATAGCGATTTACAGTGGCGATTTTTCTCTCCCTAACGCAGCGGAGCAAAACGGCATAATACCAAAGCTAAACACCCCAACCTAGGCTGGGATTTGAACTTGCTTCTCGCTTGTATGCAAGGCCTATTGCTGTGCTGCATTCGCTCACCAGCCCACGGGAATGTTTTCTTTAAACAAGTCAGCCAACAGCGGGTCACCTTAAACCCGCATTAGAACTGTGATTTATTCGTTAATTTTATTGAAATTGAAGCATGTGAAGAATTAATTGCCGTATGCATAGCTGATCAAATGCCCGGTTGAGTGAGGCATTCAAAAATGCTTATAAATACTGCTGTTTCAGCTTTATGACAAAAGTCTGGTCTAGGATTCCCAACCCGAGGAGCTCATTTGCAAACGTGATTAAAACGTGGAAAGATTGCGAAAGAAGATTGTATCAGGCCTGAAGATTCATGGTTTTCTTTTTATTCCTAGTTCGAAGCGAATCCCCCATCGTTGCACCTATTGTTAAAGTGAAGGAGCCAGGTGCGTTACTTAGTGTACAACTGATTTATTGCAGTTCTCTTTCTCTCTCCTTTTGCTACGGTTCTGTACTGAACTTATTTTAGATGTGATTTCTCCATACGTAGAGCCACGGTTTTATAACCAGGACGGGGTGTGGCTGACCGAGCTGGGCATGTCGCAGTTCCGTAGCCTTGTACTTTCTCCACCACACAAAAAGGGTCCAAAGCCCAAACTGAGGAACAAGCTGCCGATTCCATGCTGTGAGACTGCGCTGCTCAGCACCGAGTGCCCAGCTGTCGAAATTAAGAAAGAAGAAGGTGAAGGAGAGGACGAAAAAGGTGAGGAAGAGGCTGTAAAAACACAGAAACATCCCCCGCCCCCCACCCACCCCGCCCCTTTTTCAAATTGTTTAAAGCAAGTTTGGGTTTTCCTATTTGTGAAGAATATATTTTAGTCTTAAATCATTTCATATCTAGTAAATGGAGGAGAATAATAATAATCATATATAATAATCCTCGCATTTGATACAGCGCCTTATCGCGACTTCGAGACGTCTCAAAGCTCTTCACAGGATATACTGTAAAGTGAATTAACTGCATATTTTGTGGGCGAAACACGGCAGCCAATTGCGCACGGCAGCGTTCCCCCCCCCGCCACAAACGACCGTGAAATGAAAATTTAAAAAAATGGAAATGAGAAATCACCTCAGTGAAATGTTGATGATGGTAAACCGCAATATCGTGCAGTACACACTTCAGAAGAGTAAATGTGGTACAGTACGTAAATTGTGTTGTCTGTGGTGATTTGAGGCACTGCTTCAAACATTTCATATTAATACTTGAACCCATCTACCAAAACAAAATGCTGATGTGAGGTTAAATTTTGCAATAAAGAGTTTTTGAAGTTTGAACAGTGGTATTATGCTGTTTCAGATAATCTTGCGATTGTGATCTCTAATTGATATTACAGCAGCGCAGATTTGAGAAGATGCATTTGTGCGTGGATGGGGGAAAGGAGGCTGAATGCATATCAAATCGTCTTGTGTTTTTTCTTGTTGCATTTAAAATTTTTGCCAAATACGATCCTCTGCAATTGGGTGTCATTTTTCTTTTTCTTTTTTCTTTAGCTGCCATGGAGCCGGGGGAATGTGACATAAAACCTGATGCTCCTGTTAACCAGGAACGAGAAGTGTGCCCAGCAAATGATCCTGTCAAAGCCAATGAGGAAATGGAGGAAGTGAAAAAGAGAAAGAGGAAGCCCTACAGACCTGGTAGGCAGATTGTGGACAGGTTTTTGAAGTTGGCCTTTTATTCTAGAAGTGAAATGGTTCTGTAAATTGGCAGGCTCTCTGTCCCCACCCCCTGGAACTCCATCCCACAGTCCCTCTCCAGCTCGCCTCGTTCAAGACCCTCCTCTTCGACCGCGCCTTCGGTCACCCTCCCCGTCCTCTGCCCCCACTGATGCCAACCACCAGCTTGGGTGTGGATCACTGACTGTCCAGCGCCTTGGGACATCCTTATGACGTGAAAGGCACAATACAAATGTAATTTGTTGTTGTAAATAGTATTCGGCAAAATACTAAAAGTGTGAAACTTTTGGCTCGTCACTCCTGCTCCTTGCACAGACCACGCACTCTACATCCTGGAGAAAGTATTGGATAGACAGCAAGTATTGTACAGTCGGGCAGCTATGTATCCACTCCCGGTGCTCACCTCTGTTGACCTCTCGGATGCACACAACCTCTTTGCAACATCAGAGTGGATTACTCCCTCTTGACAGTAGAAGTAGGTCTTAGGAAGAGGTGATAAACCTTTGCGAAAGAGAGCATTCTAATATAAATATACATTTTCAATGTTTTCTAGGAATTGGTGGCTTTATGGTCCGACAGAGGCAATCCCGGGCAAAGAATTTGAATAAAGGTTCTGTGGTACAGGCTGTGATAAGCACTGAATGCCCAAATACAGAGACCAACAAAGAAGAGGGTGAGTTTGCAGAAAAAGAATGCATGAAATATTAGGATTTGGCATTTCATGTATTTTATACCCTCCCCATCTTTCCCAGGTTGAATATATTTTTTCTCTGCCTGGATTAAGCACACTATCTTAACGTCAGTTTTGCCTCTGTCATAACTACTTATTTTAATATTGTTTTTTTTAAACTTTTATAACATTTCTGAACTTTTTTTTGTCAATTCAACCGCTGTTGATGGCCTTCCAGTTTTCTCACTGGCACTGTTTCTCACTTAATAGTGCCCATTGCCAGCTTGAAGCATTGTACCTAATGAAATGAATCTGGTATATTAACAGGGCATGATCCATTTCTGTCCCTCTGTCAGGATAGGGTATTGATTGCTACTTAGTATATGAGTTGGTCAATTCAGAACCGTAAAACCAGAGGTCACAGCCTGCGTTTGAAGGGGGATAAATTCAGAAGGAATCTACATAATCTCACTATTTTAGTGAGCGAATAGTAAACCTGTGGAACAGACACCCTAGGGAGATCGTTGAAGTAGGAAGTGTTGATTCCTTCAAACACAGGTTAGATAGTTTTCTTTTAGGAAATAACATTATGGGATATGGTAGTTCGGTACATATGTGCATGTGACCGCCAGGAAAGTGGAAGGCGAACTGATGGACTTTGGTCTGTTTTTCGTCTAACATTTCTTTGGTTCGTATGTAACCTACTTGATGGCCTGGTGCCTTCCACCAACCGTTGTGGTAATTCTTGTGAGGTCCTGTAAACTGACCACCAAACGGAATAGAGCCTCACCACAACACTAACGTTTTAAAGCTGTTGCCGAGAGGAAATGGTTTAAAAAATACTATTTATGTGGGACGTGCCACTGACGTCATTACATTTGGCGAGGGGATGTTATCACATCCATCAGTGAAGCTGGCCATTAATCTAGAATATTTCATCAATACCTAAACAATAACGTTTTATATATAGCTCCTTACATTGTTCAGAAATGGACCGTTGATCTCAAAAGCTTTACGCACAGAGGTTATCTAACGATCAGCCCACCCTGGTTTCCAAATCAGCACTTCTGATTTTGAAGATTTGGTTCTTTCAGGGGCTCAGCCAGAGCTTGCAGTCGAGGGTGTTGGTGAGACGTCTGTGGCAGGAACAGAGTCTGGGGAGAAAGCCAAAAAACGGCAACGCCGAAAGAAAAGCAAGCTAGAGGACTCATTTCCAGCATATCTGCAGGTAATAATATAATATATAATCTTGCATTTGTTATACCTACTGCCTTATCACGTCTTCGAGACGTCTCAAAGTGCTTCGCAGAATATACTGTAAAGTGAATTAACTGTATATTTTGTGACCCACAAGCAGTTGTGGATTGAGTGACCACATTTTTTTTGAGGGACAATTATCCCCAGCAAAGCGATCTACCAATCGACTAAGAACCGGGTTCCTACATACTGCTAGGTAAACAGAGGCGTGTGGAGTAAGGAAACGCCTAATGTTTTGCCCTGCCCGGGAATCGAACCCGGGTCCTCTTGTTTGCGAGGCGAGGGCTCTAATCACTGAGCTACAGGATTCTATGTAGCAGCTGGTATCCTACTGTCTGCACTGTTTAGAATGTGGCTGTGATGATCCACCAAGGAGCCAGGATTGACTTATTATAGTAATAATTGCATTTGGTATAGTGATTTCCATGTCTTGTAGACATCTAGTCAGGACAAATAGAATAATGCTGTGCTCAGAATATTACATCTATCTACAGTCGGAGGGGAGGAAGCTGTGTGACTCCAATCCCAAAGATATTGTCTCCCATGTTTTTTCACTCCTATCTGGAAAAGGATTTATCTTTGTGAATTTTGAACTACCTTCAAAAAAAGAGGGTAACTGCTTACAGCAGGTAATTTACCGTTAGTTGCATCATATTCCGCTCGGCTTCTGAATTTGATGATCCTAATGTCGGATAATTTCACATATGTCAATGCAGATGTCCAGAGATTTTACTTTAATAATAATCCTTGCATTTGATTTAGCACCTGAAAGACGTCTCAAAGCACTTCACAGAATATACTGTAAAGTGTAGTGACTTTGTATTTTGTGGGCGAAACGCAGCAGCCAGAGTCCCACAAACAGTCGTGGATTGAGTGACCAAATTATTATTATTATTTTTTTTGAAGGGATTATTACCGGCCGGAAAGCAATCCACCAATCGAATCGACCAACAGCTGGGTGGGATGAATTCGGGTGAACAAAGATTCACTGGTTTAACTCACCTTCTTTATCCGACAGGAAGCGTTCTTTGGCAAATCGCTGCTAGATAGCAGTCGGAACGTCCGCCTTAGCTCCGAAGGTTTCTCTGATAATGAAAATCCCGAGCCTGCACTTGCTGCATCTGAATCAGACCACGCACCTCCCCAGAAGGAGCCAAGTGATGAAAAACGGAATGAAGCCCAACAGAAAGGTGAGTGGCTCAAACCATCTCTGGAACAGTCTTCCTCCGCCTTGGCCCTTCCTTCCTTCTTTCGCCTGAAGACTTTTATTTCGACCGTGCCTACGGTCACCTCCCCCCAGCTCCGCCACTGTCAAGCGCTCCGGGACGCTACCTGAATGAGGGGGCGCTGTGTAAATGTAAGTTGTTGTTGTCTTTGAGAGTTGAACGATATTGATAATTCTGAACATCGGATATCGCACCATTCTGTGACTCGTCTTTGATTTGAATTTGCAACCAAGAGATCTACATCTCTGGCTCTATAATTTTATTACACCTCAGGTTTGTACCCACATTCTTCCATCTGGTGAGTTTAGGCTTTGAACCGTGCTGAAAGGACATTTGATCATGCTTATTGTCAACTCCCCTTCCCCAGGCTCGGGGTCAGACTCCGGGATGCTACCCCGCGTGAAGGCGCGCTATATAAATGCAAGTTGTTGTTGGCACGCAGGGCTCTCCTCTTGCTTGTATTTAGGTTCTTCTATGTGAGATCAGGATCTAATAACCAGCTTTAGCTGTTTTTTTAATTTAAAAAAAGAGAGACTCAGATCAATGTAGCGGGAATTTGTTACAGTGCCACCGAGTGCTGAGAATTAGTATTAACACTGCAGTGCAAAGGTTGGACTAAACTTTAGGAGGATGTTAAGTTAACATGGATGAAAAAAGTATTGTTTGACTCCTGCATCACTAGAGCTCCTATATGTTCTCTGCATCAAATAGATTGATTTGTTAATGAACACAAGACTAGTTGTACAAATAAAATAACGACTATATTACACAATTATTAATATAATGTATTAATTAAACTATATTACACAATTATTAATATAATGTATTAATTAAACTATATTACACAATTATTAATATAACTTTTTCCTTACCTATTGGTATATATCTATAATCATCATGATTTGACTGTTAGCTAATAATAATCCTTCCTTTGATAGTGCGCCTTTGACGTTGGGAGCACAACAGAGTCAGTATTCAGTATTTTGTCTCGTCATTTGTTCACAATATTCAGTATTGAGTTGCGGATATCAATTGATTAACACAATATTACCAGTCTGCAGCTCAGTCAAGTATTGTTGTGGGATTCTTTTATTTTTTCCAATTTACTCCAGATAAATTTGCCACAAAGATAATGTATTATTTCCACTTGTTTGCAGCCACGCCCGATGCCAAGACAATCCACGGTCCCTATCCTCGCAACGAAGATTCAAACACGGACGAGCAGTCCAAAATGGCAGAATCTCAGCCAGATGGGATGGGTAAGCAAGAAGGGATAGGAGGCCTCTAATTGTGCGGTGTGTAGCTGTATCCAAACCAAACATGCAGTATTACCTGAGGCACAGACAGCTTAATTGCTCCTGTCAGAAGCCTTCTGCAACCGTTGCTGCCAATCAGGAATCCAACCGTAACATAATAAACACAATACAAATTTACATTTATAAAGTGCCTTTCACATCCGAGAGGACGTCTCAAGGGCTTAACAAACCCGCCTATAAACTGGCACCTGAGCTGGCGTGAATCGAGCGAAATTCTATTCATTGAATACTCAATTTGAAAACGGCAGTTATTCAATATACTGCACTATCCGTATAACCAGACTAACCATAATAGGAGACTTGTCTCTAAGAGCTCTAAATTCTATTCAGTAAACCCAACTATTCAATTGCAACAACAGCTTGCATTTATATAGCGCCCCTCACGCAGAATAGTGTCTCAGAGCTCTTGATCCGATGTTCCGTTAACCGAATTTCACTAGACAAATCGTGATTGCTCTTCATTTAAATTGCAAACTAACTTTTGAAGGCCCTTGATCAGTTTTGATTATTACAGTACATAGTGAATTCATACAATGCTCCAGGTGGTAGGACAAGGGATTCAAACTGGAACATGATTTGCTTCCTAGAGTAGCTATGCTAGTCAGTCACACACTGTGCGGTGTCGTGGTGAATTACTAAAATATATTGACAAAGGCCTCGGAGCAAATCAACAGCTCTTCACCTTGTCTAGGAATTGCATGTGGTGGAAAAGAAAATAAATCATTTTAAGAATCCATCTTTAATATTCTTTCGTACTCCTAGATGAAATGACACTGTGTGGCCGCTTTAAACCCACAGCTAATGCATTCTGTAATGTGGAATTAGTGAACCAATACAAATCTAATTTACCCAATTTATGCTGAACTGTCAATTAGTACTTTATTACATAAATGACAGTAGTTACAGACTCTGAACCCACTACAGATTCCTTTCCTGCCGTAATCTGATGGGCACGGACTGTTTCGGCGCCAGTTCCTTTTCGTTTTGAATGTGATCCAGCTCAGGTTATGCATTCCTTTTGAGTTTCCCCCCCCCCCCCCCCCCGCCGCCCCCACCCCCTCATTTATGCAAAGTCTGCGGATGCCTTATTTTCCTTCCCAGTTTACTTCAGTCTATCTTCGGCCATCTCGGAGAAGAGGTAAGTGGGTGATGGCTCCTGTTACTGTGTGATAGCTGTGAAATTAGTTAGGGCGTCTACATCGAAGGAAAGAGACTGATTGCAGAAACCGTTTTCTCTGCAAGGGAACAACCTAACTGGCGACTTGCATGAAAAAGCGACAGAATAATCCCAACTATGTGTAAGTGGGTTGGAACGTACCCCTTAATTGAGGTGTGAGGGTGATGCATTGGCTCAGTGCCTCTGCTGAAGTCATTATAATACATTTGCAATCTTTCATTTCTGCTTTTTAAAAAAAATCTTTCTTTTCTGTTTAGGAACTCGAGTATTGTAACTAATATTTATCTTAGTTTGGTGTTTTACATTTGCTTTCTATCATGCATTACAAGTAATTTTAACCCTTTCCTGGATGGGCTTTTTCCCCCTAGAATCAGGCTCACTCCAGCACAGGAGATTGACAGTAATTCATCAATCCACTTCAATGAAAAAATTATGCTATTATTTATTATCATCAGAAATTAAGGCGATGGCCGAGAACTAGTATCTATTATTAGCGCTGTCCATTGGTAATCATCACTGAACATTTAGTGCATTGTTTACAAGACCATTTGTGATTTGGGCTGTTTGAATTTTTACCAACCCACCCTGCTGACTGACCGGCAAGCAAAATTCTAGAATTCAGGGGTTGGAGCTAACATGACTGACGTCGGTGGAGACACTGGAACATTGGAGGTCACTTTGATCTTTAACTAATTTAGTTGGTTGTGTTAGTACACTGGCTATTTGGGCTGTATCATCACGCTGTAGGGTTGGTTGTGGACTTTCTTAGGCTGGAAAGGGTTAAATAGCTTTTGCTTGCTACTGTTCATTTTTTTCTTTGTTTTTATTGTACTTTTGGGTTTTTAGGTTTCGATCTCAGTCCTTTCCACGCAGACAGCTCCCTCTCTCCCTTTGGTAAGCAGCCAGTGCATCTCACCACTCTCTTTGAGTGTATTCACGTGTTAACATCAGTAGTTTGTACCTGGGTGCTTGTGTCTTTGCTTGTGTTTTTCATAGAGGATATTCACATGACATCATCAGTCTGCGTAGCAGGTTCTTGGTCGAGTGATGAAAATACTTTTTTTTTTAATTTAACGATTATGAACTGAAACACCGAAGAGTATTTTTGTCTGGCCAACATTCATTTTTTCGAGATTTTATTTGATCAAAAATCCACGTTGAAAATCAGTTTGCTTTCATGCGCCATTATCAAGCTGGAGTTGGGAGTTTTTCAGTGATGATCAGTAAAGATTGAACAACAGAGGTCTTTTACGTCACAGATTACGAATTGATATGAATTGCTTCAACGCTAGAAGACACTAAAACCAGAGCTTGTGTTGATTTATATATTAAAAAGGTTTCATTGCATTTTGCACCTTCAGTATTCATCTATGAATTTGTTTGGCAGTTTAGTCAAGGTTCCCTTCTGACCACCAAGTACAAATAGGTGTGTGTGTGTGGTATGTCTTAAGTGGTGTGTGTGTGTGTGGGGTGGGGTGAGTTTGTCTGACTGGTATAGAATGAAGTAGATTTGTGAAGCCAATGATTCTGAAATCAAACTGGATAATTTCAGAGAGGAGCTTATTGGCTCATCTTATTTGTGACTGTTGGTGTAATGCATCTCTTAGCTTTGTTAAATATCCTAAGTATAGTTAAGCAGTAACATTAAAGGACCAATAAATCATCATTGCAATTATTTCAGAAACCTTTTCATAATCGAACATGTTTGGATTTGGCTGTTTTTCATTGCTCCATAAATATGGTGGCATAGTGCATATCCTCTGCTTGATTTCCTTAGTGTTTATCGTGTCTTATGGATTCAGTGGCAAGTTGATTCCACTGAATTTCCTTTGCACCTTGCACCTCAATATTCATATAAATGATTTGTGAAACATTTGCCTGTTAAATGAAGGATCTCCTAATCAGTTGCATGCACAAATGGACTACTCCTAGTGTTAAGTTCTAGGATGCGTTCAGAAACTGAAACCCAAACTTCTACTATACTAAGCTAAAACTCAGAAGGAAGTACCGACAGATAATTCACAAGTAAATCTAATTACTGCTGGTGGGCAAATGGACCACCGGTTTGTTTTATTGAATACCCTAAAGAGAGATGGGCAATGAGATGATGTCCAAGCAATCTTGAATGGATACTGATTACAATGATTGGCGGTTTTGGGTGGGTTTCATCCCCGCCCCTCCACAAAAGAACGGAAATTCAAAAAGGTGGTTTGGAATTGTACTGGATAAAAGCTTGGGTTCCACAGAGCTGGAGTCTGGCATTTATTTAGACTGCCTTACATTTTGGATTTAGTAGTCTTAACTGGAGGCATTTTGTCAGTTCAGAGTGCTTCATAGATGCTAACTGAAACAAATATACATAGAACCTGAAATTCTTCAGTCAGTCAGACGCCATCCCAACTGAACGAGGACGTGAATAGGGAAGAAATTGGGGAATGCTTGTATATTTTCAAGTAAACACCTATTGTTTGGTTTATATTTTGCCCCCGTTTCTGTTGCTTAAACGGTTTCTCTTTTCATCCACTCCAAAAATCACGGCTGTTTCATTAAATATTTTTGTTTACACGGAGGGAAAAATTCATCTTCAGTTTTAGACAGATCCACAAATGCAACTGATGCTGCTGTTTATCAGAGTTTTTCCACTGCAGACATTAACTTTTTTTTATTTTGTAACAAGCCTCATAACATTGCAATCAGACCTGCTTTCTGCTTGCTGTCTATTTAGGTGAAGCAAAGCACAACTGTAACAGAGCGAAATGGTTCAGAGTTCCTGTCAGTCCCTGCACAAACAGACCTCAACTATGTATGCAGGCCTGTGGGCAAAGATCAACATATCCATAGTTTGATTTTGTGCTTAAACTTTGCCTATAAATTAACCCAACAAAGTGATGGTACATTGTCAGCCATAGTATCTGTAGGTAGGGCAAGCGACTGAGGCTTTGCTGCTGATATTCTCTGAGACATTATAGATTGATTTAGAATGTTAAGGCTCAGCTCTGGTAACTCTTGTTAGTTTTCCTGGCATAAACCTGAACATCGTGCTTGAGTGCTACTGCTCTTGTAGCTCCACTGTGATACCTTGGAGTAGACTTCAGAGTGTTCCCTCTGTACTATACAAAACATGCGCTTGTGTTTGAGGGACCCAGGCGTAACTTTTCAAAATGGTTTACGTTTATATAATGCCTTTCACGTCGGGAGGACGTCTCAAAGGGGCTCAAATCTTGGTCAAATAGTCGTTTTTTATTTTCCCTTTGTGGTAATGAAAACATCTGGTTCTATGGCTGAATAGAGTTTAGAAATTGAACAATTTCAGCTTGAACTCTTAAATGTAGAATAACTGCCATTATCAAAAGCTTTTGAAGCTAACAACCCAACTAAAATCCAAATTAAATCCAAAGCATATAAAAAGAATGCACAGTATGTAACCGTGGAATATTATGTTCAGCTCACTCTTGAGGAACCTCATAATCACTCACTTTTGTCTTTTATGTTTTGTGATGTCCTCTGCTTTGTTTGGGATGAGAATGATATTCTTGAGCAAGTTCCCATTGAGTATCATTGATCTATCATCCAGCAGGACGCAGTGCTTGCAGCATGACTTAGGCAATTCCCCTGCACCAATAAAGTGGAATGTCCCACTGTTGTGTTGTGCTATGCCTTGCATTTTGAGTGAGTACTGGTAAAACTCATTAGATCTGTGACTGGTTAATTTGATTGATGGCAAGTCTGGAACCGATACCTGACATTACTTAGTTGTGAATGTTAGCACTACCCAGTTGTGGTTGTTTTTGGTCTGTTTCCTTTTTTGGCTAGTTTCCTATCCGCAGATCTGCATTTTAATGTCAATTAGTAAATCTTTGGACAATTCCCTTTTTTTTTATCTTGTGTTAATCAAACTCCACGTTGTCTAAATAATTTATCAACTGTGTTCTTTTCTTTAAGCTGGGATTGACATCTCATCTGTTGCGGATGAGCTTTCAACTGCTCACTCCAGTGAGAGTTCAAAACGAAACCAGCTCTTCAATGATGTTCCAATGGAGGGTGCCCTCAGCTCAGACCTGGACAAGATTGTAACAGAAGGTAAGGTTAAAAAGCCTGCTGAGCTTTTCCATATGGGAGTCAAAAGTACAGAAAATATTCAATCTGGGCACATCAAAACTAGAGGTTGATTTCTCCCCATTGACTTGGAATCGGTAGAGAATTCCACTTTTGGTCCCTATAATAAATAATAGCAAAATACTTGTAACCAACTGGTAATCCAGCTGACTGTCCTCTTCAAAGTTAGCTAAAACATCACCTCAAGTTAGTTCACTGTTGAACAGGCATTGGAAGCCATGGGAACAAATAGTTGTCCCTGAGGAACAAATAGTTGTCAGTGGCCATTGCTTTACTTGTATGAGTGTTGAAGCTGTTGGCAAGATGTTATCAATCGATGTTTTAGTTTGATGAGGAAATTAATTGTATCTTCACAGTAAATTCCTTTTTGTAACATAACAATAATTCCGGCATTTGACACAGCACCTTATCATGTCTTCAGGACGCCTCAAAGCGCTTCACAGGATACACTGTAAAGTGAATTGACTGTATATTTTGTGGGGAAACGTAGCAGCCAATTATGCACAACAGCATCCCCACAAACAGCCGTGGATTCAGTAACCAGCTTATTATTTTTTTTTCTATAGAACTAGCACAGATGGAGAGTAAAGATGTACAGGAGCTCTTCACCGATGTTCTGGGATCACAAGGAAATCCTACACTTTCTGGACCTTCACTGAGTAGCATCAGACCTGTTGCTGAGAGCCACCTTCTCACCTCCCATGGGCTAGGAGATCTGATCAGACCATCACTAACCCAGCGAGCTCTTCTCTCTGGTAAGACGATACACATTTTACTGAAGACTCTGTAACCACAATGAAACGAGCTGGACTAGAGCTGTAAAGATGTGTGCAATTCTAAAAACGGTTTGGAAAGTATTCCTTAACTTACTTCTTGCCTAGATAATATCTGCAACTTATTGAATTTGGGGGAAGAGTGATCTTACAGCCTATCTAGCTTAATCTTACTCCGTCAACATTCACAGATAGCACTGTTTAGCATGGAGTACCTGATAACAATCCGTTGATGAAAACCCGGCTGATTTTCCTCTTAGTCCTAGACTCGCTCTGCCCTTGCTGAGATCACCTAAACTCTTTGTCTGTGTCTGTGTGTGTGTTCAGTGCCTTGGGACATCTTCCCGGCACGAAAGGCGCTTTACAAATGTAATTTTGTTGTTGTGGTGGTGGCCTGTGTTATCACTGTTTTCCGTCTCCTTTTGCTCAGGAGGAGGTGCCGTGGCAGTTGCTTCCTCTCTGGCACAGACATCAGTCGCAGGGGAGACATTTTCCAGAGTTTGTCCGTCACCATTTATTGACAGCAGGTACGACAGATTCAACCATTGACACCTTTAGGTGTAGTTGTGAAGACTGCTGCTAAGAAAATGAATATTTTACATTTTTGTGAATCTCTTTTTTTGTTCAGTGGGCGTGAAGTGGTTATTGATGGTGAAGATAAGAAACTTAAACATCTATATCCTGTGAAATTTGTGATTATCTAGATTTAAAATGCACAATATTGATGAGGATGATAATAATAAAAATGCAATCCTTGCATTTGATACAGCGCCTTATCACGTCTTCGAGACGTCTCAAAGCGCTTCACAGAATATACTGTAAAGTGAATTGACTTTGTATTTTGTGGCAGCTATGTATGTATGTGCGTGCGGGCGGGCGGGCCATGTGTACCCCCCAGAAAAGCGATCCGCCAATCGACTAACAACTGGGTTCCTACTTACTGTTAGGTAAACAGAGGCATTTATAGTAAGGAAACTCGCTCAAAGTTTTGCCCTGTCCGGGAATCAAACCCAGGTCCTCTCGATTGCGAGGCGACCACTAAATTACAGGGCTTCACTGATCTTGTATTAGAAAATTAAATGGTGATTTTTGACTGTCCTGCAGGGAGAGGAGTATTCCGTTTAGCCCTGACAGTGGGGAACAACAGAGCCCATGGACAACCCCAGCCACTCCAGCTACCCCTACCACTCCAACCACCCCAACCACTCCCACCGAGGGAGAGGGAGATGGCCTCTCCTACAACCAGCGGAGTATATTGAGGTGGGAAAAAGATGAGGCATTGGGAGAACTATCAACCATATCACCCGTTCTTTACGCAAACATCAACTTCCCCAACCTGAAGCAGGATTACCCAGGTATGGTATCACTCATTCATTTCTGTGGGTGACTTGTTTTTTAAAAAGAAATTCCAGCTGATGCATCAGTTTACCAATTTTGGTTTTATTAATAAACAACACTGTTGAAGTGTGAATGCTAATACTGTAGTTATCTTATAAAAGATAAAATTATATTTCTATTCTAGAGGTGCTGCCAACCTAGCCTCGTAACTTGCTTGGAGAGTTTAGTAGACCTTGCGATCCCATAGTAATCCTTTCCATCACCTTTCAGATTGGGCTAATCGCTGTAAGCAGATCACTAAGATTTGGAGGAAGGTCCCAGCAACTGATAAAGCACCATATCTTGTAAGTAACTGTCAGCCCTTACTGTAGTAATTGTCTTGGTTTCTCAGCGGCAAATGTGACCTCATGAGCAGTGGTTATCAATCCACCTCATGTACTAACTATTGCAGAAATTGAGTGCAAAAAATTTGATAAACTTACTCTTGTCAAGATGTGATCTGCATTGATCTCTGGATGTGATCCATTCACATTTTCAAGACGGGGGTAGATAGATATTTGTTAGGTCAGGGTATTAAGGGATACGGGGCAAGGGTGGGCTTGAGGTACAGATCAGCCATGATCTTATAGAATAGGTGGAACAGGCTAGAGGAGCTGAATGACCTACTCCTTTTTCTATCTCAAATACTGTTTGGTTTTGATTTTTTTGTCCTTTTGAATCTTAGCAAAAGGCCAAAGACAACCGAGCTGCTCAGCGTATCAACAAGGCACAGAAGGTAAGTGAGTTTGGCTTCTTACCTGCACCGAGACCCTGGCTGACCGGGCGGATAGGGAGAGCGATGCAGCCTGAGAGAGGGATTTTCCAGCTAAATGCTGATCCTAATCCCTTAACGTTTATTGCTGGAGTGGACTTTTGAATCGCAGATTTTGAACTCCCGGCTCCGGGGATAGAGTTGTTGTTGTTGATATTAGTGGCTATAAAGTACAAGATGTTATGCCATTGAATCGGCTCTTGCTTTTTCCCGCAGCAAGTTGATATGCAAGGTCTCAGGCAACCCAAGGTTGAGAAACAAGACATAAAACTGGAACAAAAACCATCACTTCATCTGCAGATCCTGACTCAGAATCCTGCTGTGTCCACTCACCCACCAGTGCCATTAGTGGGAGCGAACTCCGGCCCCTCAATGGAACTGAGGAATGATCCCCTGGGCCAGAATGTTTCATTACACAATAAATCATTTACTACCTCTACTAGTGAATATGTCAAGCCGCAATCCGCAAGCTCAACGCCGACAGACCCCAGCGGAGACTTGTTTCCAAAACTGCACGTGCAATCTCCGGCTAGAATAGTAACCGAGGACCCTTTCGGACATCCACTCACACCGCACCCTCAGGAATCCAGTGTGCAGTCTTCCAGTAATTCCAGCCAAGTGTCGGCGTGGAACAGCTCGCACCACCAGCCAGGTGTCCTCCGCTCCCCTGTTCCAGGCCGACCGCAACACCTCGGCTCAGCCGAACTGCTGTCCACCGCTCCACCGGGTCTGTCACACCTTCAACACCCGCGCACGACCAATTCGTTCCTCAAACCCAGAGTGCCTGGTGATTCAAACGACAGCCACACAGTTGACCAGCCTTTAGGAAGTCCAGGATTTCGATCGTCGCAGCCGGCCGACTGCTACACAAACCCCCCGGAGACTCTGGCGATGTCATCGCCCCCCGCGGAACAGTTCAGGAGGGCGTCAGACCCGACAGGAGGGGCGCAGCACCCCAGGAACGAACAGTTTGCGGGAGTCATGCGTCAAGATTTGAGCGCAAGCTCCCTCGCTTCTCTCTACAGAGCTACGATGTTGGATCAGAGTGTGAATGCCCGGCCGCTGCCTGAAGGAAGGGATCGAGATGTCTTCAAAGCACCTTTAAATCCCAGGGTATCGTATGTGGACCAAACTCCCACGATGCCTGCTCAGCGTTCTCAGGAACTACACCCCCAAACTCAGGGTGTCTCGCCGCAGACTCAGAGCGATTTGTACCGGCAGTCTCCCTCGACATCTTATTCTGATCCGTATCATCAGCCTCCACTGACTCCGCGACCTCAGTCTAGCGATAGCTGCTCTCCAATACCTCCCAGATCTCTTCCATCCGATTCCCTCTCCAGGGTACCTATGAGCCCACAATCTCAGTGCAGTTCGCCTTTGACGCCCAGACCTCATTCCAACGAGGCGTTCCCTCAATCCCCCATCGCTTCCAGGTTCCAGTCGCCAGACCCCTATTCCCGGCCGCCATCCAGAGATCCCTACGCTCAGCTTCACAAGCCACAGAGACCCCAGATGGCCGATGCAAGTTTTAAAACGTCACCGTCACCTCACGGGCAGTCACCTTTATTTCCTCAGCATGGCGACCCACATGCGAAACCCAGCTTTGTGATGCAGCCTCAGTCTCCAAGGCCTCACCCATTTGACCAGTGTGCCAAGACGTTTGCAAGTGCTCAGCCTCAGAGCCCGTTTCCTTTCACTTCGTCTCCTGTCGACATGGCTAAAGAGACGCACTCTCAGCAGTCGGTGTCTCAAATGCCTCGAACGAGCGAGGGTTTTCCACAGAACCTCCTGACGGGCAGCCAGCTGTTTGCGAGCGACAACCATTGCCCCCAACTTCCTTCCAACAATCAGGCGGGAGCCTCGGACTCTGGCACGGCCGTGATGGACGAGACTTTCACCAACATGCCGTTAAGGCCACCGTCGGTCAAGCAGGACCCGCTACCTTTACAGGATTGCTCGCACCAAACTCCCACCAGCAGCCGATCAGTCAGCGACGCATCCCCTTCTGAGAGAAGCACCGAGACCTCTGCCCAGGTCCACCCTTCTGCGTCTCCCAGCAGGGACTTGCACGAGCTTCCGTTTAACCGGACAGTGCAACCGGGAACCCTCAGTCAGACCGACTTGGAGAAACAGAGACAGGTAAGCAACTATTGGATTGGATTGAGCTTCTAATGTTAAGATTTCAACAACAAATTACGTTTACACGGCGCCTTTCACGTCAGGAGGACGTCCCAAAACACTGGACAGTCAGGGGTCTGCACTCGAGCCGGTGATTGGGATCAGGAGAGAGTGGAGGACGGGGAGGGTATGGGGTAGGAGAGTTACCGAAGGCAGGGTTGAAGAGGAGGGTCTTGAAATGGGTCTTGAAGGAGACGAGGGAGGGCGGGGGGCGAGGCGGAGGGACTGCGGGATGGAGTTCCAGAGGTAGAGGCAGAGAGGCTGAAGGCCCACCGGACAATGGCTTGCCCGCAAACCTGAAGAAATTCTAATTTCAGTGCACGACGCACAAATTCCTATTGTGAATTTCTTTAATACATTGATCATTATACAATAATCGTGACGCTGTTTTAAGCGCCCATCTTCGTACTTAAGAGAAATGTCAATGCCTTAAACAGAAGCCCAACTGTAAGCGTTGTATCTGTGGGCTGAGGCAGAGCTGTTCTTTCTACGCTTGATGTGTGTGTGCTGTGCCATCTCGTGGCTAAATTTAGAATTGCTAAAATGGCAGTATTCCACTTTAATGTCAATTTTAATAATAATAACAATAATAATCCTTTAGATTAGTTTGCAGGTTTACACTCAGAGTGAGGTGTGTGTTTTGGGACCAAGAAAAAGAGATAATGCAAAATTGTCTAGAGTCTCCTTTCAAGTATATAATAATGATAATAATATTTGCATTTGATATTGAGCTGTATCACATCTCGAAGACATGATAAGGCCTCTATCAAATGCAAAGGTTATTATTATTAAGTAAATTCCTGACTGTTAAAAGGGCATTTTCTATTTAACTCCTTAATCTCTGATTTATAAACCAACGGCTGCTTTAGTTGTAATTTGGATCATATGATGATGATAATAATAATCCTTCCATTTGATACAGTGCCTTATCACGTCTTCAAGACGTCTCAAAGCGCTTCACAGTATATACTGTAAAGTGAATTGACTGTATATTTTGTGGGCGAAACGTGGCAGCCAATTGCACACAGTAGCGTCCCCACAAGCAGTCGTGGATTGAGTGACCAAATTATTATTTTTNAATTCATTTATTCTTTTAGCACTGTTTCCCATTTTACTGTAAAGCGGCAAACTAAACCTCTGCCCTTATCTTGTCTCCAGCGACAGAGGTTGCGTCAGTTTTTGATCCGGCAGCAAATCCAACGGAATAACCTGCGGCAAGAGAAGGAGCAGGCTGCTGCATGTGGGGCAGCGACCATCACTCCCACTTGGACTCCAGATGGTTCGAACCAGCCTCACGAACTGATGACCAGAGCTCCACCACCATACACCCTTCCACAGGTGATTTCATATTGGATAATTTACATGTATAGCAACCTTTCTTTTAATGTTCTTCCTTACAGCGTTTTTTGTAAGTCTGATGTCTTTGGATTTACATTTTTCTAATAATTAATAATAATAATAGTAATCCTTACATTTGACATAGTGCCTTATCACTCTACGAGACATCTCAAAGCGCTTCACTGGATATGTTGTAAAGCGTAGTGACTGTGTGTTTGTGGGCGAAATGCGGCAGCCAATTGCGCACAGTAGTGACCCACAAACAGTGTTTGAATGCTGAATATTGAACGTTGAGTTGATCATTGTACTGCACGCTGTATTTGAATTCATATAATACTGATGGAACTTTTTAATTTCGCCAAGCTCCAGTTTATTTTTTTTAAAGTGAGCATTTCAAATCACCTTCCCCCTCTACGATGATAAGAATTCCCTTCTTCAAATTGTTCTGTGAGAGCCGAGTGTTCCATCTATTGGAGTTGTCCTTGTGGATTTTTGTCGCTCTCTTTCCTATATTTGGTTCCTCTATTCCTCGCCTAATCCTCGGTGAGAATGGGGTCAGCAATATGTTGATATTGGCCAGTTCTCCTTCTCAGCTACTGAGTCCAGGACTTGTTGCAGTTCAACTCATTGCCCGTATCATATCAAGTCCTGGATGAGACATAACTTTCTGCATCTGAATGTCAAGAAAAAAACTGAAGCTGTTTTGTTTAGTGCTCACCATCACACATGTGCCTCTGATCCCTTCAACCTACCTGCTCCTCAACCCCCCACCCACCCCACTACACACACACACACACACACACATTTGGTCTGTTGCTAAAACTGCTTTTTCCTGCTTCTGGAACATTGCCCAATCGTGCACTTACCTCACAGCCGCCGCTATTGAAATTGTCACCCGTGTTTTCAACACTCTTGAGAATAGAAGTTTGCATTTCTTTCCCTGAGAAGCTTGATCCTCACACTCATTTTCAAATCCCTTCATGCCATAGCACCTCCCTAGTGTCCGACCTGCTTTTCCCCACCAACCCCCTGCCTCCGCTCGACTGGCTCCGGCCTCCTGCATGTCCCCCGTGCCCTTTGCTCCACCATCGGTGGCCACATTTTCAGCCACCACTGCCCGAAACTTTGGGACTCTCCTCTATCCCTCCGCATTGCCCCTTCCTTCCCCATTCTTAGGTCGCACCTGAAGACCTTCCTATTCGACTGTGCTTACGGTCACCTCCCCCTCCCCCCCCGGCTCGGAGTCGTGCTCTGCTACTGTCGGGCGCTCCAGGACGCTATCCTGCGTGAGGGGCGGTGTGTAAATGCAAGTTGTTGTTGTTGAACTGCTCCACGCTTCTAAATTACATGCAGAGATCATAGTCTTATGTTTTCTGTTTTGCAGGACCGATCTGGTTTACGAGGCCTGATCCCTGGCTCTGGAACCGGGAGATTAGCAAACCCAGTGACGATAGAGAGGCAGGGAATATTTCCTCAGGACGAGAGGCTGTGTCGACCTCCACAGCCAGGACTCTCCTCCACTGGAGACCTACACGCTCCCAGGTTTGCCAATAACTTTGCACCAGAATGACTGCACATGCTCCTTGATATGGCAGTGTGGCTACATTTGCAATGAGATTATCTATGGGTGAACATTGAACATAAATGCCACAGTGATATTTCATGGTTATATAGAAATTACTTGCACTTAACCAAATCGTTCCCTTTTTTAAATATAATGCATACTTGCACACATTCTCATTGATATAATCTACTTTGTAGTTCTCTGCTGAGTGCCACCCTTCCTGGCTTTCAAACTATCATTTATTTATACCACCAAGATTATTAATACTACTTTCATACTTGTTCCAAAGGAGCAGTTTCTAAACTGCATAAATAAAATATTGTTACTTGCTGTGCTTTAGTCTAAACAATATCTATTTTAGATTTTTTGGGTCTCTTTATGAAATAATAATAACTTTGCACTTGATCCAACACCCTATCACATCTTTGAAACGTCTCAAAGCACCTCACAGAATATACTGTAAACTGAATTGCCTGTATATTTTGTGAACGAAATGACAGTCTATTACTTCAACAATAACAGCTCGCATTTATATAGTGCCCTTGACGCAAGTTAGCTCGAAAGAATTACCTATAACACTAATTAGGTTCCAGGTGTGGTAATCTTTCTTGTGGGTTCCATAAAAGTGTCAATAAGATGCGTTACGATGGAGTCACCTACAGAGGTGTGGAACACAATTATTGGGACTGATAAAATTCCAGTGTATCTTCAGATAATTGATCCAAAAATCAGCTTTTATCAACGGTACCATTTCTTCATCAAAATTTCCCCCGATTAAAACCTATTGGAACTACTTATGTAGTGTTGGTGGTTGCGAATAAAATAAAAGAGGTAATCCTTGCATTTTGATATAACGCCTTATCAGTCTTCAAGATGTCTCAAAAGAGCTTCACAGAATACACTGTAAAGTGAGTTGACTGTATATTTTGTGGGCGAAATATAGAATTTGTAGCATGAATGCAATTTGCATATTAGTGGCCGTTTCAGTTATTTGAAAAGACTTGAATGTTCAACTCTGTTTCATTGCTGAACGATTTTAATTTGATATTTTAAAAATGTCTTGTTTTTCTAGACAACCAGGGGTTGGGGTTGGGAGCCCCCAAGCATTTCACCCAAGAGGCTTGCCTGCTCCACAGCAGCAACAACACTGGCAATTGCAGCAGCAATTAATACAGAGGCTTCCTGGACAGTCCCGTTTTCAGCAACCCGAAGCTCTGCATCTCAACAGGCCAACGATGACCATGCAAATCAACAACACAGCTGGGTTTCCCCCAAGGATCGCCACTCAGATTACATTTCAAAGTTCGCCTCAATATATAGAGCTCAGGCATAATGCCCAACGATTACCCATTGGAGCCCAATTGGTTCAGCGCAGTCCTCAGGTGAGACCTCGCCTTTCGTTGCCGAATCAGGAACTCATCAATCAGTTTGTTCCTCAAATCCAGGGATGTAAGCCGAGGGACCCAGGAACACCTTTACCGCAGTCGCCGATCACAATGCCACTCCTGCCCCAACAGAATATTGCTGCCTCACTGCCATCCTCACCTCATTCAGCAGAGATATCAAATGCACGGCAGCATGTCCAGGTGAAAGAGCCTTTGGAATCCACTGTACAACACGAGTCTCCACAGACATTTCAGTCATTGTCATCCACTTCCAGTTGTCACTCAGATAGCTTAAAGGATCGTTCGGTGTCTTTTCCGCTTAACTCTCCTCCTCCTCCTCCTCCTATCTCCAGTGTAGATAGAGAAAGTTCAGGGTTGGAGCACAGGAAGATCCCTTGTGATGATTCAGTAGAAAAGGTTCTGGAGGAGGAACTAGATGAAGAAGATGATCTGGCTAATCTGAGCCTCGATCCAGATAGCAAGACAGACGATGAACTCGGTAATCTTGACAACCTAGAAACCAATGACCCCCATCTGGATGACCTCCTGAAGTGTGAGGAGTTTGACCTGCTGGCTTACACCGACCCTGAGCTAGACACAGGTGATAAAAAGGATATCTTTACAGAGCAGTTGCGTTTAGTGGAGTCTGCCAATGAGAAAGCGGAGGACCAGGATATATTAAATGATCAGAGTGCTATTGACTCGGCAGATAAAGGTACAAATAACGAAGACACCAAATGTCATCTGCAAAAGATCGAGAAGGTAGAGGCACGTGAGGAAGCTATGACTAAATCAGAGAGCATTGCCGATAATCTCTCGAATTCTGATAAAATCAGATGCTCGTCTGTAAACAACGACAATTCGGACACCAACACCGGGAGTCAGTGCAGTGGCCCACTGAGCAGGGCCCCTTCCGCTGACAATTCTCCCAATCCCACTCTGGATTTGGTGCTGAAGGTTGAAGAGAACCCTGCCAGAAATTCAACTTGCCAGTTTGCAACAAACGCTTCTACCGGTCAGACCGTTTCTATAAAATCAGAAAACGGACCCACAGGGAACAACGAGAGAGGAGGTGCGTCGATGCTGCTCAATATGGAAACCACCCTCAGCGTTTCCACGGCCAGCGTGGCGCTGTGTCAGAACACTCCTTGTACGAGTAGTGGAACACACGTCACCGCTCAAAGTAGTATAAGCGCTTCAAGCGGTCTTGGGGCTGCAGAGATTCCAACCAACGGTCATTCTGCTGTAGATTTAGAGAACATGCCTTGTACGTCTTCGGGACAGATTGTTTCGAAGAACCCAATGTCTCTCCAGTGTATGCCAACAATGGGCAAGTTCGGACTGGACGAGATAAGCCAGCATGTGTCCAGCATGGAGCCCAAACGACGTCCGGTCGATGAGCTCATCAAGGTGGAGAGCACCTTGGAAGCCAGTGAGCTTCCACTACTTCTCCACGACCTGTTGGAACAAGAGAAGATGGAACTACAACAGCAGCAGCAGCAACAACAGGGGGCATCTCAACGGCTATCCACTCAACAGCAGCAGCAACATCCAGGGCAAAAAAGCCACCTTCCTGCCCTACAGCAACAGCTGGAGGTCTCGCACCAACAGGGTCATCTCGGACTCCCGCAACACCTGCCGACAACACAGCAATCTCAGCACCTCGAGGGCCAGTCGCAGAACTTATCCCTGCCACAGCAACGCATCCTGGGAGTTATGCAGCACCATCACCTCGGGATACCTCAGTCGCATGGGTCGCAGCAGCTGACTGCTTCGCAGCAGCAGCGGCTCGGAGCTTCACCGCACGTTGTCATGTCCCAGCAGCAACACGTGGCAACGGGACAACATCCAGCCCAGCAGAGCCACATGGCTTCAGCACAATTGCTGACCACACAGCAGTTGGCCGGGCCACAACAACTCAGTGCTATGCAGCAGAGCCAACAGCAGCAACAGTTGGCCAGCACTTTCTTCCCAGAAACAGGTACAGTGCTTCCTCGAAATGTCGGTTTTTTTATGATTCATAGATTCATTTTTTTTCATAGATTCATAGAATGTTACGGTACAGAAGGAGGCCATTCGGCCCATCGAGTCTGTGCGGCTCTTTGACAGAGCAAGTCACTTTCACTAACCCCAATCACCAGCTTTCTCCCCATAACCCTGCAAACCCGTCTTCCCCCGATACCTATCCAGTTCTCTCTTAAAAGCTGTTATCGAATCGGACTTCACTGCCCTTTCAGGCAGATCATTCCAAATTCCAACAACTCGCTGAGTGAAAAAATTTCTTCTAACCTCCCCTCTTCTTCTTTTGGTAGATATCTTAAGACTGTGACCACGGGTCGCAAACACACCTACCAGCGGAAACAGCTTTTCCTTATCTCGCCTGTCGAAACCTTTTATGATTTTGAAGACCTCTATCAGGTCCCCGCGTAATCTTCTCTGCTCTAATAGGAAAAGTCCTAAGTTTTCCAGCCTGTCCTCATAGCTAAGGTTCCCTATTCCTGGTATCATTCTCGTGAATCTCCTCTGCACCCTTTCCAGTGCCTTAATGTCCTTCCTGAAGTAAGGTGCCCAGAACTGGACGCAGTACTCCAGCTGAGGCCTAACCAGTGTTTTGTACAGATTAACCATAACCCCTACTCTTATACTCTATGCCCTACTAATAAAGCTCAGTACACCAAATGCCTTTTTTACTGCCCTATCTACCTGCCCCACTACCTTTAATGATTCGCTTACTTGAACGCCCAGATCTCTCTCTACGTTCACCCCCCTTAAGATTGAGCTCCCAAGCCTATATTGCCTCCTATCATTTTTCCTACCTTAGTGTATCACCTCACACTTATCCACATTGAAATCCATCTGCCACATGTCAGCCCATTCCACCATTCTGTGTATGTCTGCTGCAGTTGGTTACAGTCCTCCTCACTATTTACTACCCGACCTAACTTGGTATCATCTGCAAACTTGGAAATAGTGCTCTCTATGCCCAAGTCCAGATCATTAATATATATTAGAAAGAGCAGTGGTCCCAATGCCGATCCCTGGGGGACACCGCTGCACACCTCCTCCCATTTCGAGAAACACCCATTAACCACCACCCTCTGCTTTCTGTCACTCAGCCAGTTTTTAATCCAAACTGCCACTGTCCAGCAGGTTAGTCAGTAATGGAAGCGCAGAAACAGGAGGAGGTCATTCAGCCCCTCGAGCCCGTTCCTCCATTCTATAAGGTCAAGGCTAATCTGCACCTCAAGTCCAATGAATGACTACTGTACTGAATTAGCTTCAATGAAGGAAATGGGTGCTTATATATAAATTCAAAATGTTGGGTTAGACTAATGTTTGAAGGTGGAAGAGCAAGAGTAATAATATAATATATAATAATCCTTACATTTGATATAGTGTCTTATCACATCTCCTAGAAGTCTCACAGCACTTCACAGAATATACTGTGAAGTGAATGGACTGTATATTTTGTGGGTGGAACGTGGTTGTCAATTGCACCCAGTAGCGTCCCCACAAATAGTCGTGGATTAAGTGACCAAATTATTATTGTTTTTCAAAAAAATGTATTTATTGTTTTGAACGGTAGCTCCCAATACTTCTGTGGCTAAGACTAGCTCACTCTGGGAATCAAAACTGTTAATGTCTAGGCCATCTCGCTTAGAGCTACATCAGGAGATAAAAGATGAATTCAATTTTATTTTATTGTAGATCTGGATAAATTTACAGCGGATGACATTATGGATCCCATCGCCAAGGCCAAAATGGTGGCATTAAAGGGAATTAAGAAGGTTATGGCACAAGGAAACATTACTGTAGCACCAGGGATGCATAGGTGAGTTGTACTGAACTGATCATTTTCAAAATTGATAGTGATCTAAGAATCTTGTTTTGAGATGGTAACACTTTACATAGTATGTCCAGATTGGGTATCAGTTTAAAAGCCTTTGCGATTTAAATTGAAAAAGTTGAAAGTTAATGTGTCTGCTTCTGATTAATCCATTTTCTTTTTTTAATTGATGTTTAGGCAGCAGGTTTCATTGTTGGCACAGAGGTTGGCTGGGGCTCCAGGAGCAAATGATGCACAGGCTAAATTGCCACCTGCAAACAGCGAGGTATGAAAGATGCTTTAAAGTTGGCTGTATGGTAATGAAATAATCCTCAAAGACATGAATCAGGAAAGATTTGTGGGCTACATCCCTGTTGCATTTTGCCAATAGTGGATTACGCAGAACAGAAACTATAAGAACATAAGAAATGCGAGACGAAAAAAAAGACCAAGGTCCATCTGTCTTTTTTTGTGTCCTAATTGAAAAATTGAAAGTTATATAAAACTGCATAAGAAACAATCCTTATAATATTAATAATGAGGTCTCAAAGCGCTTCAAAGGATATACTGTAAAGTGAATTTATTGTATATTTTGTGGGGTGAAACATAGGTTCAAGATGACTGTGTTCTGGTACTGAAATCCCTGTAAAATTTGTAAAGAAATGACTGCAATCTGAACCTTGTAGATTTCTGTTTGCCAGCAGGAGGCGAGTGGTGACCAGATGCAGGCCCGACCAAATCCACCAACCTTTGTCCAAGGCTTCTTCAGTAAGTCTTTATTCTACACCTTAAACTTTGTGATTGATTGATTGTTTGATTGATAATGGAGGGGATGGGTATGGTCTTTCTTGGGCTTGGACGGGATTTGTGAACTCCTCTTCAATTGTGTTTTTAAAGGTTAAAGAAAGTAGTCTTAAATTTTACTTGACTTTTTTTCTCGTAATGCAACGGTGTAAATTTTACACCGGCAGTCTCAACATTTAGGGTTCTTTGGTTTAAAAATATAGCGGTGGTATTTTTGGTTACCTGCTCATGTTATCTCTGTTTCAGATGAAGCAGAGCATCGTCAGTATGAAGAATGGCTTCTCCATACGCAACAGCTGCTTCAGATGCAACTGAAATTTCTGGAGGAGCAAATTGGTGTCCACAGGAAGTCCAGGAAGGCGCTGTGTGCCAAGCAGCGGACTGCCAAGAAGGCTGGCCGCGAGTTTCCTGAGGCGGATGCTGAAAAACTCAAACGGGTGACAGAACAGCAAAGCAAAATTCAGAAACAACTGGATCAGGTAGAGATCAGAACAAATCCGCCACTGAAGTTAAAATATTTACTAATTGGAAGGTTACTAATTATTTTAAATTGAGATGTTAAACTCTGTATGATCAGAGGGATTTACTGTTTCATTAATTTATTGATTTTAATTTATTGATTTATTATTGATTTTTGGCTGCCGTGTTTCGCCCACAAAATAGTCAATTCACTTCACAGTATATTCTATGAAGCGCTTTGAGACTTCTTGAAGATGTGATAAGGCGTTCTATCAAATGCAAAGATTATTATCGTTAAGTTTTAACTTTTGGCATTTTGTAATGTCATTGATGGAGGTTTATCACATAATAATTTCGAAACGACTTAATTGTGTTTAAACTTCAATTTTGTTAGGTCCGTAAACAACAAAAGGAGCATACAAACCTTATGACCGAGTATCGGAACAAACAGCAGCAGAAATGTTCCCTTTCTCCCTCGGGGATGATAGCTGCCAGTTCATCCCAGAGTCCAAGGGTAATGCCCAAACTTGCGACTCCCATGTTATCAGCAGCTTTGGCCCAGCAAGGCGGAATCCTAGGACCCCAGGCAATAGCACAGCAACCAAATACACTGATGGGACACTCAGGAAATTTACGAATGCCACAGATAGGACCTACCTTATCAGTTCAGCAGGGACAACCTTTCTTGACCTCACCCGTGACCCAGCAACAAGAATATCCTTCTGCCTCTGGAAGTGTACCCACCGCCCCTTCACCCAGTTTTTTCCCGGGAAACTCGACCGCTCAGACGCTTCCGGCCGACAACCGATTCCTGCAAGAGCGGCAACTTCAGCTGCAACAGCAAAGAATGCAACAGCAAGGGCTTGTGGGGCCACCTCCGCAGCAGGGCCTCATGGGGAAGATCCAGCAGCAGAGCATGTTAGGACAGCTTCAGTCGACGCCTCAGCAAGGTGTCGTGGGTAACCCGCAGGGTGCCATGGGTCAACAGCAGCAAGGCTTCATTGGACAACAGCAAGGCATCATGGTTCAACCTCAACAGCAGCAGCAGCAGCAGCAACAACAACAACAACAACTGCTCCAGCAGCACAGCAATCTGGGTCAGGCGCAACCGCCCCCCACTCCACAGCACCAGCAGAGCATGTCATCCCAACAGCAGCATTTAAGGCTGTTGAGCCAACAACAGGTTGGTCAACAGCAAAGCCTTGTGGGACACCTGCAGGCCAGCCAGCAGGGTCTCGTGGGTCAGCCGAAGCCTCTACGGCCCCAGCAAAGTCTTATGGGCCAGCAGCTGAGCCACCAGCAAGGGCTCGCTTCTCAACAGCAGCAGCAACAACAACAGCAGCAGCAGCAGCAGCAGAATCTGGTATTGCATCAACAGCAACAGGCGCCCGGTGGGCCCTTGCAGCAACAAGGAGGCCTTATGGGACACCAGCAGGTAGCCGTTTCGCAGGGTCAACAGCAGCTGGGACCGATGATGCCATTGCAACAGCAGCACTTGCAGGCCATTTCCGGACAGCTGCACCCGCAGAGCGTGATCCGACAGAACAACATCCTGCGGTTCTCTGCCACTTTCCAAGGCCAGCAGCAAAGTATGTTGGGGCACCAGCCACGAATGCAAGGGATAATGAGACCCCAATCGCAGGACGTGAGAGGGCACCTGGCAGCAGCGCAGGGCATAATGGGACAACAGCCTTCACTGCAGGTCTTGAGGCACCAAGCGCAGGCCATGGTGGGGCAGGGGCAGCAACAGCAGGCCCAAGCTCAAGGTGTGGGGCAGCAGCCCGCGCCCCAGGGCACCACAGGACAGTGGCAGCAGTTACAGCCCCAGCTCCAGGGTACGGCTGGGCAGTGGCAGCAACAACAGCCACAGACCCAGCACCAGAACACGAGCGGACAGTGGCAACAGCAGCCGTCCCAAGGTCAGGGTATGGTGGGCCAGGCTCAGTGGCAGTCACAGGCCCTGGGCACAATGGGGCAGTGGCAGCAGCAACAACAACAGCAGCAGCAACAACCTCAGGGCATTGGACAACAGCAGCCGCAGAACACAACTGGTATGAGGCAACAGCAAATGCTGCAGGGCCTGATGGGTCAGGCAGGGCAACAGCAAGGCATGATGTCACAGGGACAGGCAGGGCAGCCGCAGGGCATGATGGGCCAGGCAGGGCAGCCGCAGGGCATGATGGGCCAGGCAGGGCAGCCGCAGGGCATGATGGGCCAGGCAGGGCAGCAACAACAGGGCATGATGGGCCAGGCAGGGCAGCAACAACAGGGCATGATGGGCCAGGCAGGGCAGCAACAACAGGGCATGATGGGCCAGGCAGGGCAGCAACAGCAGGGCATGATGAGTCAGGCAGGGCAACAGCAGAGCATGATGGGACAGGCAGGGCAACAACAGGGCATGATGGGACAGGCAGGGCAACAGCAGGGCATGATGGGACAGGCAGGGCAACAGCAGGGCATGATGGAGCAGGGGCAACCGCAGGCACAGGCTCTAATGGGGCAAAGGCAGCGGCAAGCACAAGGACAAGGGGCACAAGGACCGCTCCAGTTGCTGTCTCAGGGGCTTGGCGCCCAGCGGCAGTCTCCTGGTATGGTAGGGCAGAGACAGCGTCCACAAGCTCCAGGCACAGTGGGGGGTCAGCAGCAGCTCTCACCGCAGACTCCAGGCATGTTGGGAGGGCAGCAGCAGCCATCACCGCAGATTCCAGGCACGGTGGGGCAGGGACACCCACAGGTATCTCCAGGCACAATGGGGCAAGGGCATGCACAGCAGTCTCCAGGCCCGATGGGGCAGGAGGAGCAGCAGCAGCCACCTCCAACCATGGTGGGGCACGGTCAACAGCAACAGTCCCCCCTGGGACAGGGGCAGAAGCCAACATCAGGCACCGTGGAGCAAGGGCAACTGCAGCAGTTCCAAGGTGCGGTGGAGCAGGAGCCATTACCGCCTGCTCAGGGTATCATGGTGCAAGACTGTCAACAGCCACCACTTCACGGTGCGCTAGCACAGGGGCAACAGCAGAACGTGCTTGGAGAGCAACCACAGCAGAATGTACACGGACAGGGGCAACAGCAGAACATGTTGGCACAGGGGTCGCAGCAGAATACGCTCACACAAGGGCAACAGGGGCTGCCCAAGAGCGTGGTTGGGCTGGCTCAGCCGCAGGGCGTGATTTATCAGAATCTGCACGGCAGACCGGGATCCTCAATGCAGCAGTTGGTGCAGCAGGCCATTGTAGGGCAGCAGCGGTTTGTGAATCAGCAAGGCCAGCTGATGAGGTACGCCGTGCCATCACAGCAGCAAGGTGGCGCTGACCTGCAGGGCGTGCTTCGAGTCGCAAGCTCTCAGCAACAGGGGATCTTGGGGGATCTGAGGCAAGGAGTTCCCAACATCATGAACCAACATCCTTTCCAACAGCGTTCAGTTCACATCACAGGCCAGAAGATTGGCTTGGGTCAACTGCGCCCCGGCATGGTCTATGTGCAGCAGGTACAGACCGAACAAGGAGGGCAAACGCAAGATCCAAACAACGCTCTTCAGAATAAACGACCAAGACAAAGCATGGGGTCAGTGAGTGACCTGGTGTCCGCCCAGGCTTGCTGCAGCCCCTCGCCAATGCAACACCTAGAGTTAAATAAATCCATTTACAATAGCCCTTGCTCGATAGACCCGCAAAAGGTGCCTGAGTTGAAGTCGGATATGCTGGCGATGAAGTCACAAGGGATGACTGGAAAAGCAAGTCCTGAGACAGGACCAGCCAAAATGAATACCGAGACCCATGAACAAAATGATTTGAGGAGAACGTCCTCGTTTGATTTCCCTCTATCCCCCCCAGTTCCTCTAGCAAAGGAGGAAGGTCCTGGACAGAGATCAGAAGCATTGTTTCATCAAACCAATGGTGAGGGTGAAGGTATGCAGAAAATAATGGGACAGGAGATGAGCTCTTCCAAGTTCCAGGATGGCTGTCATAAAAGTGTTAACTTGGCAGCTGCAGGTCACATAATCAAACAGGAAAACGTTGAGACAGTTCACTGCGGACATCTAGAAGGAAGTGTTAAGCACGAGTCAAATGTGGAAGCGTTTAATGTGGCCTTGACTTTAGGGAATCAGCCTTCTGCTCCCAGGTCTGAAGCTGGGCAACTGCTTCTCCAGAAACTTTTACGCACGAAGAACTTACAGTTGCTGGCACAACGTTCAGGAGATGCAACGCATTTAGCTGTGAAAAGTCACATTGACAGCAAAGGTGTGATGGTAGAACGGAAACCGCAAGGCACCACTGGAAATTCAGAGGTTAGTAGTCAATGGAGTTTGAGTCGTCATTGACTGTGATGGAGCAGCTACCAGTTCATATAGTGTTGTAATATGCCCCACCCCCATCAAAAAAAAGTTTGTTTGAAACTTGTTTTGGTCTCCTTAAGCACTCTTGAGACTCCACCCCATATAAATAAATGCAAGTCGTTGATGTTCTCACATTGTCCATTTTAAAATATTCTCGAATGCAATATTTTATTTCTCAAGTTTGTGGAAATGTTCACACTTTCGCCGAACTTTTTTNCTCTCGTGCAAGTCGTTCATTGAAGTTACTGATTTTTGGAATATTATTTGTCAGCTGACATATGCTTTGGGCAACATTTTGTAAGGATTCGTACATTTTCCCATGGATTATTTTTTCAGTAATTGCTAATGTTGCAGGATGGTTGCATTGCCTGAAATAATTGAAATAATTACCACGGATGCATATCTGTTGCAAACTACCTTTCTGGCCTTGCACTGAAGAAATTAATAATGCTGTGAATGGTTCCTGAAAGATAATATAATTCTAGAGATAATGTAGCATTAATTGGCTCTTCACACACAGCCCTGAGAGACTATCCAGTGGGAAGAACGCCTTGCCAGATAGATTCAAGGATAGATCCAAACCTCCTCAATTTATTTCAATGTATCTTTGCTGCAGTTACCTCCACAGCAGTAAACTGAATATTTCAAGGGCAAGTGGCAAAAGAAATGTGTTATTGGGCCTTTAGAAAGCGTTGTAAAAGAAGGCTGTGACTCTCATCTTCAGTATTTTGAGTCCTCATGTCCCATGTTGCTGATCTGTTGCAGATCCACCCCTTCAACACTGAATGGCATCAGCGCTGGCACCAGGTTTCAGCAATAATTACCTCATGTTGTGGAAATCTGGCAATAACGGACTGTGTTGGTCCATCCACTATGAGTTAGTCAACACAGGTGACTGATCTGGACATGATTAGTGCTTCTGCCTCAGTGAAAGGTTTAAGTACCTTTTCTCCTTGGTCTGATTTGTGTAGAGTACTCAGTTTTTCTCTTGAATAAATTAGATTTTTTTTGAGTTTTAAAGTCTGCATTGGCCAACAGAATGGAATATGATGTAAGAACGGAAAGTGTACAGTGAAAAATTGCCTTAATATGAAAATTAGCCGTCAGAGAGAATACTGTTATAAGAGCACCATTTAAAAAGGGATCAGTTGGCTCATTCATGGATCACTTTAGCTACAAACACTATATTACGATTCAAGTACAAGGCAACATGATTGGATTAATTGTGCCCAAACCATTACCCTCTTCTGATACGCTTCTTTTTTTAATGTATAAAAACAAGGTAAAGGAATTTCAGGACATGAGCAAGAAAAACTTTGGCCAAAAATCCAAACGGACTCAGAAAGCAGTCGAACGTGGCGGAAACTCACGAAAGAAGAGTAAAAAAGATGATGGAATAAAAAGTACAGATGCCCTGATGAAGCAGTTACAACAGGTACCGACCATTGCTTACGTCTATGGATTGAATTATTTGTGCGACGGAGGAAGCTTTTGGTTGCAATTCACTTTAGCATCATAATAAAAAGATATAAGAACAATTTTTGGGGGCCATTCTTTTGTTATACAGCACCATTAGGTGGTGTCATCACCGTATTTCAATTAATTGCTTTTTTTCCCATAGCAACTGTCTCTTCTTCCGCTCGTGGAACCCACCATAGAGGTCAACTTTGGTATCTTTCCTCCTTTTGGGAGCGGTCCGTTCAACAACAAGAACCAGCTAAAAGGGTCCTTTGGGAATGCAGTGCTAGACAGCGTTCCAGATTACTACTCACAGCTTCTCTACAAGGTAAAGTGTATGGCGATGGGATTTTGTGCGCGAAATCATTTTGACGCGAGCTATTCTTTGGAATAAGTCTTTGTTTAAGGAAGAATTTTTTCCTTGTGTGTTTTCTGAGGAGAATCACGTTACAAATGTGTGTGTTCTGCTTTATACTGTACAAAAACAAAAGTACGTGTCAGATTAAGACCTCTAATACACCGGTCCTTGCCTGGCTGCACTGGCTCCCAATTACCGAACAAATCTACTTCAAGATCCTCTCACTTGTTTTCAAATCCCATCGTGCCCTCGCTCCACCCTACCTCTCCGATTTGCTTACCCCACCACTCCACCATCCGCTGCCTCCGCTTGGCTGGCTCTGGCCTCCTGTTCGTCCCTCATCCCCTCCGGTCCACCATCGGCGGCCGTACTTTCAGGCACTACTCCCCGAAACTCTGGAACTCGATCCCTCTGCCTTGCCCCCTCCCTCCCCAGTTTCAGTACCCGCCCAATGACCTTCCTTTTTGATCGTGCTTACGGTCACCTCCACCCCCCCAACCCCCCCCCCCCCCCGGCTCAGGGTCAGACTCCGTCACTGTCAAGCTCTTCGGGGCGCTACCCCGTTTGATGGGCGCTATATAAATGCAAGTTGTTGTTGTAATGCAGGGTTGCCAATATCAGACGGTCAATATGCTAGAATTCAGTGGATTAATTTCCTGTCATTCTTTAGCAGAACAATCTGAGTAACCCACCGACCCCACCCTCCTCGCTGCCTCCCACCCCTCCTCCCTCTGTCCAGCAGAAACTGGTGAACGGATTGGCCACATCTGAGGAACTGACCGAAGAGCAGAAAGAACTCGAGGGACAGAAAGGTACAGAAATGCGTCTGACTCAATAATAATAATAATGATGATGATGATAATAATAATGCTTGCATTTGGTATAGCACCTTATCACGTTTTCAAAACATCTCAAAGTGTAGTAACAGTGTATTTTGTGGGTGAAACGTGGCAGTAAATTGCTCACAGCAGATGTCCCACAGACAATCATGGATGGAGTCACCAAATTATTATTTCTAAGAATTGTTTAGAGCACTTAAATGCGTTGATTTTTTTTTAAACCTTGTCTTGAGGAGATGCTAAAAATTAGACCAAAGGGTTCTTTTGAATGACAGCAGCACACGTTCCCCTCACATTAGTGGTAAGCAAAAAAAAATGACAATCCTTGCACTTGATACAGCACAAAAATAAGCAGCTACAGTGAAAACTTGGAGGTCTAAGCTTCTCGAGGACAATCCAGAGTGGATCGTTAAAGAGTACATAATGCACAACCAAGTTGATTCATTTACTGGAGGAATTTATCAAACCTCTGGCAGATTGTTTTCCTATCCTGAAATGGAAAAGGAAGCTACTGAAGAATTCTGGTTGTTATTGTAAAAGCTTAATGCTGCACAAAAGATAAAATGCTCCTTAATGCATTTTTTAAAAAAAAATGATGTTGAATAGATTACAGGAGATGTAAGAATCCTTCAACTTTGATCTTAAAATTGGGATGGCATATACTGTTGTAGATAATTTTACGGTAAAATTAAAACGGTGTCGGTGAATGCGTTTAGAGTTGGCCTTTGGTGGGACCAACCATATCACCGAGTTGATTAATTTCTGCTGAGCAAGTCAAACAAGTCCTAGAAGTGTAATTTGAACACGGTTAAATATTCAAGTGTTGCTTTGGGTTTTGTACGGTTCACACAATAGTGGCTTCTCTTAAATCTATACACCTGTTTTTCATTGCAGGTCTGCTGACGACAGAATTAAAGAACATGGATATGTTGGCTTCCTTACCCACACCACCGCATAACTTAAATGAGGAACTAAGGTTTTCTTAGTGACTTCTTGTTTTTTAGTTAATTTAATACTGTATAAAATAAAAACACTGCTCTGCCATTTTGATCACTGCTGCGTAATATGCTAAGCTATTCAGAGCCTCTGCCAGTACTGACCTTGACTGACTTTCACAGTGATGTATGTTAGTGGCACGCGGAGGGAGAGTTGAGATTGGGAAACCATTGTACGTGGAATTCCATAGAAATGCCTGTCTCCCAACTCCACATTGCAGTCTGTTGGAGCACTTTAGACTCCTGATAGTGATCTCTTGAAACTTGATGCCTTTCTTTATTGCTTCTGTTTAACAAGAATACCCAGCATAGCCCCTTGATTGACTGAATTAATTTCCTACTGCAGTGCGAACCAGATAGATGATCTTTTGAGATAGGAAATAATAATTGGAAATAATAAGTCAGTAAAAAGGGACGCAATGTGATTTAATGATGTGATGTTACCACCAACAAAAGCTTTTGTTTATAATTTCTGGGCTGTTTTCTTACCTGGAAGGTATTACTGGCGTATTACTTCCATAGATTTGTGTTCACTGCTTGTATGTAACCCAAGCTGCGAGTGTAGTTTTAAGTCTCCTAAAGAAGCTGATTTTCCTTACTCAACAGTAGAACAGAGATGGATGAAGACCGAGACACTCCGGACAGCTTTGTACCGGCATCCTCACCGGAGAGTGTGCTCGGTCAGGAAACCTCCAGGTTTCCCTTGCTCACGGAAATCAAGGAAGAGCCAATAGATCGTGAGCTGTCTCCAGTCATTCCCATTATTCCAGGAGCACGCATCCCAGGTTGGTAGGAGAAATTGAGGTCATTTGAAGGGTGGGTGTTTGGGTGGGGGAATCGGTGATGTCTATGAAAGCAGATTGACTCCCAGTTTGTGCGTATCACAGTTGTTGCGAAACAAAGTACTCGCAATACATTTTCCGTTCAAATGACAGTCAAAAGCGTGTTATATAAATGCAAGTTGTTGTTGAAGTTGAAGTCAAATGTTCGATCCGGTTTCATGAAAGTTGACATCGAGTATGGAGGGAAGGGGCAAGAGCGAATCTGGGTGAACTTGATAATACTTCAGGGATCTACACGGAACCTGCAAATTAGACTCTGGAAATCATCGATATCAAAATGTCTTCCATTTGGTCATCTTCCTGCAGTTGGTTTTCAAAGACTCTGAAGACAGCTTCATGAAATGCGTCACATTGACACGAATAAACCCCTCACTGGACAATTGAGCCTATGTGGTTTACACAGTGGTCGACAAGCAAGATTGTGCACTTCGCTTCAAATGAATGACTCGTTTGTCCTTTTTTGGTTGTTGTATTTTTTGCAGTATTTCCTGATGCAAAGCCATTTATAAATCCAGACCCATTTGTACAGATGACTGAGAAGGGTGCGTCTTACTCTGGCCCGTGGGAGAGTGTGAAAGGAAACCAAGTTGCGGTCACACTCACGCTCTCTGCAACCGCTGCCAAGGTAAATCTATACATATAATTCCAGGCATCCGTCCCAAGTGTTTTGGATGGATTACTGCCATTTATACATGCAGATCAAGGAGTAAAAACTAGTGGAGAAGCATAAGATAATGTCCTAGCCAGGCCCCACTGGCTCCCTATCAGCGAACGGATTGATTTCAAGATCCTCACACTTGTCTTCAAATCCCTTCATGTCCTGGCATCTCCCTACCTCTCCGACCTGCTTACCCCCCAACCCATTACCCACTGCCTCCGCTCAACTATCTCCGGCCTCCTGCTTGTCCCTCGTATCCTCCGTTTCACCACGGAACTTTCAGTAACTTTCAGCCACTATGTTCTGAAACTTTGGGACACTTCCTCTATTCTTCCACCATGCTCCCTCCTTCCCCATCTTCAGGTTGCCCTAAAGACCTTCCTCTTCGACCTTGCCTACGGTCACCTCCCCCTCCCCTATCCCCCTGGCTCAGCGTCATGCTCTGCCACTGTCAAGTGCTCTGGGCCGCTACCCTGCATGAGGGGGCACTGTGTAAAATGCAAGTTGTTGTTGCCGCACTAATGACAGTTGGGATTCTTCGCAAAAATAGTTTTGCAGGAGAACGAAAGTTTGGTACAAAGGAATCAGAAGGAGAAAGATTGGAATTTTGTTTTAAAGTGATACTCAATGTTATTATTTCACAATCATTTATGTTGGGCTTCTTACAGGATATAAACAGTATGATGACGGCTTTTGCACAGTTGCTCCAGATGAAGATTCCTTGTTCTTATGAAGTTACTGCAGTCCAAGACGCTCCATGCTGTCTGCTGCCTGTTGGGAAAAAATCCACATTGGAAATGCCCAGTCAAGGTAGGGAGTCATTTCAGACGTCCTGTATAATCGGTTTGTGATAATAAATCAACTAGATTGCATTGCCAACAAATATAGTGCTCTGATTTGAAGTAACCTCAGATACAAATATCACCATTCACCTTTTCAAATCATAGCGGCAGATAAGGCGTTTCAAATTATTTATGCAACTAAAAAAAAAGGTTGGGTATGCATTACGGGTCATTACGTATGTTGGTTGCATCCATCCTACATTCAGCCGCTCTCTGCCCTCCCTCATCCCAACCCTGTCCCCCCACGCTCGGGTCCTGATCCCCGACTGTTCAGCGCCTTGGGACGTCCTCCCGACGTGAAAGGCGCTTTACAAATGTAATTTTGGTTGTTGTATATATGTGTGAGTGAGCGCACGGATATAAATATACAATGTCCCTGTGGATTCCCTTTTTTGGTTGATTGCTGATTCATACATGTTTGGAGGTTGAACCATGTAAAACTGTTTGATGAGCATACCTACCTACGAGAGGGGATCTAACACTTTCTGTTACTGTTTGGGCTACTCTGGTAATTTTTTGCGGCGTTCAGTTTTTATTTCTTGTTTTCCCAGTGGTGGGCTCCAAAGAGGAACCAATGGATTTAGGGAAACTAATGCAAGAAAAGCACAACTGGTTTAAACAGTACGATGTCACGTTGCCAGGTTCGAGCCTGAAGAAACCTGTGGAGGAAATGTCCACTGCTACCCTGGTGTGTACTCTCTCAGTTAATAGCAAATGTACACGATGTACTTGAATATGCATGTGCTACAGAGCCATATCATATCATACATGTTTACGTAGCAGCGAGTAGGAACATGGCTGTTAGTCGATTGGTGGATCGCTTTTCCGGCGGTAATAATTCCTTCAAAAAAGTAACAATAAATTGGTCACTCAATCCACGACTGTTTGTGGGGGACGCTGCTGTGTGCAATTGGCTGTGGTGTTTCGCCCACAAAATATACAATCAATTCACTTTACAGTATATTCTGTGAAGCGCTTTGAGAGGTCTCGAAGACGTGATAAGGCACGAGATGAAATGTAGGGTAAAACGCGGTAGCCAATCTAGCCCAGCAACGTCCCACAAACAGAATAGGCAAATGAGTTTACATTGGTCAGGTCACGGGGGAAAGAATTCAATTAGCTTCGTATAAAAATATACTTCATTTTTTTTCGCAGGAAACTCCTACAGGTTGTCCAACTAAAGAAGAAAGAGTTGCACATCATTACAGCAACAACATGTCCGTCCTAGTCGTCCACCAGCTACCCATTATGCAGCCCGAGAGCTCTCCCCCTTCATCTCCGAGCGTATCCTCCCCTTCAACCCCGGCAGAACTGTGCAAACCCGACCTGCCCATGGAGTCACCGAAGGTAAAACATCCGTTGCCTCTGGACGAAAAAGAAGCCGAGGAGCCTCAGCCGCGGGTGAAGAGGTGGCGGGGAATCCGTTGGAAACGTTTAGAATTTAAAGTCACGTTTCAGAAAGGCAAATTCAAACACATCGCTCAACACGAAATCGAGGCTCTCCTCCAGAAACTGGGAACAGCGCTGAAACCAGACCCCATGCCCCGAGACACTCGGAAGTGTTGCTTTTGTCATGACGATGCTGACGGAGTCACAGACGGACCTGGGCGACTCTTGAACCTTGACCTGGATTTGTGGGTCCACCTGAACTGCGCCCTGTGGTCCTCTGAGGTGTACGAGACTCAGGCGGGTGCCCTGATCAACGTGGAGATTGCTTTCCACCGAGGACTCACCACCAAGTGTGCTTTCTGTCAGAAGACCGGAGCCACGACAGGCTGCCATCGAATCCGTTGCCCCAACACCTACCATTTCTCATGCGCCATCCGTGCCCGGTGTATGTTTTTTAAGGACAAGACCATGCTGTGCAGTCAGCACAAATTGAAAGGAACGAACGAGCAGGAAATTAAATGCTTCGCTGTTTACCGACGCGTTTACATCCAGAGGGACGAGGTGAAGCAGATTGCCAGCATCGTGCAGCGGGGCAAACGCAGTCACATGTTCAGGGTCGGTGGGCTGATCTTCCACACCATCGGCCAGTTACTCCCCCATCAGATGCAGGAGTTCCACAGTGTGGCAGCCCTCTATCCAATTGGTTACGAAGCAACTCGTATTTATTGGAGCATGCGATACACGAACAAGCGCTGCTGTTACCACTGCACCATCAATGACATCAATGGGAAACCAGAGTTTGGCATCCAGGTCATTGAACACGGCCATGAGGATGTCATTGTAACCGATTGGACTCCACAAGGTAAGTCTGCGAAGGTAGCAGGAACAAGCTGACAAAGCGGTGTAAAAAACTAAAAGTATCTGAGAACCTTGGCTTCATAAAAAGAGGCATAGGTATTTGGGGAGGACAGCTTTGCAGGACTATGGGGAGGGAGCGGGCGAGTGGGATTCATTTGGACAGCTTTTTCAAAGAGCCAACATGGCCTCCTTCTGTGCTGTAAAATTCAGCCCTGCACAGCAATGGAATAAGTTGAGTGGACCATCCTGTATAGATATGGGGGCATGAGGAGGGGTAAGAGGTTGACTGAAGGCACGGTTGAATAGGATGATCTTGAAGGAGGCAAGGGAGGGACCGAGGCAAAGGGGCTGTGGGTGGAGTATCAGAGGGTGGGGACAGAGAGGCTGAAGGTCCACCCGCCAATTTTGGGGCAGGTAAGGTGGGGCTCGCAGCTGAGGGGGGGAGACGTAATAAAATGGCAATTTTTCTAATGTTTTTTCAGCAGGCATCTCTAATTTTTGAATTGGATTTTCCCCCATCTTTTCCTCAGGTGTTTGGAGTAGAATTCTCGAGCCGGTTGTGCAACTGCGGAAAGAAGCCGAGATGTTGCGACTCTTTCCGGATTATATAAAGGGAGAGGATATGTTTGGACTGACAATCCACGCTGTCCTCAGGATTGCAGAGTCGGTAAGGAAGGAATTCTTGGGAAATGTAGCATGGCTTGTCCAGCCTGTAACTGTACATCAGGGCTGGCATTTTGTTGCAGTCACTTTGCTCCATTGTAAAGATGACATTTTCATCCAGTGAAACTGTGGAGATTGAAAGGACTTGTTCTGTAGGAAATCATCCGTGAGCAGGAAAGCTGGATTGCACAGAACTTTAAGTTAGCTATGAAGTTATGTAGGCGATACTAGTGACTATTTGAAGCAAGGATGAAACTTGCCTTTTTAGTGGGAAAATTCTTACGTTTTAATCTCTTTAAGCTGGGAGACCTTTTTGATTTTGGGAAGGACATATTTTGCTGCACGGGCGTGGGAAAACCTGAATGATTCTGCGGTCAGATCAGTTGCTCTCTCAGGAAGTTAGCAAGAAATCGTATGAAGAGGAGCAATCACAAAACGTCCTTGTGAAACGTGCATGGGGTTTCTATTTTATATAAGGCTGCCTGGCACCAGTCCTGCCTCCCGTTATTTTGTGACCTCTTGTCTTTTCCCTCTAGCTGCCAGGTGTAGAGAGCTGTCAGAATTACATATTCCGATACGGTCGTCACCCACTTATGGAGCTCCCACTGGCTGTGAATCCAACTGGCTGTGCCCGATCTGAACCGAAAATAATGACTCACTACAAACGGTAGGAAAAAAGAAATTCTACCTGGATTGCCTCTTAAATCAGTACGGGAATAGCTTGCCAAACAAAATGCTCAGGATAGGTTTTAGGCCAGGCTGATTGTAATCAGGTGAAGCTTCTCATTGGGTTTGGGGGTTGGGGTGGGTGGGGGGAGAAATTCGATTTAAATTCAAATTTGAATCCTGTAATGTTTTTTCTGTAATGTATTTCATATCCAATACAGTATTTCAATCTCAGGCATTTTGTTTCAGACCAATTCCGTTCCCGCTTTGCTTCTCTGCAACACGGGAATTTTCTTGTAGAAAAATAGCCAAATGCAACTTATTGTGTGAACTGCTATACAAATATAATTTTGTTCTTTCTGTAGCCTAGATTTCTTTTTATAGTCCTCTCTGATTATAAATAATCCTTGCATTTTAAAGCAGGATAAGTCGATGGTACCTTGAATATTATTGTTAGACCAGATGATGATTTTTAGTGACGGAGAAACCTTTTCTTAAAAAATCTGCAAATGCTTAATTGGAATATTAATGAATTTGAAATTAGAAAATGTTGCTGTGTTTTTTTTCGTTAAACTTCCACACGGCTACAGCCCACACACTTTGAACAGCACGAGCACTTCGAAAGCGTTTCAGAGTACGGTAACTGGAGAGATCAACACCCCCTACAGCAAGCAGTTTGTCCATTCCAAATCCTCACAGTATCGGCGGCTGAAAACTGAGTGGAAGAACAATGTTTACCTGGCACGATCTCGAATCCAGGTGAGTCAGAAACCAGCCATCCAACCGACAATTGCAGACATAAGAACATAAGAATTTGCTAGACCAAAGAAGACCAAGGTCCATCTAGTTCACCTTCCACCATCCTTGGTGAACTAGATGACAGTCCAGCACCTTGGGATGTTCTCCTGGCAGTTGCTTAACATGTTGTGTCCCAAAATGTATACTGAGATATTATTTTCTAGCAGAAATCCCATCTGATCTGTTCTTGAAACAAATGACATTTTCTGCTTCCACCGTCTGTCTGTCTCCCTAGGGAGCCTGTTCCATAAGTTTGCTACTCGCTCGCCTGATGTAGTGTTTCCGCAGATTTGTTCTGAATTTACTTGCCTTTCAATCGCAGGCCGTGTCCTCTGGTTCTACTATTCAGTACAGACATTGAGGATTCTTCACAGTGAGCGAGTCCTGCATGTTTGCATTGCTTTTTGGCAGCACCCACCCTTCATAAATGTGAAGCCTCCTCCAAACACAGCAATAAAAGTTTCAGTGGAATTCAACCACCACAATCCTATCCTGCTGATAGGAATGGAATATTCCAACTCTGCTTTACAGCAACAGTAATGTGAGGTTAAATAACGAGCAGTCCCAAGAAGAGGCCTCTGATTAGCAATTTCATGGCGTTACCGAGAAAATATTTAAATGCATTTCTTTTTTTTCCTCTGTAGGGCCTGGGTCTGTATGCAGCCAAAGACCTTGAGAAGCACACAATGGTGATTGAGTATATTGGGACAATCATTCGCAATGAGGTTGCAAATCGCAGGGAGAAACTATACGAGACTCAGGTATGGATTGATGGTTTAATGATGTGCAGAATCAAACTTATTGTATGTCACCAATGCATCTACGTCTTCAACTAAATGTGGGATTCTTTTCACCTGCTCCGCCATGGGTGGCCGTGCCTTCAGCCTCTATGCCCCAAAACTCTGGAACACTCCCTCCCCACTTACACATCCCGACTGAAGACCTTCCTTTTTGATCGTGCTTACGGTCACCTTCCCCCTCCCTACTCCCCCTGGCTCGGGGGTCAGACTCAAATACTGTGAAGAGCTCTGGGACGCTGCCCCATGTAAAGGGCGCTGTGCAAATTCAAGTTGTTGTATTTGTTCCGTCCTATCTGATTACTGTGACGGTGCTTACACAGGAAACCGTGAATAAGAAGTTTGATTTCTGATTTTATTTCCTTCAGAATCGAGGTGTTTACATGTTTCGGATTAATAATGAACATGTGATTGACGCTACATTAACTGGAGGCCCGGCCAGGTAGGTGACATTCCTGGTGGTGGTGAGACCGTGTGGATAAGGTGCAAAGATCGCATTGAATGGGTTTTTATGGCTGTGATGAAGGTTTTCCTTATAAAATGCAGACCCTTCAGAAAAGATTCCGTCCTTGTATTTGAATCCTCCTTTAAGGACACAACCTTTTTCTCTCCCGCTGGTCACCTAACTGCATCCTTGCGTGCAGTGTCGGCAATCTGCAACTACAGACTATTCCATGGCCTGCAGACCACAAATGACCCCTAATGCAGCCTTTCTGATGAATCTCCAGATTTTGCTTACCTATACAATTCATTGCACTTTTCAGTAAATCCTGAGAAGCGCTTTGAGACGTCCCTCTTGCATGAATGTCAAATGCAAGGATTATTATTAAGTTATCAATTGATCTCTGTCTCTTTCTGTCAGATCCCTCGACTGATTTCTTATCTGAGTTGCTGGGAATGCATTCACCTGCAAGAAGAAATCTTTCCCCATCTCGAGACAAAATTTGTCTAATTTTAAGATGATCTCTTGCTACTGATGGGCTCATCTGGGAGGAAAAGTTACACTCTGCTTATTTTGTGGAGCCCCTTCATAACTCTAAACAACTCCCTCAGACTCCCCACTCATTTTGCTAAGTCGCCACATGATTTGAACAACAGTAATGCGTTTTAAGTAACTGCTTATGCATATATTTGCGTGTTCTGGCGAAGACTCGTGGGAGCATAAATATCGGAACAGACCGCTGCAAATTCTTATGCTTTTTAAGAATGAGGTGTGGTTCCATTGAAGTATTGTCCAAACTTATACCTGCATTTACTTTGGACCTTCACAGGGTTCAAAGTTTTGAAGGTACCTTCCTTTCCATTTTGTTGTACCATGAAATCCTCATGATCCCCACATTAGACTGCGTTTTATGGCTTCTTCCCCTACTCCGCTTGCATTTTTGTGGCATTGTTATCAACCTGCTGCTGTTTATTTGAAGCTTCACGCATTTATTCTTGCGCAGGTACATCAATCATTCCTGTGCCCCCAACTGTGTGGCTGAGGTTGTGACCTTTGACAAGGAGGACAAAATAATCATCATCTCAAGCAGGCGAATTCCAAAAGGAGAGGAAGTGAGTATGAAAACAGCCTTAAGGAAAATAGAGATGCTTCAGAAATATGCAGTGCTGTACAGGTTTAGCAGGCAGAAATAATCCAAACGCAAGTAATTAATTTCTTATCCCATGGGCACTGGTTGGTTAACATAGCGATCTATAGATAAAAATCAAAGGGGCAGCATCACTTCATCCTTTTAGATACCATTTGTCGGAAGAGCATTCAATGTGTGAATAGCATTTGTTCATTGATCAGTTTACCCTTTGGACTAGTCTTTAGTGCATTACATTATTTTCTCCTGAGATGTTTGTCAAGTGTGCCAGACAAGTGATTTATGAGGCATCATTGTCAGTCGATTGGCGGATTGCTTTCCGTGGATAATAAACCCTCAAGTAATCGTGGTCACTCAATCCCTGACTGTTTGTGGGGCACTGCTGTGTGGAATTGGCTGATGCTTTTTGCCAGCAAAATACACACTTTACAATTTTGTGAAGTGCTTTGAGATGTCTCAATGACATAATAAGGCACTACATTAAATACAAGGATTATTATTAATTATCATTGATAGATATTGACAGATGATAAAGATGTTACTCGTGTCCATTTGTCTGTATCAATCAATAATCAAAAAAGCTGAACATTTTCCCCCAGGGCTTTAGCTGTGATTTTGCTTTGCTCAGTGTGAAACCGCAGTGAATAATTTGAGTTTCTGAGGTTGAAAATTAGCTGTTTCAAATACTTTGTGTTAATATTGACCTTTTGTGGAAGATATTCGGATTCTTATCTTGCCTTTTGTTTTTCCAGCTGACTTATGACTATAAGTTTGATTTTGAAGATGATCAGCACAAGATTCCATGTCACTGTGGAGCCCTCAACTGCAGGAAGTGGATGAACTAAACTGGTCAGAACGACGACTTCTGCTACTTCAGGATTCTGGACTTAGCGTCCGTCTGCTGTGGTCAGAGATATCAGCACAATGTCTGTCAGTTGAATGACCACAAAGATGGGAAAAGTTTCACTACTTTCACAAAGAAGCCCAGTGTGGAAAATATTGACCACATTTCATGTTGAGAAGAATATCTGTAGTTGAGAGTTAGCGTAGACACCTTACAGATCTCAAACGTGCAGAAGCTTTAACAATGTTTAGTGAATAATGTGAGTGACTGAACAGGCATTCAGACCTACTACAATACACAGGCAACGTGCTTCTGGGCAAGCCTGAACGTAATGTGATTTTTGACTCGGTCTGCGATCCCTTTTGAGAGAATATCTCAGTTAGGCAGACCTTTTCGGATAGGACTTAACCTTAAGAGCAGGTTTTTATTATTTCTTCACTCCAAACGTAAAAAAAGTCCAGCCAAAGGGAGGGGTGGGGGGAAGGTGAGATTTGGGATGCCAGAGTTCTTGACTGTGCTGGAAAAAGTCTCTTGACTTTAGACAGAGGTTGGTGGATCTGAAGGTCAAAGGGAACCAGGGTGGGGTGGGGAGGGGGGTTGCTTCCTCTGATAATGCGGGTATGATTATGCGGGTATACTTAAGAAAATGCAGATTTGTTCTTTTTTGGGAGTTTGCTTATGAATAGAAGACAGAGATATAGTGGGGAAACTCTCTTGAAATAAAACACTAGAGTTTTAAAGAGTTGGTGCCCCTGGATGTGAAAAGCATGACTGCATTATAAGTTTGGATTTCCCATACAATTCGCCCTAAGTTTGTGCTGGAGGATCAGTGTGGGATTATCTTGTTTGCAAGGTCTTACAGTCACTTTGGCCGATAGAGATGACACTGGGCTTTTCGAGGAGCGAGTAGGTCTATGTTGCGTGTTCATTTGGATCAGTAGATTGTGGTTTATTTCCAGGGCAGTTCACTTCATTGTAAACAAAACCTGGAAGAATATATTAAAAAAAGGCAATGAATTAGCTTGGTTGAGACTGAGCAAAGTGCCCATTCACATTGGACACCATGAGAAACGTTCACCTTTTTGCACATTTTTTGCTTAAAAAAAAAGTTAAATCTTAACAAAAGATACCTTTTTGAATATAAAGACAATCTGCGTTAGCGAAGAACTCACTTGGACCAGTTGAATGGTTTTCCATTCCATCCGTCTGCCTGATTTTTGCATGATTGGTGTGACATTTTCCATCACTTGTGTTTCAAGGACAGAAGCAATTGGCACACCAGTCATTCAGGATTACCTGGCTGGGAGGAAGGCAGGGCTGGCTATAAGATCAATTCTCAATCCCAAATTACTGGTCAATAGTGTACAGCATAGTGAAAGGTTGGGTGGCGCTTCAAGACTAAGGCCACCTTGATCCTGACGAGTCTGTATTTTCAGGCAAATGACTAGGGCATTCAGTTCAACGCACAAACAGACTCTCTGGAATCTCTCGCAGAGGAGACTTGCACTGAAGGATTTCTCACCTACTTGATTCCACGAGTCATTTTACTGTAGTTTTGTTTCTGTAATATATATAAAAGTGTGAATTTTATTCGGAACAGTAGGGTAAGTCTGGGGTGGGGGAGATTTTTTTTTTATTGGCGCGATTTTGTGAAAGCTGCTGCCCCCACTGCATCTTCTCCCTGCTGCGACTGTACAAATGTAAATACGAAACTTGTAGAGATCTCCAAAGCAGAAACCACTGGATCAGATTCTCATCCGTACAAATGAACGGTTGGTATTGGTGATATAAAATAGCTGCTGGTTGGATTGAAGCAGGGAAGGCATTAGCATGCAACGAGAAGGCTCTAGGTAAGGTAGATCATGTTAGATAAATCTAAGCTAATCTTAAAAACGGTGTTTGACTGTTTTTATAATAAGAGCTGATTTCACCCCGTCTCTTCAGCTGACAGGAGTTGGGGTACTTTTTAATGGAAGATTATAATTTAAATAAAAAAAAGGGGGCTTTTTATTTCATTTTAACTGAAGATGTCCGCCGATGTCCCCTTATGCATTGTGGGATTCCCAGTTCCCTGAGCACGACTATTGGGGAGGTTTAGTCACGTAATGTATCGTGTTGGAACATTCTCAGTTAACAAACAAAGATGTCCTGTTTGCAGTAAAGCCTTGTTCATATTGTTTACACTGAGATAGGTATTTTGTGGTGCGTTTTATCCTTCCAATTGGGACAAAAAAAAAAGCAGAGATTTGAGTATTTTTTAATGGCAAAGTAAACTTCCAGAATGAGTTTTTTTTTTTTTTGTTTGTGTTGTGTGCATTCTGTACAGCAAATGTCACTGGTAATGAATTAAAATTATCCTTTTTTATTGTATGTGGCATGTTTTTTTTGTACTGGACATAAGTTGAATTGTATATAATTTATGTTGAAGAAGCAAGATGTTTCTTGCTGCTTCATGTATTAAATCTCCTGCAGGAATAAGCTTATTCTGTACATCCTTGGTACATGTAGAGACCGTTATGATCATGTTGGTTAGATTGTACAAACCTTTTTTTAAATACAAATGTAGCATCTTTGCATTACTGTATGATAAATAGGGACATCTGTTCCTACAGAGGTGAATTTACTGCATTAAAACTGTTTGAAATAAAAAAAAAGCGCACTTGGACTATTATTTATTTCTCTCAGGTTAGAGTGGGAAGTGCGGAGGAAAAGATTATACCATTGTTTATAAAGGCCGTGTTTAAGAACATCATACTACGAAGGAGAGACTGTGGTCTTGAATAATTGGTGTCATATCTTTATTGCTTTTTGTCGTGTCGCCTGTTAGATAACCGTTCGATTTGGTATACGTTAAAAATGCCACAATGAAGAAGGCACTTGAATCGCTCTTAAGAATAGAAATCAATAAATGTGTAATAAAGTGCTGATTCCTATTTTGTTACCACACCTTGCAATTTGTCTTTTCTCGTGTGGTGACCCAGTTACTAACCTGGACGTTTAAAGACGCTGAGAAGAGATTTTCTTTTTTTTTTTTAAAAATGTCAATAACATTAATTCCCTGAAAGCCGGACATCTGAACTTCAAAATAATTTGGTCCTCAGCGACCGAGACTGCCTCAGAGGATTAACTCCATTCCTCCTACAGATGCACAACATCTGGAGTTAGCTCAGCTCATAGGAGACCCCTTATTTCACTGCCCCCCCCCCCCGCCCATTGCCCCCCCACCCACCCCATCGCCCCCCAACCTCCGCCATTCCCTGGATGCTCTACAAATGCAACGTCACCACGGAGTCATCTTGGGTGGACATTCGTCGAGAGCTTTTCCCCGGGGATAACAATCCCCATGGACGGTCACTCGATCCACACCTGGTCGTTGAGGGGGTGGGGTGGTGGTGGGGGGGGGGGGGTGGGGAAGGGACGCCGCTGCGCGCAGTTTGGCCGCCGTGCTTCGCCCACAAAATACGCGGCCCCTCCACTTTGCGGTGCGTCCTGAGCGAGACGTCTCGAATGAGGCGCTCGAATCAAGTGCGGGACTTATCATCCATCCATCCATCCATCCATCCATCATCATCCTCATCATCCATCCATCAATCAATCAAATCAATCATCCGCATCATCATCATCGCAAGAAGTTGCAGGTTGCGAATGGGTTAATCGCAGTGGCGAGCGGTGGCGCACTGGCGCCGGCAGGTGGCGCTGTGCGGGGCGCGGGTTGGGTGGGGAGGCGGCTCCTCCTCCCGCCCTTTTCCTCCTCGGCGGCTCTGTTGCCTCGTCGGCGGCGCGGGAGGGGGAGCGGCGGCGGGAATGGGTGTCCGGCGGCTGTCAGCGGTGAGGGCGTCCGCCAGTGGATGAGAGAGGACATCCCCGAGAGCGGCGGCGGAGACACAGACCGACAGACAGACCCCCCCCACACCCCCCCCGGGGGGCAGCCGAGGCCATGAGCGGAGACGCGGGGATAGAGCCGGTGAGTGACTGTCCGAGACTCCCGCTCTCCCCCATCACTCCCCCCATCACTGACCCGAGCGGGAGGTCTGTGGGGGAGTGGTGGAGGGGGAGTGGTGGGGGTCAGTGATGGGGGTGTATGTGGGGGGAGATGGGGGTGTATGTGGGGGGTGTATGTGGGGGGGGATGGGGGTGTATGTGGGGGGATGGGGGGGGGGGATGGGGGTGTATGTGGGGGGGGGATGGGGGTGTATGTGGGGGGGGATGGGGGTGTATGTGGGGGGGGATGGGGGTGTATATGGGGGGGGGTGGGGGTGTATGTGGGGGGGGGGGGGGATGGGGGTGTATGTGGGGGTGTATGTGGGGGGGGGATGGGGGTGTATGTGTGGGGGTGTATGTGGGGGGGGGGGGTGTATGTGGGGGGGGGGATGGGGGTGTATGTGGGGGTGTATGTGGGGGGGGATGGGGGTGTATGTGGGGGTGTATGTGGGGGGGATGGAGATGATGTAGAAGTATCCTCAGACTGTGCAAAAATACGTAAATAAAATGTCTGTGTAAGACAACAGTTGCATCGTATCCCTCCGTGTACCTGGAATAGATATGTGAGTGTGTACCCCATCAGTCCCTCTCTCCCCCCACCCCTGCGCTTTCTCCCCCCCACCCCCCACACACCCCCCCACCCCCCTCGCTTTCTCCCCCCCACCACCCCCCACACACCCCCCCCCCCCTCGCTTTCTCCCCCCCCCCCACCCCCACACACCCCCACCCCCCTCGCTTTCTCCCCCCCACCACCCCCCACCACACCCCCCACCCCCCTCGCTTTCTCCCCCTCCACCCACCACCCCACACACCCCCCACCCCCTGTGCTTTCTCCCCTCCACCCACCACCCCACACACACCCCCCACCCCTGTGCTTTCTCCCCCTCCACCCACCACCCACACACACTCCCCACCCCCCGCGCTTTCTCCCCCTCCACCCACCCCACCCCCCACCCCATCCCCCCCCCCGCGCTCTCCCCATGTCCTTGCAAGTTTTTCTTCCTTCACAAATACCGATCCAATTCCCTTTTGAAACTCGTCATTGAATCTGTCCCCCACCCACCCTTTCAAGGCAGTGCATTCCAGACCGCAACCGCTCTCTGTTTATGTGTGTGTGTGTGTGTGTGTGAAACAAACAACCCAAAAAAATCCTCTTCATCTCCCCTCTCCGCCCAGAATGAGTTCTCCTTTTTTTTAATAGAAAAAATTAACTCAGTTACATCCTTTGTTGAAAGAAAGAGTTCCTGCCGATCCCTCGGGGATGTTTGTGGAGTCCTGTAGCTCAGTGGTTAGAGCACTCGCTTTGCGAGCGAGAGACCTGAGTTCAATCCCAGGCAGAGGGCGAAACCTTGGGCAAGTTTCCTTACTCCACACAGAGCCTAATAATAATCGCTCCAAAACCAAAAACAATAATAAATTGGTCATTTTCAATCCACGACTGTTTGTGGGACGTCGCTGTGCGCAATTGGCTGCCGCGTTCGCCCACAAATATACAGTCAATTCACTTTACAGTGTGTTCTGTGCAGCGCTTTGGGACGTCCTCCGCACGTGAAAAGCGCTATATCAAAGCAAGGATTATTATTATTATTATTATTTTGCCAATCCCTCGGGGATGTTTTGCCAGGCAGAATGCGCTGAAGCAAGAAGCATTATCGTGAGTGATATTTCTGCGTCGCTTTCCTCTCTTGTCGCTGCTCGAAGGGGCCGACTGAAGCCGGGACGTTGTTCCTGTACCTTTTCCCGGGTGTTAACTTCTCCCAAGTTGTCAACTTCTATTGGGTTGTTTGACTGCGGAGAACACCGCAACTGATTTGTCGTCACTGTTCACCTGCTTACAGGAGCAAAGTGTGTGTGTGGGACGGAAGGTGGGGGGGGGAGGTGGGGGGGGGAGGTGGGGTTGTATTTTGTGGTCGAAACGTTTACCCCGGTACTCGCCTACCTATCGTCCCCGCCCCACCATTGGGCTTTCTAGTGACCACTCTCCGGAACTCCACCCCAGAGTCACTTCCCTCGTTTCGTTCAAGGTCCATCCCAAGGCCGACCTCTTTGACTTGGCTTTCGGCCTCTTTCCCTTCGCCACGTACCCCCTCCCCCTCCCCCTCCCCCTTTGGCTCCCACCCCCAGCTCGGTCGGGTACCAAGACAGGAATGTTGAGCGTGATGTCCTCCTGATGTACATTTGCATTGCGTTGTACTCGTTGCGAGGGGAAGAGTGCGATCCTTTCTGCTGCTTTTTCAGGCCAGGAGCAGAGTTGTTTTGCGGTACAATGCTGAGACAATTACAGGGTGTGTGCTGGTCAGCATATCTCCCCCCAATTGTAAATTAGCATTCCCATGTGTAGCCTCGTGGTGAATGGTACTGCGGTTTCCTTATTATGAGCAATCCCCATGAATACATTACCGCATCGGTTAGATTTAACCTTTAAATGGATCCTTCGGTCTTGTCTCAACTGCTTTCAACCGAAGTTTCTGATAATGCCATTCGCAGGAAACGCCAGCACTCGGGCGTGTTATCGTGGCAGACGCCAAAAATGGAATTGTATACGTAAAACAAAAAATCATCTCGTAGATCTCTTCTGAATAATTTCCTGTTGTAACGGTTAGTGCAGTTGTTTGGCAAGCGAGAGGACCCAACACCTTAAGCAAGTTTCCTTACTCCATACGCCTCTTTTTTACATAGCGGTAAGCAGGAACCCAGTTGTTAGTCAATTGTGGTTGTGGTGGATCGCTTTCTGGGAGTAATAATCCTTCCCCCCAGAAAAATTGGTCACTCAATCCTCAACTGTTTGCGGGACACCGCCAGGTTTTGCGCACTGTCAATTCACTTTACAATATATTCTGCGAAGCGCTTTGAGATGCCTTAACGACGTGATAAGGCGCATAATCAAATGGAAGGATTGTTATTATTACTTCTTTGTAATTTTGGATTTACAGTCCTAATATTTCACTGGGTTTTTCCCCACCCACCCCTTTTATCCGAGGTTAACTTTTGCAGCCCTCCTGTTATCGCTCCCCTCCCAGCGAGTCAGTGATTTGCATCTCCTACGCTAACAATACACAGGAAATTTACCACCTGATAAAACATAGGCAGCAATGACGTTGACTTTGGCACTGATGTACAAAGGTCAGACCAACCCTTTGCATCCAGTTGGGTTTTCTCGCCATCACTCCCATTTTGAGGGGTGCAAAGGTCGCAGTTTATTGTTAACTTTCTGCACCGATGAGCGTAGAAAAGATCCGGTGAGAGAGTTAGGGAGACAGACAGCCTCTTAGGAACACTTGGAGATGACCATCTTTAGTTTTACACGCTACGCCCTCAAAATACACAGTCAATCCACTTTACGGTATATTCTGTGCGGCGCTTTGAGACGTCTCAACAATGTGATAAGACGCTATATCAAGCGCAAAGCCCTGTAGCTCAGTGGTTCGAGCGCTGGCTTTGCAAGCCTGAGACCTGGGGTCGATTCCCGGCAGGTCAGGGCGAAACCTTGGGCAAGTTTCCTTACTCCACACAGAGCCTAATAATAATCCCTCCAAAAAAACAAAACAATAATAAATTGGTCATTTTCAATCCGCGACTGTTTGTGGGACATTGCTGTGCGCAATCGGCCGCCGCGTTTCGCCCACAAACATACAGTCAATTCGCTTTACAGTCTGATCCGTGAAGCGCTTTGAGACGTCTCGAAGACGTGAAAAGCGCCGCATCAAATGCAAGGATCAGTATTTGTTATTACGATAGTCAACAGACTTCGGGCGGCCAACACTTTCGGACGCCGAACCAGACCAGTCTGTGCAGAAACAGTCATTGTGTTCACTAAATAAAGGTGGTTTGTTGCTTCCAGTCGTACTGCAACCACTTCCTGGATGACGGTTACAGGAGGACTGCCTCACTTCTCACTGCCGTAACGCACGTATGTCTTTGTACACCTTCCCAGCAGCAGTCAGACTGCCAAACAGCCCTCAACTCAGCCGCTGTTCCAATCAACGCCTTGTGCAGATTCTTCGACGCCCTCTATCTAACGAATCCCTCTACTTCTGAGCGGATTATTCCCAGCATTGGACAGCAAAATAAATTGGCGTTCCGGACATTTTTCCCCCTGAACTAACGAGGCCTGGGAGCGTAGGTTTAAGAAGCACAGAGAGGATTTTTCTCGTTTCCCGAAACAAAACCCGGGAGCGTTCACCTATTGCGGCTTACCGCAGTGTCATTTCTTTTTGGCTGTACCGGAGCGATTAAACGCCGGGGCTTCAGATAAAGAAGTAAATGTTCGTTCTTTTGGGGGGGGAGTTACCTTTGCGTCGTTAGATCCTGATGCTTCAAAAAAAATATACAGAAATAAGCTACGTGATAAGCCTGTGGAGAGGAAGTGCAGTTTATCAACAGAACGGTGGTTTCTGATCCATCCCCTACAGCTGTGACGTTCAAGTTCAGTCTGGAGTCAATATTCCACAATCTAATACTCCAAACAAACCTCTTTAATTGGGGTCACGCAGTGTTTTAACAGCTTCCCAAAGTGCACTGCGCTATCGTGACTAACGTGTCCCATTTCAGGGAAAGATTACAATAGGAATGCCAAGCGTCTGCCAAGTGCACTGCCCTGAAGGCTGCAGCCGCGGAATCGATTGGGGGATGTTTTAAAGGGAGAGAGAGCAATGAGCTGTTTCATATGAAGGGGGATAGAGGTGGGGAAGGTTAAGTATTGAAGGATATAGGGGAAAAGGGTGAGGAAATGGGATTAAAACATCTATCGTGAACTAATAAAATAGCAGGCTCGATGGCAGAACGGTCTGTTCCATTGGATCCCACCCAGACAGATTCATTCACTTTCCGTATTGGCAGATAAGAGATTTTGGACGTTCCTCGTCAATTGTGGAGCACTGTCAATTAAGGAGTGAGCTTTTGGCGGGGGTGGGGGGGCGGTGGGAAGCTGGTACTTGGACTGAGAGCAGCACTGGAAGGGTTAAATAATGTCAGGCGTCTACCTGGGGGCGGGATCCCAGCGTGGGCGACACAGAGAGGCCGACTGACACGAAGAGTTTGCCTTTGGTTTGCATCACGGACGCACGGCACAAACGTGCCCGGGGTTCATCGTCAGCAAAGCTCCGCGTCGGGATGCGGGCGATGAAAGTATGTGTTCGGCTTAAAAAAAAGATACGCGTTCCGCACTTTCAAACCGTTTTTCTCCCTAATTGCGGGTGATGCTGTTCGCGAGTTGCTTTTCTCTGTGTTCGGGTTCGGCACTTGTCAGGGACTTATAAAATGTCCCGGGGTGCTTTCTAATCACAACTTGCACGGCTAGCTGATGCACGCCACTGAAGCCAACGTCTCGGAGACCAGAATCGATTGGAGACGAAGCGAATGATAAACGCCGTCAAATGTGGCAGCTGATCTGCCCGAGCGCGAACAACAACGAGGGGAATTTGAAACGTGGAGCTAAGTCTCTCCCGGTGCGCTGACCGACAATTCCCTCCCTGATAAGGTCGGCCGTTCACGCTCAAGGCTGGTTTGCTGGTCGTCGCTGCGCGCAAATTGGCTGCTGCGTTCGCCCACACACGCCCACACACCACACACACACACACACACAGTCACCGCACTTTACTGCAAAGTCCTGTGAAGCGCTTTGTTTCGTGGTAAGGCGCGATATCAAACGCGAGGATTATTAATTGAATAGTAAAATGTGGAGGGTGAAGGGATTGTAAACTGGCAGAGAGACCCCACGGGTGGGTGGCTCGGTGTTTAAACTGGAACTTGACGGCAACCGTTTTGAAGTTAAAAACAGAAACCTGCGCTCTTGACGTGCGCTGAAAGGCGTTAGAATACAGAGCTCGTTACCATTCACCACACTAAAGCTGTAAGATACCATCGCTACAGCAACTTCAGTGTATATCTTTGTGTTTACTTCAGTACAGCTCTCCAACTCCAGCTCCCTTCTCCTCCCCCACGTCTCAACTGGTAGAGCCTTGTGTTTGATTCCTTGTGGCCAAGTGTTCTGGGACCTTCCCCTGCCCGAGGGCCGCTGTATAAATGCAAGTTGTTGTGGTTCCCTCCTTTGCCTGGAGTCGTTGATTGCTTTGACTCATTCCGCGGGAGAAGTCGGGGCGAATGGCTTTGTCATTGTCATCCGCCCTCTGGTGTGCTGTGCCCAAGTGAATGTTATTCATGTGTTGAAGCTTGGCAACGACGATCAGAAAAGCTGTAAGACCAGTCCTATCCTTTTCTGACGTCAGCCTCCGAGTGCAGGTTAAGTGTAGTGCCCGCACCACTGCCCTGGCAGAGATCAGCTCACTCAGCACTGATTAACCTCCCAATCTCTGCTCTGTGTGACCTAAAGCTGCTCTGTGTTGCGCGAACATAAATCTTCGCCTTCTGCTGTAAATTTCCCCAGGGACTAGGGAATGTCACACAACAACACCAGCTTGTATTTGCACAGCGCCCTTCACGTGGGGCAGAGTCTCAGCGGGCTAACGGTGGTGGAGCCTGACGCTGTGAGCCGGGGGTGGGAGGGGGGGGGGGTGGTTTAGGGGAGGAAGGGGGTGACCATAAGCACGATCGAAGAGGATGTTCTTCAGTCCTGATCTAAAAGAGGGGATGGAGGAGGCAAGGCGGTGGGATTGGGGGGAGAGAGAGTCCCAAAGCTTCAGGGCGTGTGCTGTCAAATTCACAGGGTGAAATATTTCCTTGTAAACAAATTTTTTTTTTTTAAGTTGCGTGAAGGACATCGAAACCATTAACCCTTCGGCCTGACTGGCTGCCACAGCACGTCAACAGCACGAACGCAAGAACCTCAGTACAATTAAATCTTTTTGCGTATTTAAAAGAGGGAGATTGTTGGCGGTAAACCAATGCTAGTGCCGTTCTTGTAGTTTTTGATGACGTCGCTCGCCCTTTGACTATGGCCCTGGGACGCTCCCTTCTGTCAACCTGTGGCTGCCGTGTTCACCCATAAAACGCACCGTCACTCCTTCATAATATATCCTGTGAACCACTTTGGAACTGGTGTGAAAGTTGTTGTATGGGACACAATGATTTGACACTTGATCCAGCACCACGGAATCCAGACTCCGCTTGCACTGCCCCACCCACTGCCCGGCAAACACAAAGAACAACACTAATCAGTGAGTTCAACCTGTTATTCTCTGCTCCCAATTGTTTGCATCAAGGACACAGTGTAGTCCAAAGCAGGAATGAGGGAGTGCCTCCTTTCAGGCATGACATTAAAACCGAGGTCTACGTGTGCAGTTGGATGTCAAAAAAACTTCCCACGAGATTATTGCCACAGAGAAAGGAGCTTCGCTCAGTGACGTGGGCAGGAATTGGTCGGATGGATTGATCGTCGATTTCGTGGCTGTGTCCAGGACTTTGCTGCAGATGATATGGCGACTGCATTTGCCTACAAACGTTGTCGTCGTATGTGATGGCAACTGCTGTCAAACCTTTTGAGGTTTGAGACCTTTTCGATGTTATCGTCGCTCTAAAAATGCAAGCTCTTCTGCAAGAGCGGTCTCAGCGGCTCAGCGTTTTTTTGGCTCAGGACAGATTTGCTATCAAAACTGTGTAACAGGGTGGAGGGGCCCTTTTGATCTCAGGCTCCCATTTAGCAGTGAAACCAAGAGGCAGGTTTTCACCCAAAGGGGAGTGGAAATCTGGAACTCTCTCTCTCTCCCCCAAAATGCTGGATCCATTCACATCTTCAACACTGAGGTGGATGGATATTAAGGGATACGGGGCAAAGGCAGGTAATTGGACTTGAGGTACAGATCAGCCATGATCTTATATAATGGCGGAATAGGCTTGAGGGGCGGAATGGCCTCCTCCTGTTTCTGTGTTTCCATGTTTCTTTTCCTAACCTTCGGCTTTGTGGCTGATTTCAGTGCGTTTCTGTACAAGGTAAAGCTCTGCCCAACGCAATCTCACCATTTCTCCTTTCTTTCACTTCCAGGCGACTGCCACCATCATTGAAGACTTTGAGAAGTTGAATCCTGCTGGAGATGGTACCTTCTTTATGCACTTATACAAGGCTCCGGCCTGCTCCACGCCCCCTGCCCGGCCTGCCCCATCCCACCATCGGCGGTCGGGCCTTCAGCCTCTCCGCCCTCACCCTTTGGAACTCCATGCCGCATTTCCTTCGCCTCCTTCTCTCCCTTGCCTCCTTCAAGGCGCATCTCAACTTCGACTGCGCCTTCGGCCGCCCTCCCTTATCCCAACCTCCCCCCGACCGCTTCGATCAAAATCCCTAACTGTCCAACGCCTTGGAACGTCCTCCAGACGTGAACGGCGCTGTGTGAATGCAATTTTGTATTGTATTTAAAACAAGCCCAATGCGGGGCAAGTTTGAGCAAGAGTTCTTAATAAGGAACCGGGAAGTGCTTCGCGGAGGCTCCTGCCCCAACGCAGTCTACTTTAGGCGCAGAGTTCCCATGGGTCAGTTTCCTTATTAAGAAATCCTGTTAGAAATCGTTGCATATTAGACCCTCATAGTTTGGAATCGTTGGAAATACAACACTTCGAGCACTGCATTAAGCAAGCTTAGGTTTCCCCCTCTCTCCCCCCCCCCAGAAAAAAAGGGAGAAGAGAGTTTCTCTCTCCTGATTGTCCTGGCCAACAACCCCCCAAATAAAATTGGTCCCTCACTCCTGTTTATGGGACATTGCTGTGTGCAAATTGGTTGGCGATGCAGTCAACTACACCACAGGAACTCTGCCCTAACTAACCGACTAAGTGATGGCACCATCCAGGGCTATTTCAATAGGTACATCAACGGATCTGTTTCACTGCTTTATATAGACGTGTTCTGGTTGTCACGAGGAGCTGCTCAGCATTCAGTCCGTTTGGTCTGTCACACTCTCAGCCTTGAGAGGTTTCTTTGCTTGCCAACAGAAGAGCAGCAGAAAACTCACTGCGATACTGATTGGATCCCTTTCTCTGCCTGCGCTTTATTTAATGATTTATAAAAAAAAAGTGGAGTTTCGAAGGGCGAGGGAGGGAGGGAGGGAGGGAGTGGGGGAGTGGTAGGGCACGGGGAGGTAAGAGGGAGTGAATGGATGGAAATTGGCAGAAGGAAAGGCACCTGCAATAAACATGCAATTATTACTCCTTTTTGTTTCCAACAGCAAATAGCAGCATTTGCAGTGCTTCTGACCCTCAGGACAACAACTTGCATTTATATAGCGCCCGTCACGCAGGATAGCGTCCCAGAGCGCCTAACAGTGGTGGAATCTGGCGCCGAGCCAGGGGGAAAGGGAGTGGGGGAGGTGACCGGAAGCACGATCATAAAGGAAGGTCTTTAGGCGGGATTTGAAGGGAGGGAGGGATTGAGGGAGAGAGTTCCAGAGTTTCGGGCCGTCGTAGCTGAAGGCACGACCACCGATGGCGGAGAGGGAGGGGGACGAGTGACAAACAGGAGGCCGGAGACAGAGGGTGATGGAGTGGGTGGGTAGTGGTGGGGGAGTGAGCAGATCGGAGTAGGTAGACAATCGGCAATTATTCATTATTAACTTTTACTGGAAGTTAATCAAATGAATATTAATTCATTTAATGTGGTTGGCGACGCGAGTTAGATAGGAGGTGGTCAGGATTAAACCCAGTTGTTCGTGTTGCACAGCCCTGATGACTGGTACCCTCTGACACCCCCCCCCTCTTTGTTGGATTTTCAGTGAACGATTCCAATGACTATGTCTACACCTGCTTTATGAAGTCGCACCGATGTTATGACCTTGTGCCCACCAGCTCCAAACTCGTGGTCTTCGATACGTCATTGCAGGTATATGTGACAGTGCCGTGTGTGTGTGTGGGGGGGGGTGGTTGATGGGGTGTGAATGGTGACTGATCCACAGCTGTTGCACTGTCCGTGCTGGCCACACAACAGCTGAGAATGTTCGTGCACCGTCCCGACTCCCATCACGGCTCTTGTCGGTCACGCTCTCACCTCTGGGTCAGAAGGTTCTGGGTTCCAGACCCACAGTGGGACTTGTGCTCCCAGTATAGGGTGATGACCCCAATGCTGTGCTCAATGGCCCGTCCAGTTTCGCCCGCAAAATATTACAATCAATTCACTTTACAGCATATCCTGCGAAGCGCTTTGAGACATCTCGAAGACGTGATAAGGCGCTGGGTCAAATGCAAGGACTATTATTATGATTATTATAAATAGAGCTGCCGCATTTACCTGTAAAAGGTCATTACACTTGCCGACACACGTGAAATGCTTTGAGATGTTTCGCCGTGATAAGATCCTGTAAAAGGTTTCACGGTTGAAGTTGCGTAGCAACAGTTTTCACGTCAGTTTTCCTGCCCTCTCAAAACACGACTGCTAATTAAGTGCGATATGAATCTCCCCAGCGAATGAATTGAGCTGGACCGTGCAACCTGATATTGTTCTGCCTCAGGAATTCTGTAATTACTCTCCTTGTCCCCCGCACTTCAGTGTTGAGGCCAGTCACATCGCTTATTAAAATCCCTGCCTCGCTGTGTAGGGGGCATGATTCAGAGTACTGTGTGTTTTGTTCCCAATGACTACCCGAATGTTGGAGGTATATTGAGAGAGGAGAGAGAGAGCGGGGAACTTACACCCCAGCAATTTCCGTAGGATTTGGAGTCAGTTCCTTCACGTTGAAAGATGGTTTCTGACATGTTCTAACCCACTGTGCTGCACCCTAAAATATCCACTCTGCCCCGCTCTCTGGAACCCCATCCCAGAGCCCCTCCAGTTGCCCCCCTTCCTTCAAAGCCTGCTTCATGATTTGCTCTTAATAGTATAATAATAATAATCCTTGCATTTGCTGTAGCAGCTTATCAGGTCTTTGAGACGTCTCAAAGCGCTTCACAGAATATATTGTAAAGTGTAGTGACTAATGGACGAAATGTGGCAGCCAATTGCCCACAGGAGTGTCCCCCCTAACAGTCATGGATTGAGTGACCAAATTATTATTATTAATTTTGAAGGGATTATTAATCCCGGAAAAAGCGATCTGCCAATCGACTTGCAACCAGGTTCCTACGTACTGCTAGGCAAACAGAGACGTATGGAGTAAGGAAAGTTGTCTTAACATTTCGCCCTGCCCGCCCGGGAATCAAACCCAGGTCCTCTCTCTTGCGAGGCGAGTGCTCTAACCACTGAGCTACAGGACTCCACAGGACATTGACCGTGCTTTTGGTTATCTTCCCCTCCCCAACCCCCCTCGGGCTTGGCTACTCAGTGTTAAGTTTTTTGAGATGTCCTCCTGACACGAAAGGCGTTGTATCAATGAACACCGTATTACTTAAACGTAGCCGTTGTCTGTACGTGAACCTGATCAGTGTTTTCCGTCTCCTTTCAGGTGAAGAAAGCTTTCTTTGCCCTGGTCTCGAATGGGGTCCGTGCTGCTCCACTCTGGGATAGTAAGACGCAGAGCTTTGTCGGTGAGTCCCGGTGATGTTTAATAGGCTTCGCATTATCCTGAGAATCACTGAAACAATACTAATAATAATCCTCGCATTCAATACAGTGGCTTTTCACGTCTTCGAGACGTCTCAAAGCGCTTCACAGAATACAACTGTAACGTGAATGGATAATTGCTTAGCGAAGGGCATTCAGGGGTATGGAGTGTAGGAAGGGAAATGGAATTAAAAGATATGCCATGATTCTGTTGTGTTATGCTCTGTTCTGTCCTGTTGCAGGCATGCTCACTATCACAGACTTCATCAACATTTTACACAGATATTACAAGTCGCCACTGGTAGGTCAAAAAACTGTGTGTGTGTGTGTGCGCGCGCGCGTGCGTGCGTGTGTGTGTGTGAATGTGAGTCTGTCTTTATGAGTGCCAGTTGTTTGGCCCGAAACACTGGAACACTCTTCCTCTATCCCTGAGCCTCGCCCCTTCCTTCCTTCCTTCCTTCCCCCTCTTCAGGTCGTGCCTGAAGACCTTCCTCTTCGACCATGCCTGTGGTCACCTCCCCCTCCCCTTTGGCTCGGATTCGTGCTCCGCTACGGTCGAGCCCTCTGGGATGCTGCTCTGCATGGAGCTGTGTGAATGCAAGTTGTTGTGGTTGTCTGGATGTCTATATACACAGGATATACAGTATATCCTGTGAAGCGCTTTGAGGTTGTGGATGTCTGTCTGGATGCACGCTGTATCACGTGCAACTTGTTAATGGGGAGCTAATGGTCACTACCAGGGTTTCTAAAAGCTGGGCCGCCATTGAGAAATGGAGAGATCAGTTTGCATCCTATTACTAACAATAATAATATTATTACATGAAAGGGCGGGTGGAAACGGATTCGAGAGCAACGTTCAAAAGGGAATTGGGTAGTTACTTGAAAAGGAAAAATTTGCAAGGGTGTGGGGAAAGAACAGGGGTGGGGGGGGGTGGTGAGGAGTGGAACCGATTAGTAGCTTTTTCAAAAAGGGCCATCTGAGGCACGATGGGCCGAATGGCCTCTTTCTGTGCTGTAATATTCTATGATTCTATAATAAAGCACTGAGCCTTGCAGAGGGAAAGGTTGGGGCGGGGGCCACAGGAGGAGTCTTGAGATTTGGGATGAAGGGAGTGAGGGTGGGACATTCCAAAATCTGGGAGAAGGAATAGGTTTAAGAATGCACTTGGGGTTCCAGCTGATTTCTAACGTCTTCCCCTTCACACAGGTTCAGATCTACGAGCTGGAGGAACACAAGATTGAGACGTGGAGAGGTGAATGGGGGCTTTGGAGAGGAAGGATTGGAACGGGGAGGATAGGGGAGCGGAGGGGATATGGGGTTGAGGAGGGGAGGGGAGAGGAGAGGATATGCAGTTCTGTTTGGACTGCACTTCCAACTGCTCAGTCGAATTCACCAAAGGGTTCCCAGGTTTGCCATTTCAAGGCATTTAGTCATGAACGAACACAGGCTTTAAAAAGGGGCATTAGTGTTGAGACTTCCACTGAAGTGTTTTTTTTTCCCCCCAGTTATTCAACGGCCAAACATTTCATTTCTTAAACATAGAAACAGGAGGAGGCCTTCAGATCCTCAAGCCTGTTTCGCCATTCTATAAGATCATGGCTGATCATGTGCCTCAAGTCCAGTTACCCGCCCTTGCCCTGTATCGTGGAGTCCTGTAGCTCAGTGGTTAGAGCGCTCGCCTCGCAAGCGAGAGACCTGGGATCGATTCCCGGCAGGGCAAAACCTTGGGCAAGTTTCCTTACTCCACGCGCCTGATAATAATCCCTCAAGAGAAAAAAGCGATAGTAAAAATTGGTCACTTCAATCCACGACTGTTTGTGGGGATGCTGCTGTACGCAATTGGCTGCCGCATTTCGCCCACAAAATATACAGTATATCCTGTGAAGCGCTTTGAGGCGTCTCAATGCAGGGCTTGTTATTTTAGGGATATTATCCCTTAATACCTGTCCACCTCAGTCTTGAAAATGTGAATGGATCCAGCATCCACTGCTTTTTGGGGAGAGAGTTCCAGACTTCCACTACCCTTTTGGGTGAAAAACTGCCTCCTGATTTCACTCCTAAATGGCCTGGCTCTAACTTTAAAGATTATGAGCTGTTTGCTTTAGTCCCAGTCAATGTTCAGGCTGTGTGGAATTAATCAGTCACCGTCGAAATCAGTGGGGTATTTTATGCGACGATAATCTGAGAATGGACCACTTTTAATCTGTCGTTTTCCTTCCTCCTGCCCTGTTGTCAGAGGTGTATTTGCAGGATTCATTCAAGCCTTTGGTGAGCATCTCTCCCAACGCCAGGTAAGCAAAACCTCTGATCTCGACAGAGCTGTGCGTGTGAGAGCGAGAGAGAGAAAGATTTGCTGCCGACAATCCCATGTGATTAATATGCTCATTGTTCGTCTGAATTACTGCAATCATTCTTTACTCCTTCAGTCTGAGCAGTCTGAATAATCAACCGAGTATTTCACAAAGTGGTGGTTGAATCTGATTGTGTTGTTGCATGTTTAAGAGGAAGTTAGATCTTCACATGAGAGAGAGAGAGAGAGAGAGAAGGGTGGCGGGGGAAAGAAGAGTGTGATCACGAGAGAAGTTAGGGTGAAGAATGCAGTGCACTCAGATGAAACATTGCACCGTCTGTCAGATATATGAGTCCTCCTGCGTCCTGTCTTCCTGCTTCCCCATTCCTGTCATTCATCACACTCTGTGCAAAGAAATGTTCCCTGGTGTCTATCCTCAAATTGCCCTTCACCACCTCCTGCCCTGCTGCTCTGGCGAATCTGAAAGTATTAAATAGTTTACGGCTGCGCAAATGCTGGCTCCGGCCTCCTGCTTGTCCCTCGGCTCGCCACTCCACGATCAGCGGCCTTGCTTTCAGCCACTAAACTCTGGAACTCTCTCCCTCGATCCCCCTCCGCCTTGCCCCCTCCTTCCCCTTTTTCGGATCACGCCAGAAGACCTTCCTCTTCGACAGTGGTTACGGTCAACTCCTCCCCCCCTCCCCGCCCCCCCCCCCTCCCCGCCTCCGTCAAGCGCTCTGAGATGCTGCCCCACGTGAAGGGCACTATGTAAGTGAAGATTGTTGTGCAAAAGGCGCTGTCTCACTGCTCTCCGTCTCGCTGCAGTTTGTATGATGCAGTTACATCGCTGATAAAGAATAAGATTCATCGGCTTCCAGTCGTTGATCCGTTGACGGGAAACACACTCTACATCCTCACACACAAGCGGATCCTGAAGTTTCTCAAGCTCTTTGTAAGTAGCAGCGAAGTGATCGGAGGACATGTGAATCGATTTCCACCCAATTTTTTCCACCAAATGCAATGGTTAAAACCATATCGCTGGCTCCGCTCGACTGGCTCCAGCCTCCCACCCTCTGCCCCACCATCACCGGCCGTGCTTTCAGCCACTTTCAGCCGAAGCTATGGAACTTTCTCCCTCAATCCCTTCACCACGCACCCCCCCCCCCCACCTCTCTCCCTATTTTCAGGCGTGCTTGAAGATCTTCCTCTTCGACCTACGGTGCCTTCGGTCACCTCCCCCCTTCTCCCTGGCTTGGCATCGGGCTCCTCCTCTGGAACTTTAGCTGTGAACGGAGTTTATCGGTCTTGTTTAGGAGTTACAGTTGAGCCGCCTCAGTGGTGGCAACAACAACAAGGAATTACATTTGACCTTGATTGTTTGCCCATCAGAATCGCACGCAAACCGTTTACCCTTGACAGAGCTGAGCTGCAATCCCATCTGAGACTGAGAATGTGAGACCCTCATTGCTGCAATCCCTGAATAAAGTGAGGGAGTCCTATAGTAGGTCAGCCCGCTCGCCTCGCAAGCGAGAGGATCCGGGTTCGATTTCTGGGCAAGGGCAAAAACCTTGTGCAAGTTTTCTTACTCCATGTGCCTGACGGATTGTTGGCTCTTTATTTACTCTGGCAAAGTGTTGACTGACATTATGTTAAAACTGTCACCGTGTTTCCTTTAGATTTACTTTCTCCCTTCCAGATCTCTGAGATGCCGAAGCCCAATTTCATGAGTAAATCTCTGGAGGAGTTGAACATCGGGACGTATAAGAACATTGCGGTGGTGAAGAAGAACACTCCTATCTACGTGGCCTTGGGGATCTTCGTGGAGAAGAGGGTGTCTGCGTTACCTGTGGTGGATGAATCGGGTACAGTTCACTTCCAAGCGTTATCTATCTTGTGTCCCACCACATTGCTGTCCCATGAAATAATAATAATAATCCTTGCATTTGACACAGCGCCTTATCGAGACGGCTCAAAGCACTTCTCAGGATACACTGTAAAGTGAATTGACCGTGTATTTTGTGGGCAAAACATGGCAACCAATTGGACACAGAAGCATCCCCACAAACAGCCGTGGATTGAATGACCAATTTTATTATTTTTTGAAGGGATTATTACCCCCAGAAAAGCGATCCGCCAATCGACTAACAACCGGGTTCCGACTTACCGCTGGGTAAACGGAAGTGTGCGTGTGTGTGTGGAGTAAGGAAACCTGCCCAACGTTTCGCCCTGCCCGCCCAGGAATCGAACCCAGGTCCTCTCGCTTGCGAGGCGAGAGGGCTCTAACCACTGAGTCAACCGACTCCGCAAATCTGCACCAATTGACCTGCTCCTGAGCCACTGCCAATGACATCTCTAAATTCTTAGGAACTGAGCAACCAGGCGGTGTGGCATGACTTGTTCTCGGGCTTTCTTCCTTTCCCCAGCGAAAATGAAACGTAGCTTCATCTGAATGTTTTATTGGGGTTTTGCTCTAATTGTGCCCGTTTCCCCTTCTCGCAGGGCATGTGGGTGACATTTACTCCAAGTTTGACGTCATTGTAAGTACTTTGCAAACCAGAGAGAATATATATATATATGTGTATATTTTATTTAAAAAAAAACTGACTTCCAAAAATAATAATAATACTCAGGTTTCATATAGCGCCTTTCACATCGAGAGTGAGCCTCAAAGCGCTTCACAGGATATACTGTAAAGTGTAGTGACTGTATACACTTGCAGCCAACTCGTACACCTCAATGTCCCACACACAGTTGTGCAAACGATCAGTTTTATAATAATAATATTCTTCGCATTTGAAACGGCGCCTTATCACGCCCTCGAGACGTCTCAAAGCACTTCCCAGAATATACGGTAAAGCGTAGTGACTGGTGTGTTTTTGTGGGCGAAACGCGGCAGCCAGTTGCGCACAGCAGCATCCCCACAAACAGTCGTGGATTGAGTGACCCCATTATTATTTTTTTAATGGAGGGATTATTACACCCCCCCCCTCCCCCACCCACCTCCCTCCCCAGAAAAATGACTGGAGGGAGGGGAGAAACCTTTCTCTTTTCGAATAGCACTATGAGATCTCGAAACAGCCACCGGTACAGGCAGATGGGACGTGGTTTGTTAATGGCTGATCTGAACTGGAAGCACTTCATTGGAGTGTCAGCCTGGACTCTTTGAGTCCAGGAGAAAGCCACGTGACCTACGTCCTCTGCTCCCTGCCTTATTTATCACCTTTGTCTTATCAATCCCAGCTCTCTCCTCACGTCCCTTATTTTATTTGAAGTGCCTGGATTCTTAACCAGTTGCCTTTTGACTGATCGTTAATTAACGTGCGGTAGTGTCGCTTGTGAAATCCACACTCGGATCAGCCCTGTGCGCTGCGTCGCTGGGAGAATGCCCCTCGTGGCTGATCCCTCAACCAAAGTACTCCTCGTTTTATCGCTTAACCTTTGGTCGGAGGTGTCGGTGGACTGAGCCGTGCTGGCCGTCTCTCATCAAACCCTTGTGTTGCAGAACCTGGCTGCGGAGAAGACGTACAACAACCTGGATATCACTGTGACCAAAGCGTTACAGCATCGCTCGCAGTACTTTGAAGGCGTCCTCAAATGTTACAAACACGAGACCCTCGAGACCATCATCAACCGACTAGTGGAGGCCGAGGTAGGGGATTCCTCTCCGGGATGCTACCCAGCACGAGGGGCGCTATGCCAGTTGCTTAGCCCGCAACCCGCTCGCTGCCTCCGCCCGACTGGTTCCCTCCAGCCTTCTGTACGTTCCCCCGCTCCATCGTTGCCAGCTGCTGCGCTTTCAGCCATTACGCCCCCGAAACCGTGGAACGCTCTTCCTCTATCCCTCCGCCTTCCCCCTTCCTTCTCCATCTTTAGGTCAGGCCTGAGAGACCTTCCTAATCGACCTGTGCTTTGGTCACTTCCCCGTTTTTGTTTTTACGCCGAGCCGGGGGAAAAGAGGGAAGTTGACCGTAAGCGCGGTTGAAGAAGAGGACGGTCTTAGTAATAATAATAGTAATAACAATACTTGCATTTGACACAGCGCCTCATCACATCGTTGGGACATCTCAAACTTGTCTCAGACTTTGCTCGACCAGCGTCAGCCTTTGTAGCAGCCTCGCAGAGTGGAGTGCAAGGGAGGAGCCTGAGCTAGCAATAGCCACACTCAGCTGTGTCATTTAGGAAGGAAGTTGGTGGGTGTGGTGGCGTGGCGGATGAGTTCTTTCATTGTAAATACATGCTGCTGGCCTGACAGAGAAAATGGGTGCAGCCGGGAGTCTTATTCTAGAGAATTGTACACACTGGGCTGTGGGTTAACAATATTAATCCTTGCATTTGATACGGCGCCTTATCACGTCTTCGAGACGTCTCAAAAGGGCTTCACGGAATATGCCGCAAGAGCGAATTGACTGTATGTTTTGCGGGCGAAATGCGTCCCCACAAACAGTCTCACACACACACACACGCACGAGAGGTTTGGACGACACTTTGACCTATTTGATGCCATTCTTGCACAGTCTCTGCACTTTGCAGTGTGTTTTTTTGGGGGGCGTTTTGCCAAAGTACACGGTCAATTCACTTTACAGTATATTCTGTGAAGCGCTTTGAGACGTCTCAACGACGCGATAAGGCGCTGTATCAAATGCAAGGATTATTATTGCTATTAATATTATTATTAAGAACCTGCCATTTTCTTGCCACAGCATCAAGTTATATCTTAAGCGAGTTCAGTGACCTGGTAATCGGTTACCCTGTGAATAAAGAAATAGTTTACAGTGCCCTCGTTCCCTGCTGTCTTGTGACTGTCTCTGCCCCATCCTTGAAGCATGCGTTCATCTGTACATAATATGAAATGAATTCCTGACCTTTTCCCTTCGGTTCATGGCCGATTCTGCGCCAGATTTCCTTTACGCTCATAAGGGATTACAAGTAATAACAGGCCTGTACAGGCCTCGTTGATCTGAACTATGAAAGCAGAAATTCCTACGTCAGATATCACCACAGGCCTCAGATGGAGCTAAGCCACCAAAAGCGCTTAAGAAATAAAATGCCCGTTTATAACCTTGGCTGTTTGTGGGATGATGCTGTGCAAAAACTAGGCTGTTGTGTCCGTTTGCCTACAAATACATAGTCCGCGCACTTCACTGAAAAATCGGTGACGTGATAAGGCGCTTTATCAATTGCAAGGATTATTATTGTTATTTATAATAAAAATAATAATCCTGGCATTTGATACAGCGCCTTACGACGTCGTCGAGACCTCTTAAAGCGCTTCATAGGATATGTTGTAAAGTGTAATGACTGTATTTTGTGGCCGAAACATGGCAGCCAATTGCTTTGAGGCAGCTCGACTACACGATAAGGTGGCTCTGTCTAATGCAAGGGTTATTGTTGTTATGATTATTACCCTCGTCTCTGAATTGGGGGTCGGTTTACTGTCTTTCCCACAGGCTCAAAGAGTTCTTTTCAGCAGAATATCGAGTGATGTTCTCCCCTCGGCCGGCTCCAACCTCCTGTCCTTCCCTCACCCCCCCACCACCTCCTCCCTCCGCTCCACCATCGGTGGCCGTTCCTTCAGCCACTACGCCCCGAAACTCTGGAACTCTCTGGCTCGATCTCTCTGCCTCGCCCTCTCCCTCTCCACCACTGCTACCCCACGTGAAGGGCATTATATAAATGCAAGTTGTTGTTGTTGCTTGGGCGGCCAATAGCAGAGCCTTCGCTGATGATCAGACTTGTCTGTATCTCTCTCTTATTTTAGGTCCATCGATTGGTGGTGGTCGACGACAGAGATGTGGTCAAGGGGATTGTGTCGCTGTCTGATATACTGCAGGCTCTGGTCCTAACTGGGGGAGGTACGTAGAGAGCCATCTAATGGCATCAGCTGAGCACATCTCCATGTTGCGCAGGGTATGGGATCGCCTTTCAGTTTAATACCTTTTGCTATCGATGGCCAAGCTATGTGTGGTTTTCGCTGGTTAGACTCCAGCAGTCACCCCCAACGCACACTCTGGGCTCCCCCCCCCCCAACCCTCAACACCCCCAAGCCTTAGCTCTCGCCAATCTGCGCCTATTACTCTCCGGAATTAGTTTCAAGGAGGAGGCGTCCCTCCAGGGAGGGAGAGAGCGAGAGAGAGAGAGAGCGCATTCCATTCCAATAAATGTCTCAGGAATTTCTGTGTAGAGGTGGGATGCATGGAATTCTATGATTCAAGGCACGTCTCAAGACCCTCCTTTTCGACAGCGCCTTTGGCCATCCTCCTACCCTCCCATCCTCCTTGCCCTCCACCCTCTCTTATCCCAACCCCCCTTCCCCCCCCCCACACTCACCCCACCCCCCCACTGCTCAAGTCCAAATCTCTGACTGTCCAGCGCCTTGGGACGTCCTCTCGATATGAAAGGCGCTGTGCAAATGTCATTTGGTATTGTTTGTGCAGTCCGGCTGTTTGGACGTAAAACTCCCCCTCACTCTCTCTCTCGCTCTCACAGGTGACGCGTCGTCGAAGTTCACGCAGTGAGCGGCACTTTTTTTGCACGTAAACTGTTAACGTCTCGAGCCGAACGTAGAGAGAGAGAGAGAGAGCCCTCATCAGGCAAGCGATCGAACACACAAAGACAGACAGACGTGCATCCTTGGTGACACCAACACAGACCCAGCATGTGGAGAAGAGAGGAGAGGAGGGAGAAGAGGAGAGAGAGAGAGAGAGAGGGAGAGGAGAGAGGAGCTTCTACTGCCGTTGTCACCGCACAGTTTCATTTGAGTTCGACCTTTTCGAAACATTTCTGCGTGCTTATTCACACGCACACGCACACACGCGCGCTCAAAGCCATTGCTTTTTGGTCAGTGTCCACTGAGAACCAACTGCAGGTCAGTCAAAAGGAACTGAGTGTGTGTGTGTTTTTTTTAATATAATTATTCCTTCTTACCTCAGGTAGGTAGCTTTGAAGTATATAACACGATTGATGGTTTCATTCCCCGAACGTAATTTCTCTCTCTCTATATATATACATATATATATATATAAAAAAGTTTTTGTTTGTTTGTTTAGAGAGTCTGTCCTCTACTGAAATAAGTTATGATGTCATCTGATTTTCGCAATGATTAGTTGGGTACCGAGAAACATAATGATTAAGGTCTATATCTTAGGGTCCCGGCTGATCGACCACACAATGTAGTTAAACGAGCGCAGAATGAAACGGAACTCACACACGTCCACCTGTAACGGTCACCCTTGAGAAATCGGAACGATTCCATTCTTTTTTAAACGTATGTAAATATATATATGTGTATATATATATATAATCGCAAAAAACATAAACGGTTTTTTGTTTGGGGTTGGGGAGGGCGGTGTGGGAGTGTTGCTTGTGAACTCGTTTCGTGTCATGCAGTAAGAATTCGATGCCAAAAAAAAAAAAAAAAACCCAAAAGAGCAGCTGTTTCGATCAGCCGAATTGCATTGCGTCGATCCATTTTCCATTCGATTCCTGGGCGAAACCTCCTTCCGGGGCTTGGAATGTGCATTCATCCGTCTTTCCAACTCCACAGAGGTGCAGCGGTAACTTTTCCCAGATTATTGACTCCACACGTGTAATGGATTTACCCCGGCCCTTGATCCGAATCGCTGGAATTATTTCATCTATTAAAGCTGATTGCCATTTGATCCCAGTATTCCCGTCGCTGGTCTCATTTCGAAGCTGTTCCTGACATGTTTTTCTGGCGATAGTAACATTATTTGGAGTCGGGGTCCTGCAGCATATGTGGAGTTCCGTAGCGGATTGATTAGAGCACTCGTCTTGCGAGCGAGAGGACCAAGGTTCAGTTCCCGGGTGGGTCAGGGCGAAACCTTAGGCAAGTTTCCTTACTCCACATACGCGCCTCTGTTTACCCAACAACAACAACAACAAGATTACATTTATAGAGCGCCTTTCATGTCGGGAGGACGTCCCAAGGCGCTGGGACGCAGTAAGTAGGAACCCGGTGTTAGTCGATTGGTGGATCACTTTCTCAGGGGTAATAATCCCTTTAAAAACAAAGAAATAATAATAATTTGAGCACTCAGTCCACGACTGCTGTTTGTGGGACACTGCTGTGCACAATTGGCTACCAGTCGCTCTTCCCACTCAGTTCCAGTTAGTCCTGTGAGCCAAAGTCCTAATGGGTAGGGCTTTCCCAGCTGGAGGAGCAATGGGAAGCTCACCAGACAGCGCTCTCGATGGCAAGTACACAGGTTTATTTGGTTAATGTCCAGCAAGTTAACTCACACTGGGGGTCCCAAACCTTGGCACTTTACAGTATATCCTGTGAAGCGCTTTGAGACACCTCAAAGACGTGATAAGGTTCTTTACCAAACGCCAGGATTATTATTATCTACAATCCTCCCCAGAAGACGGTGGGTGAGGGTGAGTCCACGATTCACTTGATCAGCCAGATGACCTTCATTTCTCCTTCCGCTCATCCTCGAAAACGATCTGAATTGTTTGAGTCAATTTACTGACACGGGTTCAACAGGGTAAGCAGGATGAGCTTGCTGCACTTATGAAACGCTTTCCAAGTTGGATGACGGGTCGGGGACGGTGAAGGAGGAAGAAAGGGTGACGAAAAGCGCGGTAGGTATTTTGGGGAAGGTTTTGAAGACAGCGAAGGCGGGTCCAGAGGGAGTGGAGAGAGAGTGTGTGTGTGTGTGCGAATTGCAGACTGTCAATGAGAACCATCCTGTAGCTCAGTGGTTAGAGCACTCGCTTTGCAGTGAGAGACCTGAGTTCAATTCCAGGCAGAGGGCGAAACCTCGGGCAAGTTTCCTTACTCCACACAGAGCCTAATAATAATCCTCCAAAGCCAAAAACAATAATAAATTGGTCATTTTCAATCTACGACTGTTTGTGGGACATTGCTGTGCGCAATTGGCCGCCGCGTTCGCCCACAAATATACAGTCAATTCACTTTACAGTGTGTTCTGTGAAGCGCTTTGGGACGTCCTCCCGACGTGAAAAGCGCTATATCAAATGCAAGGATTATTATTATTATTATCTTGTCCTTCTCTGGTTGGGAGCCAATACAATGCCACCTCTCTCACGCCATTCGAGGAATAGCCGACTGGTGAGCATCTGGGGGAGATGGGCTTAGAGTGTGTTATGGATAGATATTTGTTAGGTCAGAGAATCGAGGGATACCGGGCAAGGGCGGGTAATTGAGGTACAGATCAGCCACGATCTTATAGAATGGTGGAACAGGCTCGAGGGACTGAATGGCCTCCTCCTGTTCCTATGTTTCTATCCCGTTACCTGGTTCCAGGTTACTTCAGCTCCTGTTCTGGGGGCCGGGGCGGGGGGGAGTCAGGGAAGGGTTTGTATGCGAGCTCAAGAGTAGATTAGTTAGTCAATTGGTGGATCACTTTACGGGGAGTAATAATCCTTTCAAAAATGAATGCATTCGATCCACGACTGTTTGCGCGAAACTGCTGCGCGCAATTGTCTTGTCAACTTCACAGTATATTCTGGGAAGCGCTTTTGAGACCTTTCAATGACGTATAACAACAACTTGGGATTTATATTTGCAGTTAAGCGCAGGCTTTAGAGCCCGAGCGCTCGTGCGGGTCTCGAATTTACAGTCGTGTTCTTTTTTGCTCAGCCGGGTGGGTGTCCGACACCCGTGGAAACCCATCACCTTTGCTTAAAGAGTGTCAAAACCAAACTGAGACTCCACGTGGAAATTCCAGATATGGATTGTTGGAATGGAATTGTTGGGAGTCCCCGCTTACATAATTCCGGAGAGTATTAGGCGCAGGTTGGCGAGAGCCAAGGCTTGGGAGACCCCGGAGTGTACGTCGGGGATAACTGCTGGAGTCTAACCAGCTAAAACCACACGCCGCTTGCCCGTCGATATCGCCGCCTGGCGAGCTTTCTCGCTGCCTGTCCAGCTCGGACCACCCTCACCGTTAGGGCTTGGGCTCGCGGGGTTAATAACAGGAGCTGCCGACAGGAGCAGCAGATTGTGACCGCACAACACCCGTTTAACAACGGGGATTAAATCATTCCAATCATTCCTCTGAAGCCCCAAGGTCTTTGCGAGGCCTGAATTTAAAAAGTCTTGGCACCTGTAGAAATCGCCGCACTCCAGTTTGTTTCAAGCTCCCGTCTGTCAAAGTCAAATTCTTGGGTCTTGCCCAAAAAAACTTTGATTAGATCAGTGCGATCCCGCACTATTTAAAAACCGAGTGACTAAGAGTTATTGTGAAAATAATCCTCGCCCCTTCCCCCCCCCCGCTCCCCCCTTTCCTACGGATTGTCTGCTCGGTTTGTGCTGAGTTGGTGTCCAATTGTGTCTCTAAATCCCGAGCGAGACTGGGTTGGATGTTTTCAACGTTCTGCGAGGCAAATGAAAATGGTCTGTCAATTACATCATCCATGTTCTCTCGGGAGAGATTAACAGTGGCGGAGTCTGACACCGAGCCGGGCAGGGGTACCGTAACCCCTGTCGAAGATCTAAAAGAGGTGGGGGGGTGGGGGGAGAAAAAAATAATAATAATTTGGTCACTTCAACCCACGATGTTTGTGGGGACGCTGCGGTTGTGCTTTCGTGCTGCCGTGTTTCGCTCCACAAGATATTCACATGACAGTGTATCCCTTGAAGCGCTTTGAGACGTCCCGAAGACGTGATAAGGCGCTGTGTCAAATGCGAGGATTATTATTATTATTATTATTAAAGAGGGGACAAAGCGGAGGGATTGATGGAGAGTTCCAAAGCTTTGCCCACAATCAGCCATGCGCTGAAACATCAATTTATCCGGAGGAGTGTTGGCCAGGACACCAGGAACAACTCCCTTTCTCTTTTTGGACCAGTGTCGTAGGATGTTGGCTGTGCCCTCGAACAGCCCTATTGGGATCTCACGCTGACACCTCATCCGTAGGACAGGACACAACCAACAAGGCGTAGAAACGCAGAAACAGGAGGAGGCCATTCAGGCCCTCGAGCCTGTTCCGCAATTCTATAAGATCTACATGATCTGTACCTCAAGTCCAATTACCCCCCCACCACCCCTCCCCCCCCCCCGTCGCTCTCCCACCCCCCACTCCCAAATCACTTCATCCTTCGCACCCCCCTACCTCTCCGATCTGCTCACTCTACCACCCGCTGCCTCCTCTCCTCTGCCTCCGTCCTCCTGTTTGTCACGTGTTTCCCCCTCCGCTCCACCATCGGCGGCCGTGCCTACGCCCCAAAACTCTTGTCACTCTGTCCCTCAATCCCTCCGCCTCGGCCCCTTCCCTCCCTCCCTCCCCACCCTCAAATCCAGCCCTTAAAAAGACCTTTCTATTTGATCGGGCTTACGATCACCTTCCCCACCCACCCCCGCCCCCCCGCTCCGGCTCGGGGTCAGACTCCGCCACCGTCCAGCCCTCCGGGAACGCTATCCCCCCCCCACGTGAAGGGCATTGTGCTTAGCGACTGAGTTTGAGGCAGAGAGAGAGAGAGAGAGTGTAAAGTAGGTTCATCTCTGACCAAATAACCGCTATCAACACAGCCCAGCAATGTGCTGATATCAGCACTGCCGTCCCCGCTCTGCGCTTCATTACTTCCACATGAGGAGGGAGGGTTATCTGTGCAGAATCGGGTGGGAGTGTTTGTCCTGTCGAGTGCTTTTGACGCTAATCTGTGTCGTTTTGTAATTATGAAAGCGTAGCGTTAAGCAGCAAATGACCAGGGTGGTCCTGTCGCGTACGGGGGGAGGTGAATTCCTCGGTGGAGGCAAAAGGCAGAGACTTTTATCGGGGTGGGGGTGGGGGGGGGGGCAGGGGGGGTGTGTGTGTGGAAAATAACCCGTTTCTTTTAGAACCACCGACAAATTCACCGGCTGTAAACCTCAGCCTCACAGCGAGGAGGGAAAGGGACGTCCTGGAAATATCTGGAATCTCTACATCGAGCAGTGTCGGTGAGCACAGAACTTAAACAAATAGACTCTCTCTCTCTTTCTCTCTTTTTCTAACAGTTTCTTTCTAAGAGTTTCCGCCCCCCCCTTTAGGAAATTTGCGGAGCGGAAAAAAGCGACGACAAAAGTTTATTGGCTCCAGAGCAAACATTGGTACTGAGTACTTTCTACTGTATAATGTACCCGTTCCACTCAACAACTGTTTGAGTTTACGATTGTTTTTTTTTAAGCCTTGTATTTGACGCAGCGCCTTATCACGTCCCGCAGACGCCTCACAGCGCTTCACGGAATATACTGCAAAGTGTAGTGACTGTATGATTTGTGGGCGAAACGCGGCAGCCAATTGCGCACAGCAGCGTCCCCATAAGCAGTCGTGGATTGAGTGACCAAATTATTATTTTTTTTGAAGGGATTATTACCCCCCGGAAATGCGATCCGCCCATCGACCAACAACTGGGTTCGTACTCACTGCTGGGTAAACAGAGACGTGTGGAGTAAGGAAACTTTCCCAACGTTTCACCCTGGAGGGAATCAAATCCAGGTCCTCTCGCTTACGAGGCGAGGCGAGCGCTCTAACCACTGAGCTACAGGACTCGTGGTCACTCCCAAAATCTTCTTGAGGAAACTTGGGCTATAAAAATCCAACCTTTCTTCAATCAAACCTCAATCGAACATTGGCCCAACTTGAGCGAAGATAGAAAAGAAGATCAGGTTGGGAAAGGGGAGGAAAGAGGTTGTGTTCTTTCACCATAAAGAGGGTTGAACTCTGTCTCTTCATATAATCAATGAGGATTAAGCTGCATATGTACGGAGCTAAGGGGTAGGGAGGATAGTCGGTGGGGAAGAAACTGTCCCACCTCGGGGTGGACCGAATGTGTGCATTTATGTGAAGCACAGCACAAATGACCCCTTTCTCTCTGTGTGTGTGTGTGTCGGCCCGGCTTAGTTATTAGCCCTCTCGCCTCCGAGTCAGACGTTCCTGGTTTCAAGCTCCACATTGCAGTCACTCCACTTGACAGTATATTCCGCGAGGCTCTTTGCGGTGTCCCAAAGACGTGCTAAAAGGCGCTATATCAAACGCAAGAATTATCATTATAATTTCTCGATGGCTGCCTGTGGGAGGGACATTGTTGTGTGCAAATTGGCCTTCAAAACGCACAGTCACCACAGCTGATCGTAAAGTGCTTTTTAACGATGTGATAAGGCTCCGTGTTGAATGTTTTGAAGGATTATTATTATTTTCTTTTCACGCATTTTTTCTCCTTCCCTTCCTTTTGAAGAAGCAAATTAAAAGAAGGAAAAATGGACTCTGGATACTGGAATTACGGAAATTATGGATCTCTGGATAGATATGGAACCGTACCTGGGAGATCAACGTGAGAACCGCTTTAACCTCTGTGTCAGTCTTGTGCAGAAAAAAAAAATTCAGGATATTTTCTCTGGTGGTCGGGTCTACAGTTAGAGAACTGATTTAAACAATAAACAGAGGGTAAAATACTGCAGATGCTGGAAAGCTGAAATAAAAACAGAAGTCGCTGGGAACACTCAGCGGGTCAGGCAGCAAATGTGGAGAGAGGAAAGTGAGTTAACGTTTCAGTATCTCGACGAAAGATTGGTCAGAGTCCCATCCTTTGGGTGAGATATTAAGCTGAGATGCTGTGAAGTCGACCTTATAACATTGCTGGCAAAGACGAGGGAGTTTCTCCCTGTATTCTGGCCGACCGTCTTCTAAATGAATCACTTATACACCACCTGGCTGTTTGTAGGACCTTGGCTGTGTGCAAAATAGATGAGCATTCGTTGACAAAAACTAGTGACACTTGACAATAATTACTGTAATTATTATAAATCTATCTTTGGTGAATAAAGTGCTCTAAAAATCCAATTACATCCTTTCCTTCTTTCGTTCTCTCTCTCTTTCTCTGTCTCTTTCTCTCTCTCTCTCTCTCTGTTTGTTCAATTTCCTTTCGTGCTCACGCAGATATTTGAGGAAATCCTTTGCCCCGCATCGATCCTCGCTGAGGGGTGAGAGAGAGATGTTCTCGAAGAGACCAGGCCAACAGGTCCCTTATGTTCTGCAGGATTTCACTAATCAGTGGGAAGTTCAATCCAGGGCTTCCCCTGACCCATGGGAATCTGGTCCGTTCAGCAAAACAAAGAAGGTCAAAGAGATGTGTTGCGAGGAGTTCGACGAGAGACTGGCTCGGGAGGACTTGGAAGGTTGGGAGGTGAATGAGACACTGGAGAGGTATTACAGAGAGAGGGAAAGGAGACAGAGGCAGGAGGAGAAAGAAGATTATCTGAATATCAACAGAGCTTGGGGTTTCCCAGAGCAAGTGAAGAGACAACCGAGGAATAAGCAGAAACTAACTAAAAGACCCCTACCTCTGCTGTCGGAGTCGTTCTACGAGGATTGGGAGCCACTGTATTCAAGGGACTTCTCCCAATTGCCCCCCGCAAACCAATACAGGCAGCGAGAGGTGGCTGCTCATTGCAAAGACCAGTGGATGAAGTTCCTGTCCCTCACGGGGATGCCTATGGTCTATCAGACGTCAGACTGCCCGGCCGGCTCAGGAAAACCCAACCGGAAACGAGAACGTTTCCTCCCAATAGATTTGAGGGCAAAGGTTACATGCAGCGACCTCCAAAGCCTCCGAGCTACGAAATGTTCCTGCAGATGAAGAGGAAAGCCGACCGGAGCCTTAGGCACCCGGAGAGGAATAGGAGGGACGTCCGCAACAATCCAGTGGCCCCCAATCAAAGCAAGACCCACTTCCTTGACTATTCTGATCCACCATTCCAACAGTCATTGAGCCGTGAGAGAGAGTGTCAGGAGAGATATGTTCCCATGCCCAAAATGAAGCCCATAATTCCAACCCGGGATTATGAAGTACAAAGGGACCTAATTTATTCACCTTGTTTGAAGGAGAGGATTAAACCCTCACAAGTGTCCTTTTCCAGGATGAATCCCGAGGAGTTCTATTGCTCCAAACTGACTAGACGTGAAGGGATGGGGCCAATGCATGAAACGGATATGGATCTGAAAAGGTTTGAGCAATCGTTGCACGAGCAAAGGTCTCATCCAAGTTCTGGCGCTTGTCACACCTGGGATAGGCGTTCGATTCAAGAGCCTGCTCGGGCGCAGAGGGAAGGTGGAGTATTCACGGAGATTCCAGCCACGTATCCTGGATCTGGAAGAAGAAGGAGAAGTTCCGAGGAGAACCCAAGCAGATCAGAGCCGGGACTCGAGGGTTTGAAGACGCAATGGCCCGGAGGCCAAACCGAGACGAGGAAGGGCGAGAAAAATCTTGTGAAAAGCGAGGTGCTTCGAAGCAAGAAGGGGGAGGTGGTCTTCTGTCTCGTCTCGAGACTCGATGTCGGTCATTCGGATCAAGACCCCAGAGGAGGGCTCGCGAACGTACCTCACACTTTGCCCAAAGCTGCCAAGGGCTCAACGGTGTTCGGCCTACCCCGTGATCCAGAGCAATCCTTCTCAGCCCAGCAGCGAGGGCTTTGTGAGCAGTGGAATGAGCTAAAAGGTTATCAGTCCCTGGATAGGAAGGTAAGAAGTCCTCAGTGTGACCCGGTCCACACTGCTTACCCTCCCCGTAATGAACCTCTTCCAGCCGAATTGCTCCCCGGAATCGGCTACGGAGATGTTGGTAAGTACGGCACAAGGAATATGGATTATGATCCAAGATTAGATCATCAACTCTGCGGTGAGATGAGTAAGACATCAGGAAGCAGCGAGAGACAGCATTCGTGTACTGGTGATAGGGAGCCAACCACAAATTGGGGAAGGTACCAGAGGGAAGACTTAACGCTGAGAAGAGGAGACATTGAGTTTGATCACAGAAGCGATGGGAATGTTTCCAATTCTCAACGTCAGATGGCAAGACGAGGGAGGCTCAGGGGAGGGGAGGAGCTGAGTGCAAAATGCACTCGGAGGGATGCAGGGCGCAAGAGAAGCGAGGGGATGGAAGCAGCCATGTTGCCGAGAGATGGAGAGAGAATAGAACGAGGTCTTGAGAGAGGGTCAGGGTTGGAGGAACTCGGAAGGTCTTCACCAGTGAAGAGACAGGCCTGGGAGGAGCCTTTGCACCAACACCATGATGACAAAAGTCTGACCGAGGGAAGCAACAATGGGGGAAAGAATCCGCACAGCGAGAGGAAGCTTCCCCAGTGGAAAGAGCCGTTGATCTCCTTCGGCCAGGGACATGAGAGCGAGGGCGGGGAGCGCCCCGTCCAAAACGGGATCTTCATCATCGACGCCACCTGTGCCATCGTTCGGGCCGAGTACATTTTACCCCCAAAAAAGGAGAGGGTGAGATTCTCGTGCCCGATGGAAGCTCAAGGCCTCGACGAGGAGAAGGACATGGATGTAACCAAAGGCGACGGCGGTGATTGGGATAAACAGAGAACGGTCAAGAGACAGATGTCGGGCAGGAAGAGAGTCTCACGCAGTAGAGTTGGGCAACGTCATTATTTTGGGGAGGACCTTTCGGAGTTTAATGGCAGGAGAAATGACAGGAAGGAGATGGGTGATGGTGAGAAGATTGGTGGTCCTCTTCCTAGTTTCATGGTGAAGGAAAGCCTGCAGACCAGGGCCAGGCGGATCTTAGGGCTTCCTGCCCTTGAGGTGGGCTGCACCGAGCTGCAGGACAACGAGGATGAGGTGGGAAAGGAGAGCGAGATGACCGCTGAGCATTCAACAGAGGATTATCTCCACACGGAGTCCGGGAAGACCGAGAAGACTTCAGAATCCGGGAGCGGAGACACAATAGACGGTCAGAAAAAGCGCGAGGAGGTCACGGAGCTTGTCAGGCAGACACAGACAAACGAGGAGGAGGAGGAGGAGGAGGAATCGACGGCTGAGGAGGAGGGACACGATGGTGTATCATTGAATGGAGGCGAGATGGACGAGGTTGAGTTAGGGCAGAGTGATCAGACCGATGGCATCCAGGGGAGTGATGGGAAGGAACAAGAAGCCGTGGGGGAGAAAGCTGCCATGGTTTGTGGTGAATCTGAGAGCGAGATTAAGGCAGGATCTCGCTGCCAAGATCTAGCATCGTGTGAGGACCAGCCTCTGTGCGAGGACCAGCCTCCGTGCGAGGACCAGCCTCCGTGCGAGGACCAGCCTCCGTGGAGGACCAGCCTCCGTGCGAGGACCAGCCTCCGTGCGAGGACCAGCCTCCGTGCGAGGACCAGCCTCCGTGCGAGGACCAGCCTCCGTGCGAGGACCAGCCTCCGTGCGAGGACCAGCCTCCGTGCGAGGACCAGCCTCCGTGCGAGGACCAGCCTCCGTGCGAGGACCAGCCTCCGTGCGAGGACCAGCCTCTGTGCGAGGATCAGCCTCCGTGCGAGAAACAGCCTCCGTGCGAGGATGAGACCCTGCGAGAGATGGTGATCCAATCCGTGTCTCGCCTCCGCAGACACACGGCGCCCGACTCCGAATCCGAATCGGAGGAGGATGAAGCGGGTCGGACGCCGTCCGGGGCAGAGGAGAGTGAGGGGGAGGGCGAGGGCGAGAGCGACGGATTGTCCAGCACCAACTCCGATAGCAGCGGCCTGTCCGAGGGCACCGTGATAGCCCGCGGAGACCAGGAGACCCCGACAGGAGAGGGCGAGAGCGGGGGGGAGGGTGAGAGCGAGGCCGGAGATGAGGGCGAGGGAAGCCTGGACACCATCAGCGGGGAGGACGCCCGTCAGGAAGACTTTGGCCCGGAAGAAGAGGGGGAGGTCGGAGGGAGGAGAGCGAGGTCCTGACGTGGCAGGACTCGGGAGAGGAGAGGAATGGACGGGCCGAGGCAGAGAGAGATTCCCGGGCGGGGCCGGCTGATCCCGTTGCCCAGCTCGAAGGCGAGGCGTTGGCTACAGTCGAGAGTTTTCCAGGAGAAGTCTCGGAGGAGCCGGGGGCGAGGACACAGGCGGACGGAGAGGGTCGAGCAGAGCAACCTGACGCTCAGCTCCTTGGCGAACCAGAGCCTGAAGCAGAGACACCAGGGCCACTTCTCCTGGTTCCAACAGACGCGCCAATGGAGGAGAGCAATGGTGAGTCCGTGCGCGAGAACTGTATCATAATCTATCCCTATGACCGCGTCGTTGGTCACCCTCCTACCTCTATCCTCCCCTCCCTCCCTCCCTCCCTCCCTCCCCTCCAGATCCCAACCACCAGCTCGGGCGACTTTCCAGGGCCTTGGGCCATGTGTTGCTGTTATTCTTCTAACATCCCGTGTGTCGGCCTGGGGCAGTGGGTCACTCTCTCGCCCCAATGAGTCAGAAGGTCGTGGGTTCAAGCCCTCACAGGCCAGGACTTGAAATCACATCGTCTCGGCTTAGGCAGCGCAGGGTGGGGGGGTGGGGGGGGGGAGGTGGGTCGCATTGTCGGAGACGCTGTCCTTCACCTTAAACCTCCCTCCCCGTCTGTTCCTGTTCAGGTGGACGTTAAAAATCCCGCAGCACTGTTGGAAAAGAGAAAGGAGTTTCTCTCTCTCTCGGTGTCCTGGACAACAATTCCGCACCCCTCCCCCCCCCACACGCACACGCACATACACACACGCATGTGCACACACACACGCACACGCACACAAACACACTGTTAAATATATATCATTTCATTCCCCAGTCGAGGAAGGTATAGGATGTTCCTTGACCCTTGTTGGGCTGTGGAGGTAATTCCGGGCGGGGCCGGGGCCTCTGTTTCCCCACTGGCTGTCCTGACCCTGTCTCTTCCACAGGTGACGCGGTTGCTCACCACACGGAGGAGATGGAGAGAGATGGGAGAATCGAGGAGCCGCCGAGATCAGAACTGTAGACATTGACTTCCTATTTAATGTACGTCTCTAAAGTTTAGGGCCGTACAGAATTGTTGACAATTCTTGAATCCAGTAGTAATCCATCGATCGGCGGACAAGTTCTCAGCCCAACGCTCCCCAACTCAATCCTGGGATGTCTTTACCTCCCTCCCTCCCTCTATCCCTCCCTCCCTCCCTCCTTCCCTCCTCACCTTCAAAACCCGGCTTCAGACCTATTGTTTTTACTACACTTTCAGATCCTATCCCCCTCTCTCCACCCCCCACTTCCCCAACCCACCGACTCCCGGTTTACTGTGTGAAGTGCTTTGAGACGTCGTCCTGACATGAAAGCCATTGCACAACACGTCGATCGTAATCTGGAATAAAGACAGAACGCGCAGCGGGTCGGGCAGCATCTGTGGAGAGAGGGAAACGAGTTACCGGTTCAGGGCCGATGGCCCTTCGTCAGAACTGGAATTGTAATTTGGAAGCTGTTGCCCTGTAGTTCTCACAGGCTAAGACGGGGTGAAATTTCAGCCCCTGAGCCCACTCGACGCCACACAACCAATGGCTTGGGATTCAGTTCCCACACATTAATAATATAATAATAATAATAATAATCCTCGCATTTGACACAGCGCCTTATCACGTCTTCGAGACGTCTCAAAGCGCTTCACCGGATACACTGTAAAGTGAATCGACTGTGCATTTTGTGGGCGAAACACAGCAGTCAATTACGCACAGCAGCGTCCCCCACAAACAGCCGTGGATTGAGTGACCCAATTATTATTAATATTATTCTTATTATAATTATTTGTTGAGCATTGCTCCAATCTCGTTGCCTGTTGCTGGATTCGATTTGTTTTTTTTCCCTCAATCACGTGATG